AATTCTGCGTCGAATGGTCTATGGCTTATCTCATTCGGCCACATCCTACTATTCCCTTTCCCTTGTTAACAACCAGCTTTAACTGACCGATAACAATACACATAAAACATACTTTTGCAAACAAAAAAACTCACAACAGTATATACGATGCAACAAATCGTGCTCGTAACCAGCCGGATGTAGCAAAGCCTCGTAGGGATCCTCATAGCCCTGACTTGTCATAAACGCTTTTCCGTCGCAAACTTCTAGAGTTTTGTTCCAAGAAAACTGGCGGACTGTAAAAGAATTTGAAAACCATTTAATGTTTAAAACCATTTGGGTCAAAAGTTGAGCTAAACGCGAAGCTCGGTGAGCAACTATGTGGCACGAGAATACGGTCGAGCCTTGAGGGAAGTCATTGTGCCACAAATGGACGATCATCGCTAAAGAAGATCGTTTTTTAACAACCAGCACTTTGAAAATTGTTTGGTTTCTGCTTTTTCATTTGGAATGGAAAAGCAAAAAGTTTTGAATTGGAGCCAGTGCTTCGGGACATTGCACAAGCAAAGCAACCAACAACTGCCATAACTTTCCTCGTCTCTCGTGGGCTCATTCAAACTCTATATCAACAACTCGATGGCCACCCAAATTATTCATTTAATTGGGTGAACCATGCACAAAACTTCATCAACCCATCCAACCCGGCGTGGAATACCCAAAGGATCGATGTGGCGACCCTTCAAAGACCTTCAAAGACGAGGCAACGGAACGGGACACACATTGTGTCAATGGCCTCCTCGTGCATCGCGGAGGGAGGGTGGTGTCTCAACTTGGCAAGCGGTGTGGACCCGTTCGATGCAATTCTGGAGAACATCTAGGCTTATTGGCCACCTGGTACTCCCGCTGGATCAATTGCCTTTTACCAATAAGCCCATGTTTGAGTGAAATAAACTGTTTTTGTAGAACCAAAGCTGCAGAAAAAAAGTGAAAGCAAGCATATAAATCAAATTTACTGAGTCCAAATAAGAGGGAAAAAATCCCTCTTCCCTCCGATAAAGTCCCGCCATCCCTCCGATAAAACCTCTTGAGTTAACTTGAAATTTCATATCAATATGAATCGGATAATTGGGCGTCAAGTTACGGTCGAAAAACCGAATTTCGATAATTGTGCCTAACTCTGGATACAGAGTGGCCGACGAAATTTGGCGCCAGGTTTTTGACTCGTAGATGAGGCCGGATCTTTGTCTTTTTGCTGATTTTCTTGTCACTATTAAGCGAGAAACGATGGATGAGATAGATTGTGCCCCTAAACGTGCTAAACAAAAGATTGCATCTCGATATGAATTCTTTTTCTTTTCTATCAACTAACTTTACTCTTTTATCTAGTCTAACCAAGCAGTCAGAAAATCAGCACTATTATCCCATAAATTATACTATGTTTCTCTTCTCAAACATTTCCCTACGACAATCTGCAGTAACTCTATGAGAAGATTCATCCAAATTAGAGATGATACATAGAACAGTTCTGGAGAAAGGAATTTTGGTGAAGAACTATAAGATCAAAGCATCAAACACCAAATATTACTTTTGTTTTTACAAAAGAAAAATGTTTGCTTTGAAAGAAGTGAACCAAGTCTATCCAATTTTTTTTTAAATTTTCAGATGTTCCCAAATTCACCTGCCTTCACCTGCCGACACTGTGAGTGTCGAGAAAGAAGAGGAAAACTTTTCGACAACTTACAAAACAATGAAAATGTATGCCCCTACAATTGATGAGAGGAAATTGCTAAACTTTATCTATTCTATCGCTGGAACGGTTGATCTGATCATTTGTCCATTCACCATTTTCGTGCTCCTTTTACCCGTTCCCTCGTATCTGAAAGTGTTTCGGAGGATTCAGTTCGCTATTGTGGTGAGTGGGAAATGTGAAATGATAATGGGTTTTTAAATCAGTTAATTCGTATCATACCGAATTAAATCCTTCAACTTTTTCAGATGAATGCCTTTCTTTTCGCGTCAACTTTCTTCATCCTTCGCCCAGTGCTCGCCATGCCATTGGCACTTTACTCAATTTCCCGATGGAATCTCAGTCAGGAAGCGATTCTTTTTCTATTCGTATGTTCAAAAATATTCAAAATCTTCATTTAATTTGTTACTCTAATGACTTAATCAATTATAATCAATCAATTATACCCAGCCAAGAAATTGCCTGAGCTGAGAATCCAATCTAGCTTTACATCTTGCGTGACTGGCTCTGTCTGTACTTACTATTAGCCTAGCTTGCTTAGCATAAACTGTGCTGACTCATTAAGTCCATCTTTCACACTCATTTTCAGGTGGCAGCGGCAACAAGTGGAGGTTTCTTCGTGGTTTTCCTCTTTGTCGCCTATTTTCATCGCGCCGTCGTTTTGGCCCCTTTTCCACAAAAAAGACCACTCACAATCTATTACACAGTTTGTCTTAAAAAATCTCAACATTTCGATTGTCTTTAGATTTTAACAGTCAGTGTTTGCCTGGCTGGGCTTTTAGCGATCGGGTATTTGATTTGGGACTTCTTTGTCCTATCTCGCTATCTCGACAATTCGGAGGTGAAATACTTTTATATCTTTTAGCTAAACATTTTAGTTCCAAGCGATCAAGAGCTTCAGCGCTGTCATTTTCTGGAGTGGCGGTTCATTTAGAATTATTGTTTATGGGGTAACAGCACCGATTTTCTGGCTATTATGGTTGGTTAGACTAGATAAAACAGTAAAGTTAGAGGATAGAAACGAAAAAGAATTCATATCGAAATGCAATCTTTTGTTTAGCACGTTTATGGGCACAATTTATCTCATTCATCGTTTCTCCCTTAATAGCGACAAGAAAATTAGCAAAAAGACGCAACAACGACAGAATCAACTTTTCCGGCTCACACTTATTCAGGTCCAAACCACTGGAAAATGTTGCTAGCTTTTGTTGCTAGCTTTTGGACTTAACTTTGAAAGTTTTCAGACTGTACAGCTTTAGGCTGGAATCCTCGGCACAACTGTCATCGGTCCCGCTGTGATCATAATTTTCGGGATGGCTGAATGGTTTCCAGTAGCCGATATTGGTAATTTCTGGCTGAACATAGGTTATCGACGATGTTATCTCATCTTTAGTCCTCTTCTACACTTTCATTCCACTCACTTTACACTCACCGGGCAATTGCGTGGCGCTACTCTGTACCTCGCACTACAGAAAAATTTTGTACCGCTGGCTTACGGTAATTTAAAAGAAAATTACTAAAAATCATAGAAAAAAATTACTTTTTCAGGCTAGATTTTGAAGTTTTTGATAAATTTTGAAAATCTAATCGCAAAAAATTCAGGATGGGAAAAAGCCGTTGAATCGAGTGAAGACTTTTTGGCGGAATGATGGTCGAAATCCGAGTATCATCGTTGAGGTAGCGAGTAGTTCGAGGAGAATAAGCAGCAAATCGGATTTTGGAAATCGATAAATGATTTATAAAAGATGAAATCTATTTCCGCATTGCCAATCAGGGACAACCCAACCGGGTTGTACAGGGTGCGGCGGGATTATTGCAACCGCCTCAGGGCATCGATTAGGTTTTTGTACTATGAGATCCTATCATTCTCAACATTCTCAACACTCAACATCAAAACTTACAAAGATCAGGAATCGTGATCATTTTAGTGGCTGTAGATAGAATGAGGGCACAGGCAGGGATGACGACTGTGAGAGCAAAAGTCAAGGCCTGCAACGGAGATACAGGGTGCGGCAGGGTTGTTGGGGAATCAGGGAATCAACGTTAGTTCCAACAACTATCTCGGTGCTTTACGGATAACGGGGAGGGGGGTAAGTTTAAGTGTTTTTTGGCCAATTTGTAGCTCATTTTTAAGCATCTTAAACTTGTCTAAACAGAAAGTTTTAATCAGATTTAGATAGCTTAGAATGACAACTTTCAAAAACTATTTATTTAATCAAAAGTTATTAACAAAAATTTATCTAAAATCGGGCTACAGGTTGGCCAAAGCCCGCTCCCGTTATCCGTAAAGAACCACTATCTCGACACACTTAAAAAAGATCTTCTTCCATGAACCAAAAATCACTTTGGCAACAGGATTTGGTGTTTTATGCAGGATGATGCTTATGCTTACAAGACTCGAGTGGTTCAGGACAAGCAGCATTTTCCCGATTTTGACCATCTTTAGTGACCACCCTCAAATCCCGAGCTTAATTTCAGTGTTTGGAATGTTCTTGAAGCGAAAGCGTGCTCAAAGCCGCATTCCAACATCGATTCGCTTAAGAAATCTCTTCAAAAAGCATGTGATTAACTCGATCCCGCTTACCATTTGCCCACGGTGGATGCATTTTCCAAATGTCATCAGGCGTTTCTGCCCTAGAGATCTTTTTTAAAAGGAAGTCGTTTTTCTTGTTTAATATGTCTTTAAAAATCAATTGTTCAAGTTTTTGAGTTGTTTTCTCTTTTATCGGTTTCCATCCTTAAAAAAATAATCCTGCCCCTATAATCAATATTCCAGGATATACTGCCAGGGGCTCCAGGCGAATCCAGGGACTTTTGTGGGTCAGGCTGTATCCAGGCTTGGCCCTGCCCTTGATATCAGCTAATCTCATAAAATTCAACATTATGTATCTGAAACATTATCTGGCAAAATGTTTGAGTATTGATTACATTGAATTCCCTTTTTTGAGTCTTACCTTTCAAAATGTAGCTTGAGCACCAGAAATTTGCAATTTGCATCGAATTTGCACCTGTTTTGGGGAAAAGTTCGGTCAAAATTCAGTTCAATAAGTTCAATATTCAAACTTTCAAAGAAATTAGTTCAAAGAAATTTTCAGTTATCTACTTTCCGTCTTTTCTCAAAATGTGTCTACTTTGCAACATTTTAACAGCAGATTCCAAAGTTTCTGTACAACAAAAAATTTACTCGCCATTATGCGCAAAAATCAATTAAACAAAACGCGAAACTTTCTCACAATCGAAGAACAAAAAATAAATCAAATCAAAAAGCATTTCAATACGTTCTGTCGTAGTAACGCGGGAAACTGTCTGCTTTATCCACGATGAATCCATTGAAACGTTGCAATTCGTCAAACGTTCGTCTCATTGCGGCCATATTGCTAAAACACCGCAAAGTTTACAAACTAATAAACAGAACTAACTTCAACATTCCGATCATCACTCTTTCTTGCAGCAGCTTTCGTTCACTTTCCTCCACCGGCTCCGAATTGCAAGTGAAACTAAAAATCGTACTAAGAAACGCTACTAAAGAATTACTTTTTTCCTTGCTCAATTTCGATGCCAACTTCCTTGGGTATAAGTCCTGTGAACAACACGTCATCATTCTAAACAGAATTCTTGAAACAGCTTCAACAAAAAGTATATCTTTTAAAAAAGAAAACTTGCCGAAAGGTAGTATTCCCTCTTCTCAGCCCCATCGATGAGTTTAGGCAATGTGGCAAACGATTGTAAAACGGCTAATCCAGTGCAGAAAGGAGGCCAAGCTTTGCCTCCAGTGTACGCCTCGTTGGCCACATACCTAAATTTTTCAGATTGAATGAATTGATATAAAAGCTAAATCTTACCATGGAGACTCTTCCCAACGACAAGCTAACTGATCCACTTGAAGTTTTCCACAAAGTAAACGATTGCTCATGTCAATGCTAAAATCAAAAATTTTTAAAACGCTAGTAAAGTTTACTTGTTGGGTTTAAATGCGAAATTTACCGTCAAGTTTGAGAATAAGTTCAACATTCGGACATTCTTCGCGTACAAAGCGCATCCATGAAAGATACTAAAATATTTCCCATTAAATGCAAGTTTTGAGTCAAACTTTGATGGTAAGTTTTCGATAATGATCCGTGAAGTCGTATTGCAAAATATCACGATTAAAGACTGCTTCTTCATTGATCTAAACACAAGAGTTGTTAAATATCCAAATCCAAGTCGAACCATATCATTTTCGTCCTTGTAATCGCTTGTGCCGACGACAAAAAACGCTCGAAATCCAAACTGAATGAAGGTTATTGATAGTAAATCTAAAGTATTACCTTTTCTTGCCATTTCTTATGTGCCCATGTTTCACGAATTGTCTGCCGTCTATCGATGTTGGAAGAGGCCGAATGAACAACGAAAAGAATGGGCGCATCTTTCGGACATAACCCTTGCGCATCACCGTGCAACAATGGGAATCGCCCATAGTACTAAAAAAAGATAAATATCTTTCCCAACTTGTAACATTCTTCAGCTAGTTTGTGCAAAAAAAACTTACTGGATGCGGTTTTCCGGGAATTCCGAGAACCTTGCGAATCCGATTCCAGCGTATTGCACGGGATTCTTGTAAGCGCAGAAGTTTGTCTAAAAACAGCAAACATTGGATCAACGCTTAAACTATGAAATAAACGTTAAGTTGGAAAAGTACCTTTAATCAGTTCATCGGGATTAACAATTCTCACGCCTCTAGGTTCTTCACGTTGCGGCAATGTGTCTAGAAATATACATATTAGGTACTTTTTGAAAAGTCTATATTCCGCGCAGAAACGATTACTTTTTATATCATTAAAAAGAGAAGATATTGGGGTTTCTAGAAAATACTAATCAACCCGGATTATCATTACTTACAGTCGTTGTATGGTGGCTTTTTTTGACTCGGAGTTTCTTTTGCAAGTACCTAATACCTACCGTAAATATTGTAATAGTACCCCGCCACCCTTCGTACAGTCGCGTAGTCGCAAAAGTTTTTTAGTATTTCATTTTTCTCAAAGCGCCCGTCCTTTCAAAAGAAAGATATCAAAAAATAGCTGAAATTCAGGGCTATTTTTTTGATACCTAAGCGCGCATTGTAGCATAAACCAGTGTCAAGAAAAACGCGTTCAAAGCCAGACTACGCAACACTCCGCACCGTCATTATGGGGGTAGGGTACTATTACAGTATTTACGGTAGTGAAATCTTTAATGAATGACGAGAAATTAAGGCTAGTATATACAGTGTTGGAAAAAAGTATTGGCCGCCCCCAGACTCTTTTTACTTACAATGGTAGGTCCAATACTATTTTCCACCACTGTATGTAGCATTTTCAAATGTTGTTAAAATAAGCCATTTAGCTTTTCGATATCCTTTGAGCTAAAAGTTTTATGATCGAAAAACCTTATTTGAGCATGATTTTTAAAAATCCGTATGTCAAGAATGAATGAATCCCATTGAAAATCGTTCCAATTATAAAGGCATTGAATCGTCTATTACTTATTTATTAATTTTGTTCTGGTGGAAATGAAAGGCTATTGGTAGTTATGAAGCTTTGAACAAAATCTGAGAAAAAGTTACCCCCTTATGCAAAAGTAGCTTGAAAGATTCCATTTAAAAAAAAAATTCAAAAATCTAAGACTATCATCTAATGGGAGAAGAATGAGAAAACATTGCCCGGCCAATCCTTTTTTCGACCACTGTATTTAGTTAAAAATTGCACAAATCAAGTTAAAACCATCTGAAAACATGTAAAAATGCTAAATTTACGGTAAATCTTCGAAGTTATTCATAAAAGAAGTTATTCAAAACAAAAACATACCATAAAATTCTCTATTTTCTTTCTCAGCAACATCAGCATAGTTGACCAAAACGAGCACAACAAAAATTATTTATAATCAAGCAAAAATTCAGTCCTCAAAATGATCAAATATTAGCAGTAACAATTGAAGAAGCTAACCAAGCAGAAAGAATCGTTGGGAGAAGCTCGAATCCTATGGGCGTCATGGTTTTGGGGGGAGTCTCCACTACCGGATTTATTTTGGCATAAATCCGGGTCGATCCTTTCAGATTTTGCTGAAATCAGCGCCTCAACGCCTATTCACTTTTCTGGAACGACCGCTTCCTCGCTTTCGTGTGAGCCGGCTGTCACTTTTTCAGAATTTCTGAAACCACAGAAAAAGCTTTTATTTTCACTGATTAATCCAATTAAATAATGTCAAAAAGGTGGAAACATACTGATTGCGAAAATTTTAAAAAAAATGGTAAAAGAGGACATCGTGAAGAGCTCAGAGAATGTGATTGATTTGATTTGATTTGATTTGACTAATTGATCGGTTTGATTGATCGAATTCCACTTATAAAAATCTTTACGAAAAGACCGTTTGAAGAAAACTCTCTATTTTCCGTGCCATACCAGTCAATCTAAAGCTTGTAGATTGAAAAGTTGAGGTCTTTTTTTTCGTTTAAAAGTGAGAGAAAGATTCGATGTTCTTAAAAACATCATTGAAACTCAAAAGTTTCAATTTTAACTCGTAATTTTTGTAATAAAGATCTGCTCTATGTTTCTAAGGTTATATAAAGCAGCAGAAAAGTTCTTGTGGGCTTTCTCCGATCACTTTTAGATGCTTTTAGATGCAAATTTTACTAGGAAAGCGAACGCAAAGCAAATGCAAAGTAAATGCAAAGCAAATGCAAAGCAAACTCTTCTCATAGCGGAAAGCAGAATAAGTACTAAAGTTGTGGCAACCAAAGTTATATCAAGTTCGTAAATATTATTTTATTTGTTGCTTTATGATCATTGTCTAACCCGCTTTAGATAAATAGTAAATGATATTCAGCGTAGAGTATACGAACCAGGAGAGCTCAACAAACATAACTACCACAAGTTTTGTTATAGTGCCATTTCATAGTCATATCATTGTTGAAGAAGATTTTAAGCCTGCAAGCCGGACAATTCATTAAAAAAAACCCGACTAGAGCCGTTTTTGCTCACCAGCACGCCGGCGACATTTGTGCGTATGCTTGTATCAGGAGCCTTGTTGCAAAAAGCCATTTTTAAAAAAATTGATAAAAAATAATTACTTTTCTTTAATCTCTTCGTTGTTGGTTAAAAAGAAAACGAGCTTTAAATGCCAGCCTTTCCCAAGTGAGACCACATCGACAGTGATATTCACCGGGAAACGAGTTGAAAGTTTTTGAGTTTTTGGCCTTATCCATTTAAGACTGCAGATACCTTGTTTGAGGGCCTAGAAGAGGAAGGGCCTGCGGTCCGATCTGCCAAGTTAAGCAACGTCGGCGCGGGATAGTCGTGGGCTCGACTTTTGTAGGTTCCCCTCCGAGCCCCCCAGCCCGGCCATCGGAGTATCATCGGCTACGACAACTACACTTCTGCCTCAGTATCCCGCAGGGCCTCCCTGCTCTCTTCCGGCATCGAGGGATCAAGCAAAGGCCGAGAGGCGATCCAATCTCGGGACATCAGGATGCCATATGGACAACGGACCAAGGAACGGAACGACAAAGCCCAAGCCTCCGACTCTGCACTTTCAACGCCTGGGCAGCCGTCTCGCAAGCCGATAAGACCGCACTTCATGAGATCAGCAACAAGATCAAATTCGACATCATCGCCCTCCAAGAAACAAAGGCCAAAGATGACTACACGAAGACACAGGCGAACGGCGACCTGCTCATACTTGGCCACAAAGTCACCAACAAGAATACCGGAGGAATAGGCTTCCTGGTCAAAAAGGACATCGTGCCACTCGTCGATAGTCATGAGATCATCTCCCCACGACTCGCAATCCTCCACCTCAAGCCACCGAGAAACCGCGACATCGCCGTCTACAGCTGCTACGCCCCAACCTCCGTAGCCGAGGAAGACGAACGTAAACGAGCTAAACAAAAGATTACATTTCGAAATGAATTCTTTTTCTTTTCTATCTGCTAACTTTACTGTTTTATCTAGTCTAACCAAGCAGTCAGAAAATCGGCGCTATTATCCCATAAATTATGCTGTGTTTCTCTTCTCAAACATTTCCCTACGACCATCTACAGTAACTCTATGAGAAGATTCATCCAAATTAGAGATGAAGCATAGGACAGTTCTGGAGAAAAGAATTTTGGTGAAGAACTATAAGATCAATAGATCAAACACCAAATATTACTTTTGTTTTTACAAAAGAAAAATGTTTACTTTGAAAGAAGTGAACCAAGTCTATCCAATTTTTTTTAAATTTTCAGATGTTCCCAAATTCACCTGCCGACACTGTGAGTGTAGAGAAAGAAGAGGAAAACTTTCGACAACTTACAAAACAATGAAAATGTATGCCCCTACAATTGATGAGAAGAAATTGCTAAACTTTATCTATTCTATAGCTGGAACGGTTGATCTGATCATTTGTCCATTCACCATTTTCGTGCTCCTTTTACCCGTTCCCTCGTATCTGAAAGTGTTTCGGAGGATTCAGTTCGCTATTGTGGTGAGTGGGAAATGTGAATGGGTTTTTAAATCAGTTAATTCGTATCATACCGAATTAAATCCTTCAACTTTTTCAGATGAATGCCTTTCTTTTCGCGTCAACTTTCTTCATCCTTCGCCCAGTGCTCGCCATGCCATTGGCACTTTACTCAATTTCCGGATGGAATCTCAGTCAGGAAGCGATTCTTTTTCTATTCGTATGTTCAAAAATATTCAAAATCTTCATTTAATTTGTTACTCTAATGACTTAATCAATTTATACCCAGCCAAGAAATTGCCTGAGCTGAGAATTCGATCTAGCTTTACATCTTGCGTGACTGGCTCTGTCTGTACTTACTATTAGCCTAGTTTGCTTAGTCTAAACTGTGCTGACTCATTAAGTCCATCTTTCACACTCATTTTCAGGTGGCAGCGGCAATAAGTGGAGGTTCCTTCGTGGTTTTCCTCTTTGTCGCCTATTTTCATCGCGCCGTCGTTTTGGCCCCTTTTCCACAAAAAAGACCACTCACAATCTATTACACAGTTTGTCTTAAAAAATCTCAACATTTCGATTGTCTTTAGATTTTAACAGTCAGTGTTTGCCTGGCCGGGCTTTTAGCGGTCGGGTATTTGATTTGGGATTTCTTTGTCCTATCTCGCTATCTCGACAATTCGGCGGTGAAATACTTTTATATCTTTTAGCTAATAAAACATTTTAGTTCCAAGCGATCAAGAGCTTCAGCGCTGTCATTTTCTGGAGTGGCGGTTCATTTAGAATTATGGTTTATGGAGTAACAGCACCGATTTTCTGGCTATTATGGTTGGTTAGACTAGATAAAACAGTAAAGTTAGAGGATAGAAACGAAAAACAATTCATATCGAAATGCAATCTTTTGTTTAGCACGTTTATGGGCACAATTTATCTCATTCATCGTTTCTCGCTTAATCGCGACCAGAAAATCAGCAAAAAGACGCAACAACGACAGAATCAACTTTTCCGGCTCACACTTATTCAGGTTCAAACCACTGGAAAATGTTGCTAGCTTTTGTTGATAGCTTTTGTTGCTAGCTTTTGGACTTAACTTTGAAAGTTTTCAGACTGTACACCTTTAGGCTGCAATCCTCGGCACAACTGTCCTCGGTCCAGCTGTGATCATAATTTTCGGGATGGCTGAATGGTTTCCAGTGGCCGATATTGGTAAGTTCTGGCTGAACAGAGGATATCGACGATGTTATCTCATCTTTAGTCCTCTTCTACACTTTCATTCCACTCACTTTTCACTCACCGGGCAATTGCGTGGCGCTACTCTGTACTTCGCACTACAGAAAAATTTTGTACCGCTGGCTTACGGTAATTTAAAAGAAAATTACTAAAAATCATAGGAAAAAAATGACTTTTTCAGGTTAGATTTTGAAGTTTTAGATAAATTTTCAAAATCTAATCGCAAAAAATTCAGGATGGGAAAAAGCCGTTGAATCGAGTGACGACTTTTTGGCGGAATGATGGTCGAAATCCGAGTATCATCGTTGAGGCGGCGAGTATTTCGAGGAGAATAAGCAGCAAATCGGATATTGGAAATCGATAAATGATTTATAAAAGATGAAATCTATTTCCGCATTGCCAATCAGGGACAACCCAACCGGGTTGTACAGGGTGCGGCGGGATTATTGCAACCGCCTCAGGGCATCGATTAGATTTTCGTACTATGAGATCCTATCATTCTCAACATTCTCAACACTCAACATCAAAACTTACAAAGATCAGGAATCATGATAATTTTAGTGGCTGTAGATAGAATGAGGGCACAGGCAGGGATGACGATTTTGAGAGCAAAAATCAAGGCCTGCAACGGAAATACAGGGTGCGGCAGGATTATTGGAGCCGCCTCAGGGAATCAATGTTAGTTCCAACAACTATCTCGGTGCTTTACGGATAACGGGGAGGGGGGTAAGTTTAAGTGTTTTTTGGCCAATTTGTAGCTCATTTTTATCTTAAACTTGTCAGATCAGAAAGTTTTAATCAGATTTAGATAGCTTAGAATGTCAACTTTCAAAAACTATTTATTGAATCAAAAGTTATTAACAAAAACTTATCTAAAATCGGGCTACAGGTTGGCCAAAGCCCGCCCCCGTTATCCGTAAAGAACCACTATCTCGACATACTTAAAAAAGATCTTCTTCCATGAACCAAAAATCACTTTGGCAACAGGATTTGGTGTTTTATGTAGGATGATGCTTATGCTTACAAGACTCGAGTGGTTCAGGACAAGCAGCATTTTCCCGATTTTGACCATCTTTAGTGAACATCCTCAAATCCCGATCTTAATTTCAGTGTTTGGAATGTTCTTGAAGCGAAAGCGTGCTCAAAGCCGCATTCCAACATCGATTCGCTTAAGAAATCTCTTCAAAAAGCATGTGATTAACTCGATCCCGCTTACCATTTGCCCACGGTGGATGCATTTTCCAAATGTCATCAGGCGTTTCTGCCCTAGAGATCTTTTTTAAAAGGAAGTCGTTTTTCTTGTTTAATATGTCTTTAAAAATCAATTGTTCAAGTTTTTGAGTTGTTTTCTCTTTTATCGGTTTCCATCCTTAAAAAAATGTTGGTTGCAATAATCCTGCCCCTATAATCAATATTCCAGGATATACTGCCAGGGGCTCCAGGCGAATCCAGGGACTTTTGTGGGTCAGGCTGTATCCAGGCTTGGCCCTGCCCTTGATATCAGCTAATCTCATAAAATTCAACATTATGTATCTGAAACATTATCTGGCAAAATGTTTGAGTATTGATTACATTGAATTCCCTTTTTTGAGTCTTACCTTTCAAAATGTAGCTTGAGCACCAGAAATTTGCAATTTGCATCGAATTTGCACCTGTTTTGGGGAAAAGTTCGGTCAAAATTCAGTTATCTACTTTCCGTCTTTTCTCAAAATGTGTCTACTTTGCAACATTTTAACAGCAGATTCCAAAGTTTCTGTACAACAAAAAATTTACTCGCCATTATGCGCAAAAATCAATTAAACAAAACGCGAAACTTTCTCACAATCGAAGAACAAAAAAAAATAAATCAAATCAAAAAGCATTTCAATACGTTCTGTCGTAGTAGCGCGGCAAAGTGTCTGCTTTATCCACGATGAATCCATTGAAACGTTGCAATTCGTCAAACGTTCGTCTCATTGCAGCCATATTGCTCAAACACCGTAAAGTTTACAATTAATAAACAGAACTAACTTCAACATTCCGATCATCACTCTTTCTTGCAGCAGCTTTCGTTCACTTTCCTCCACCGGCTCCGAATTGCAAGTGAAACTAAAAATCGTACTAAGAAACGCTACTAAAGAATTACTTTTTTCCTTGCTCAATTTCGATGCCAACTTCCTTGGGTATAAGTCCTGTGAACAACACGTCATCATTCTAAACAGAATTCTTGTAACAGCTACAACAAAAAGTATATCTTTTAAAAAAGAAAACTTGCCGAAAGGTAGTATTCCCTCTTCTCAGCCCCATCGATGAGTTTAGGCAATGTGGCAAACGATTGTAAAACGGCTAATCCAGTGCAGAAAGGGGGCCAAGCTTTGCCTCCAGTGTACGCCTCGTTGGCCACATACCTAAATTTTTCAGATTGAATGAATTAATATAAAAGCTAAATCTTACCATGGAGACTCTTCCCAGCGACAAGCTAACTGATCCACTTGAAGTTTTCCACAAAGTAAACGATTGCTCATGTCAATTCTAAAATCAAAAATTTTGAAAACATTAGTAAAGTTTACTTGTTGGGTTTAAAATCCTGGAAAAACCAGAAAATATTTGGTAGAGCATCATCTAAAATAAACAAGTAAAATCATTAAATGTGAAATTTACCGTCAAGTTTAAGAATAAGTTCAACATTCGGACATTCTTCGCGTACAAAGCGCATCCATGAAAGATACTAAAATATTTCCCATTAAATGCAAGTTTTGAGTCAAACTTTGATGGTAAGGTTTCGATAATGATCCGTGAAGTCGTATTGCAAAATATCACGATTAAAGACTGCTTCTTCATTGATCTAAACACAAAAGTTGTTAAATATCCAAATCCAAGTCGAACCATATCATTCTCATCCTTGTAATCGCTTGTGCCGACGACAAAAAACACTCGAAATCCAAACTAAATGAAGGTTATTGATAATAAATCTGAAGTATTACCTTTTCTTGCCATTTCTTATGCGCCCATGTTTCACGAATTGTCTGTCGTCTATCGATGTTGAAAGAGGCCGAATGAACAACGAAAAGAATGGGCGCATCTTTCGGGCACAACACTTGCGCATCACCGTGCAACAATGGGAATCGCCCATAGTACTAAAACAAAGATAAATATCTTTCCCAACTTGTAACATTCTTCAGCTAGTTTGTGCAAAAAAACTTACAGGATGCGGTTTTCCGGGAATTCGGCGACTCTTCTCCAACTTAGCTGCGAGTTTCTTTTTGATTTGTCCAATCTTGCGAATCCGATCCCAGCGTATTGCACGGGATTCTTGTAAGCGCAGAAGTTTGTCTAAAAACAGCAAACATTGGATCAACGCTTAAACTATGAAATAAACGTTAAGTTTTAAAAGTATTCCACGCAGAAAACGTAAAAAGTAAACGTCTATATTCCGCGCAGAAACGATCACTGCAAAATTCTTTTTATATCATTAAAAAGAGAAGATATTGGGATTTCTAAAAAATACTAATGAACCCGGATCATCTTTACTTACAGTCGTTGTATGGTGGCTTTTTTTGACCCGGACTTTCTTTTGAAAGTACCTAATACCTAGGTGAAATCTTTAATGAATGACGAGAAATTAAGGCTAGTATATAAAGTGTTGGAAAAAAGTATTGGCCGCCCCAGACTAGTTTTACTTACAATGTGAGGTCCAATACTATTTTCCACCACTGTATGTAGCATTTTCAGATGTTGTTAAAATAAACCATTTAGCTTTTCGATATCCTTTGAGTTAAAAGTTTTATGATCGAAAAACCTTATTTGAGCATGATTTTTAAAAATCTGTATGTCAAGAATGAATGGATCTCATTGAAAACGATTCCAATTATGATGGCATTGAATCGTCTATTACTTATTTATTAATTTTGTTCTGGTGAAAATGAAAGGCTATTGGTAGTTATGAAGCCTTGAACAAAATCTGAGAAAAAGCACCCTTATGCAAAAGTAGCTTGAAAGATTCTATTTAAAGCGACATCAAAAATCTAAGACTATCATCTTAAAGCTCTCACCAAATACTAGAAAAAAACTAATTGGGATCGATTTATTTGAGTGTGATCTAATGGGAGAAAAATGAGAAAACATTGGCTGGCCAATACTTTTTTCTACCACTGTATTTAGTTAAACATTGCACAAATCAAGTTAAAGCCATATGAAAACATGTCAAAATGCTAAATTTACGGTAAATCTTGGAAGTTATTCATAAAAGAAGTTATTCATAAAAAACATACCTGAAATTTCTCTATTTTCTTTCTCAGCAACATCAGCATAGTTGACCAAAACGAGCGCAACAGTGCAAAGGACCAAAATAAGCGAAAATCCGCAAAAGCCAAGTCTTCTCTGAAAAGAAAAACGAATTATTGAGGTGATACGCATGGGTTGAACAATAAAAAAAACGTCTAAACAGGAGCTGATCAAAACAGCGCCGTGTACAAACATCGCCGGCCAAAATAATGCTTTTTCGGTTAAGTTTATTTGTGTTTCTTATTTTTGTTGGATGTAGAAAAAAAATTAGCTATCTGCTGCATTTTTTGGAGCCGTTTAGAACAAATCTGGGATGAGAAAATGCCAAAAAAAAAACGAAAAAGGGCTCAAAAAGAGCTTAACGGAGCTTTTCTCGACACCAATTCTGTTTTAAGTGATCCCAAAGTATAGAAAATTTAGCAAATGTTATTCTGCATCCAATAAGAATAAGAAACACATGAAAACTAAACCGTGGAGGGGCTATTTTTTCTGTGGCGCTGTTTGTGCACGGCGCTGTTTTGATCAGCTCCCGTCTAAACATAAAAAAAAATAATTAAAGTTTCAAAAAACTCACCACTCGAGTCATGTCAAGCAGGAAAGCTGAATCCAAGAAAAAACGAAATCTTCGAATAAATGAAAAACGAGACGCTGATATGTTTATGCAAATTATCTTTTCCATCGAAATGTTACCATTTTTTTTTTTGCTTCAATTGATTCAATTTTACAATTTCACTGTACATACAGTGGTCCACAAAAGTAATGCCCCATTGCCATCCAACAGTATGTTTTGTAAGGAAATCTTCCAAAATCGACATTTCAGAAAAAGAGTAGGGCATTTTTACCGACCCATAAGACTCGACCTTTCAAGAATATAAGATTTATCCGTATACATTACATACAAATTAAAGTATAAAACAAAAACAATAAGCTACTTGAAAATTAGCTCCACAAAAGTAATGCCCCATTTGCAAAGAATTAACACAATTTTTTAAAATCAATACTTGGTTGGTCCTCCTTTTGCTTTTATTACTTCATTGAGTCGATTCGGCATGGAATCCACGAGATTCTTCAAAAGACTTTGGGGGATGGTGGCCCAGAGACGTTGAATGTGAACCCATAAGGCAGCCTTCGAATCGAATTTCTTTCCCTTGAGTCGTGACTTCACAAATGACCAGAGACGCTCGATAACATTGATATCCGGTGAGTAGGGAGGCGGATTGATCAATTTGACTCGACTTGCCGCAAACCAGCCAAGAAGTCGTGCTCATGTACCATTTTGAAGAGTCACCACCGTTCCCATCATGAGCCTTTACTTGTGTTTCGGGTCGTTGTCCTGGTAGAGCATCCATCCAGGCGGCATCGTCTGTGTGGCAAAAGGCAGCATTTGGGTCTCCATAATGTCCTTGTAAGCCACAGCATTCATCGTTGGGTTGACGTGAACTAATGGACCTACTGAAGTTCGTGACATCGCTCCTAAAGAAAAACAGTCAGGTGACAAAATACTAAAAAGGGTCTTACCCCAACACATTATGTTGCCTCCATTGAATTTCACCGTAGGCCGAATGTACTTGAGTGTGTATGGCTTTCCAGTCGGCCGCCGAATAAGATGGTTTCCGTCCGCGTGAAATAAATTGTTTTTTGTCTCATCGGTAAATAGCACTTTCGCCCAATCACTTATTGTCCAAGTTCTTTAGGTCCGTGCAAAATCAAGGCGCTGCTTCCGGTGCTTAGAATTCATCAGAGGTTTTTTTCATGAAAGGTATAAATGAATTGTTGTTTTCTGTCTTTGTCAAACCTAATCCCAAGCCTAAACCTAAGCCTAATCCAGAAAATGGGGGTCCAGCCAAAATCCAAATAGACTTAGTTGGTGGCGCTAACCGCTAACCTTCGCACTAAGTCCAAGCCTAAGCCTAAGCCTAAAAGCCTGAGCCTAAGCCTGAGCCTAATCCTAAGCCTAAGCCTAATCCTAAGCCTAAGCCTGAGCCTAAGCTTAAGTCCAAGCCTAAGCCTGAGCCTAAGCCTAAGTCCAAGCCTAAGCCTTTACTACTCAGTTTCTTACTCAATCATACGAGCTAGGAGTTCTTCACGGGGATTTCTTTGACAAGTCTACTTTTTGTAGGTTTCAATTAAGTTCTAGACTTATAAGCTACAAAATCTAGAACAAGTAACGGTAAGCCAAGCTCAAGAACGAGTAATCGTAAGCCTACAACCGTAAGAAGAATGCCTAAGCCTAACCAGAAATCGGGGCGTGACCCCAAACCCAAATAGACCTAGTGCCAGGCGCTAGCCGTTAGCCTTTGCACTAACTCCAAGTCTAAGCCTGAGGCCCAATCTTGGCTTCTAGTGGCCTGCAAGCAAGCCAGCCCATAGCCTAGCCAAGACCGAAAAAATTGCTTCTAGAATAACTCTGATCTTCTTTTTGTTACCCCTGATCTTTTTCGTCCGTTTCTCGATCCTTAGGCATACTCTTACTCTTATTAGGCAAGAATTTAAATTCAGACAACTATCTGAACTTTGATTTTACCTCTCCATGCAAAAAAACTAACTTTACTAGATTAGAAAAAGCTAATTTCGTTTAGACAATTAATTTCATAAATTAAATAGATTAGATCAAGCTAATTTAGTTCAGATAAAGTTCAGATAAATATTTGGATTTCATCTTTAGGTACTTACTAGTAAGCTTCTAGAAATTTTGATATGAAAAAGATAATAAGGATAGGAAGAACATAGCCATATTCATTACTGAAGTAGTGTTTTTTGTTCTTCTTCCAAAAATATCTCAAACCTATTTGGCAAATTCATTTCTTTGAAGGCAAAAGGTTCCTCTTTTGTTTTTTGACGATCATTCTTTGTCTTTTTCTTTAATGAGTCATTAAAAATCTCTTTTTTTCTCAGATTTTTGATATCCGGTATTTCAAAATAGGGGAAATTCGTCACAAAACGATTCTCCTAGTGACAATATAAAGGTTTCTATAAGTACAAATACTAAGCAAGATCTAAACTTTGAAACCTTTAATGAAACTTTTTAAATCTTGTCAGCTTTTTATTAGAATTGTTTCTTTTCTTACTTTTTTTATCTGAAATTGTTAGATTTTACTTTTCGAAAAGATTTTTAAGAATAAAACTTGTTTAGTTGATAGTTTTAAAGTATTAGATTAAGCTTTTGCTAGATCGAATCTATTAGTTATAAACGATTGAATACGATCGAAAAGTTATAAACGATCGTTTTTGGGTAATGCGTTTTCTGAAAAAACGACTTATCCAATCAAAAAACGGTTTGCTTTATTCAAAAGCCCTATCCTTAATCTACAAAGAGGGAGAAGTTGTCCCACTATCCACCAGGTCACGAACTCATGTTTAAAACCTCTGTAGAACTCTTATAACTCGTGGGTGCGCGGTTTCGTGGATGCCCAATTTTGATGTAAACTTTGAAGCTAAATATCTCGAAATTTTAGAACCATCATCCCCATCGGAAACAAAAACTGATCAAAATGTGCTAGGTCTTGACCCAAAACCGAGATCTAAATCCAAAAGCATTCCTAGTAAGCCTAACAGTCAATATTAGGTTGGCAAGTTATAAACGATGGTTTTTGGGTAATGTGTTTTCTGAAATGTTTTCGGAAAAAACAGCTTATCCAATCAAAAAACGGTTTGCTTTATTCAAAAGCCCTATCCTTAATCTACAAAATGGCTTTTTTGAATTTTTGAAAAATGTTTTTTATTCTAGAACTTTTTTAGACATTTTAATGTAAGAGTTGAAAATCCTCGTTTCTAGCATTCATGAGCTATTATATTTTTGAGCTATTTTTGAGTGATTGCATACTTTTTAAAATAAAACGCTTCATCGATTACATAGTTTCCCAAAATTGCAGAACAATCCAATCGATCGAACCGTTCTCTTTCTTTTAATCTTTTTTTTTTTTAAATCTTGCTTAAATTCAAACGAAAGTGGATTAAATTAGCACAAAAGTGCATTTTAAGCCTAATTTGAAAATCAACTATCTGAAGATTAAGTTAGTTCCTTGTTAGTTAGTTAAGTTAGTTCCTTGGCATGAAGAGGTAAAATCAAAGTATTCAAGTATCTAACAGAAATCCATTGTACAACTCCAGTTTCTTTCCAGTTTCCAGCATCTTTTGACTTCAATTGAAAGGTTTAATGGATGACTAAGGCGAGATTTTAGCCAAATTTTAGTCAAATATTACCATGGAAATTCACGTTTTGTTTAGCATCACAAAATTTAGCTAAAGTTTATTCTCAAATTCTCAATCTTGCAAACTCACCTTTGTACACTCTAGTCTCATTTTTGGTTTTTAAAAACTTGAATTCTCTTATTCAATTATTTCCAGATGTTTACCCAATCTGTGACCTTTTTCGTCTCACTCGTTGCCTTGACATCAGCCGGTCAACAAGCCGTTTCTGTTGAGGGAATGGTAACCTGTAATGGATCACCGTACAAAGATGCCAAGATCAAAATCTATGAGTTGGACACGTGTGAGTAGAACTATAATACTGTAGCATTGGGATACTGTAGTATTTTGTACAATAGAAGGACTTGGAAGATATTTAGTCTCTGGATACTAATGAGTCAAAAAAGCTTACTTTAAAGGCCCCTTAAGCAAACGCGAAAAATATTCTGCGTTCGGGGGGAATCGAACCCCCGTCGAATGCTTGGAAGGCATCCATGCTAACCATTACACCACGAACGCATGTTTTGGGACTGAAATGGGAAGAACAAAAGGATGGATAACCGGTTTCCGTTTCCAGATTGCCTTAAGCAACCTCAGCCTTCTTGATCCCCTAATTCATCCCTTCCAAACATGCGTTCGTGGTGTAATGGTTAGCATGGATGCCTTCCAAGCATTCGACGGGGGTTCGATTCCCCCCGAACGCAAATTATTTTTGATTCTTCAAAAACAGAACTTTATTGGGATTTTTACTATCAAATCGAACTTAACTTCACTTTTGAAGTCTTCACAAGCAAAAAAGTCATACTTTGGCAAACAGATTATGTTTTTTTTGCTAAAATCTTTCAATAAGTCATCCAGAACCTGTAATTTTGACGGACCGGTCAATACCAGTTTAGACAATCGTACTCAGTTTTCAGAGGTGTAATAGAAGATTACAGCAAACATAGCCAATATCCATGGCTGAATTCTAAAGTTTTCCCTTGTTCAGTTCTAAATCCAACAAAATTTGAAAAGCCAAAAAGGTGTTTGTGTGGCGGGCCATCGAACCCCCGTCGAATGCTTGGAAGGCATCCATGCTAACCATTACACCACGAACGCATGTGTGGAGAGGTGCGATGGAAAGGGCAAAAGGATGGATAACCGGTTTCCGTTTCCAGATTGCCTTAAGCAACCTCAGGCTGACAGCCTTCTTGATCCTCCAATTCACCTCCGAGAAATATCCGTTCGTGGTGTAATGGTTAGCATGGATGCCTTCCAAGCATTCAACGGGGGTTCGATTCCCCCCCGAACGCAAATCATTTTTTCTTTTTAAACAAACGGTACTCATCAAATTTAGTTGACTAGAAGAGATGTTTTGAGCACAAAATTCAGTAAAACAATTTAAACTACACTAGATTTTCAAAATGATCCAATCAGTGACATCAAAAATTTTTCCATTTCGGCCTTTAGTTTCTATGGTGCAGGTGAAATTCTGGAAATCGATTTTAAATGAAATTGAAAAGTTTTTGATGAAAAGGATCTTCAAAAATTTCCAAAATATGATCGTAGATATCACATATTTCAATGCTTTACATATTTGGGTTTCGATTTGTGCAAGTAAAACTCAAAAATTCTATTTTCTTAGTTAGCTTTTAGTTCCTTGCTCACTCTTTAATCTCTTTGGTTTATGGACAATTTATATGGCCACTCCGAAAAGACTCAACTATTATGTGTACTATTTGCTGGGCTATCAGGTAAGCTGTGTACTTTGAGCAGCCTTTGTGCTCAAAATTGGAAACACACCCTTATCTAGCGCACTAAATTCTCTACTTTTGCTGACGATAGCGAGCTGTTGTTGTTAGAAATTGGAGAATTGAGTGCACCAAGAAGGACGCGTTTCCAATTCTCTAAACGCATTCTTCTTGGCACACCAAAGTTTCCTTTCAAAGCTTCAGCTCTGTTGTATCGTTTTCGATTTCGGTGGAGCGATCATCGCGTTTCCAGTGTTTTCATTCCCGGCCAAGTGTGCTTTCATTATCGGCATGGCTTCGTGGATTGGCGTTTCTACTGAGCTTCAGGCCGTAAGACTTTGAAATTACCAGATAGCTCTTTCTGAATAGCTGGTTTTCATTTTATTCTAGATATTGAAGATCAGAAGTCAGGTCTAGGCTTTCTGGTGGACTGGCTTGACTAGGTGTATAACCAGGTCTATCAGAAGCCAAATAAGGCTTGGCATGGCTTCGTGGATTGGCGTTTCTACTGAGCTTCAAGGCGTAAGACGTTTAAACTATCAGATAACTCTTTCTGAATAGCTGGTTTTCATTTTATTCTAGATATTGAAGATCAGAAGTCAGGTCTAGGCTTTCTGGTGGACTGGCTTGACTAGGTTTATAACCAGGCCCATCAGAAGCCAAATAAGACTAGTCTAAACAGGAACTAGTCTGTCTTGGCCAGGCTTGTACTGTCAGAAAACAGGTCAGATAGACCAGGTACCATTTTGAACTTAGCTTTGCCTTGCCTGCGTCAACAAATTCCCTTTTTTAACACATTCACGTTAAGACCCACCGGCGTTACGACCCACCATTGGGTTGGGGTGTATGAAATGGCGCCGAGTTTCAAGAGTTTTTTTGGAATGCAGAAAAGCTCCTTAAGATTCATTGTTTGTATAATCAAAAAGATCTATCATTGCTCTACAAAATGGCTTTTGAGATACTCCGAAAAGCTTTTGTTTTGTGGATTTTATAGACTCTTAAACGAAATCAGTCAAAAATGAGTTCGATTCGTTTGATTCGTTTCTTGGGTATGATTTGGTAGAGAAATAAGGGATACTTTTGAATTTACACCAAATTCTGAATAAAACGATTAATGACTACACGGCTGTACGCTCAAAATAGCGTCATCACGAATGTGTCATCAAATCCTAGTCCTCTCGAACACTCATTCAGACCGCCGCCGTCATCATCACCCTCTCAATGCTTTCGATTCTCGGCATCGCCATCTTTCAACGTCAACAATCCATTCTTCCAACAGATCACATTCTCTCATTTTCAATGAAACTTTCAATTTTCGTTCATTTCTTCATTCTCGGCCATCCGCTTTTCATCACTTTCTTCGTTGTATATTTCTTTTTCACGACTGATTCCGATTTGGGAACACGGCAAGCGCTACAGGCGAGTTTTAGAGGTTGTTCTTTTTGGTAGATTAACGCCCAAGTTCAACTCTAATTTGTTAAATGTTATTTAAAATATTGAAATCATTAATCTTAGCTACATTTAGCATTTAAAAGTTTCCCGATTGAAGATTTAAAAATCATTTTACAAGCTTTTGAATTTTACTAGTTGATCCCTGCCATTTTTAGTGATTTTCTTCATAAGGTTCTTCAATCAGAAAGAATTTCTTTTGGCTTTTTGTTTAAAATTTCTTTCCAATAAATTTATAGCAGCTGGATGATTAATATAACAATAATAATATGAACTGAACATCGAAAAAAATAAATTTTCATTTCTTTCCTTGCTCCACTAAAGAAATTTGATTTCAACTTAAAATTGAGTAAGAAGATTCGGTAAAAAACAGTTCTTACTATTATTAAATCTTGTTAAATAATATTTTAAACATAAAATAAATATCAAACAAACTTTTTCTGATAATTTATTATAACGAAAATCGGCAAAAATGACAGAGTGCTGGAGGGTAAAAATGAGTAAAATTCAAAAGCTTGTAAAATGAGTTGTGGATATCCAATCAGGAAACTTTTCATAGAGAAATGTAGCCAAGATTAAGGGCTTCAATATTTTATATAACATATAACATATCAGGGTTGAAATTGGCGCTTGAGAGCTAAAAGAAGTCGTCGTAAATACTGGACACCCTGTAGACTATTAAACTGGATATTTTGTCAGCAAAAAGACCAAAAATTTGCATCGAGGGTGTTCGAGAATGCTGATTCCGAATTTCTCATTAACTTTTTGATATTCAGTCGTTCTCTTAGACAATCCTAACGTTTTGAAAACTGAAAACGAATTTTACGGACAAATTTTCAGAAGATTTAGAAAAAGAGAAAACATCTAAGTCGTCGCGAATCTATTAAAAAGTGGCTATCACGATAACTACTGTGAATGACTATAGATGAATGATTAAACATGGATTAAGCTTTTAAATCCTATCGTGACTATCACGGTAACTACTGTGAATGACTATAGTGATGGTGGTTAAACATGGATTAAGCATTTAACTCCTATTATTAGAACATTTCCTCCATATTGGCTTTATTAATCTTGGCTTAAACTCACTTTTGCCTTTTCTGAAAAAGTCACGGTAGTCGAAACATTATTTGCAATTTCTTTTTCAGAAATATCCAGAATTAGAACAATTTTTGCTGCAACCGAGCAGCATTTGTGCGGACTCGTCTTTTGGAGAGAATGTCGCTACTTTACCACTAATTTATTTAGCGGTCATCATTATTGTGGGACTCTGTAAGAGAGATCTGCATTTTGAAATCAAATCTGTTTTTAGACCTCGTCGCTCCAGCCTATTTAAGTCTTTATGCGCAACGGAAAATCATGAGCGCCAAGACGTTAGCCTTGCAAAAGAAATGGTTACGCAATTTGAATATACAGGTACTTTGTGCTCAGAATTGGAAACACATCCTTTCTCGCATCGAGTTCAGGTTTTCCTCTTCTCTTTGGTGATTATGGTGCCGGTGTTATGGTGGATAGCTGTCTATCAGCTCTCTCTGATCAATTTGACCGGTGAGTGCTAGAAAAGTCTAATCATCTTACTTTGGGTAATTGAATCGGCTTCAAAATTGAATCGATTTGGTTCCCGCCTCGCCCCTCATAAGCCTCTCCTTCGCCCTGCCGCCAACATGTCATTCTGGCCGAGTGGTCTAAGGCGCTGCGTTCAGGTCGCAGTCCTCTTAGGAGGGCGCAGGTTCGAATCCTGCGGATGACAGTTCAGTTTGGTTCAGTGGATAGAGTTTTGCTATGATTACCAAGATCCGTGTAAAGTCTTAATTTCTTATAAAACTGAATATTTGACTTCTTTACTTACTATTAGAGTAATTAAAAGTGATTCAGCTTTGCTGTATTGTGGTGTTGTACTGTAGTGAAGTACAGGGATAACGCCTCTTTTCAGGTCTCAACTTCTGGGCCACTTATTTAGCGATAATGCACGGCACATTGAACACTTGTTCTCTATTTTTATTCTACGATAGTTATCAAAACTTTTTGTTAATCAAAGTGGAAATTGCTCTCTATTATTTATTCAAGGTTCAGCCGAAAAAAACGGCGATTATCGGGAGGAGTTCAACTGTTTCCGTGATCCAGCCACCAAGGAGATCAGCTTCGTTTTCGATAAATGTAAAATAATTGAAAACATTTATATTTTATTAAGATTTATACAGTAAGCCAGTAAATTATTCATTTTTTTTGATTTAAAAATCATCGCCACTGTCACCATCTTTGTGCTCGACTTCATCATCGACTTCATCATCGACGTCTTCAAGCTGAAAAGGGAAAATATTTGTTTTTAAAAGTATTCAGCTAAAGATTTGGTATATTATTTTTAGTTTGGAAATCAAAAAAATCAAAAATCTCAATCCAAATCAAGTTTTTAGAACAAGGAATTTCCATTTTGGAGAATTACAAGCCAAAATAATTGGCAACAGCCTTACCAGTCCGATTTTAGACTAAAGTGAGACTACGGTAGCTACGATATTCATAAAAGACACAGTAGCTAATAATTTAGTAAACGAAAATACTCAACTGAACAAGTACTGCAAGATAGTACAGATACTTTAGTTAATATCAATTTCAATAAGTCTACAAAAGTACAGTACAGCTCGATAGTAAATCATTGAAGGGATTCTCCAAAAATTATTTACTATTAAGTAATTTACTATTGAGTAATTTACTATTGAGTGAGTTACTATTGAGTGAGTTACTATTGAGTGAGTTACTATTGAGTTAGTTACTATTGAGTGAGTTACTATTGAGTGAGTTACTATTGAGTGAGTTACTATTGAGTTAGTTACTATTGAGTAATTTACTATTGAGTGAGTTACTATTGAGTGAGTTACTATTGAGTGAGTTACTATCAAGTGATTTACTATTGAGTGAGTTACTATTGAGTGAGTTACTGTTGAGTGAGTTACTGTTGAGTGAGTTACTGTTGAGTGAGTTACTATTGAGTGATTTACTATTGAGTTATTTACTATTGAGTTATTTACTATTGAGTTATTTACTATTGAGTTATTTACTATTGAGTTATTTACTATTGAGTGAGTTACTATTGAGTGAGTTACTATTGAGTGAGTTACTATCGAGTAATTTACTATTGAGTAATTTACTATTGAGTAATTTACTATCAAGTGATTTACTATCGAGAGTTTTGCCTAATCAGCCCTAAAAACATGAAAGACACTGTGAATAAGCTGATAAATACGATTTTGTGGCTTTAACACGACGTTTAAATGCTTAAACACTAGTAAAAACTAGGCTTTACGGGAATCCAACTTTTCAAAACTGTTTTCAATGACTAGAAAATTAGAATAGCAGGTGATTGCCAGCAACAGCTAAGCAATTGTAAGCTTTTATGGCAAAATATGGGAACTTTGGCAAAAGTTAGTGCTTTACTATGAGATTTACTTACTAAAAGCTCTTAATAATATGTAATGAAATGGATTTGAATGAATGAATGGATGAATGAATTGAATGAATGAATTTGCTGTTCAATGCACTTTTTCCGCTTTCGGTTTTAATCGTTTGGCTGAATATTTTGCTTTGGTAGTAAAATATTCAGCCAAACGAGCCAAAAATGCAAAAATTGCTTAAAAATCAATGATACTATAAAATCAATTTATTGTCGAGCGCTAAATACACGTGTTTACCATTGGAGGGATTTTCTAGTGAGTGATTTACTATCGAGCGTCGACTGTACTTTGAACACCGGTCGTAGTCTAGAAACGTCTCAAAAGTCTTATAAGCGTACGTCGTCTTTTGTTTTAACTTCTTACTTATCGGCTTTATAAGGTACTGCTGCTACTGCAAATACTACAAATACAGTTAAAGAGCTACATGAACTACTTCAAAAACATCACCCACTTCAACGTGCTGCATCGTTCGTTTCCCCCTTGCCCCAATCGCTCTCTCTTGTCCATTCTCCGATCTTGCTCCTCTTGTCCGATCAATATTCATCTCCAATCCACCTTCATCTCCATCACTTGCCATCGCTTCTTCATCACTTTCATCCTCATCCGAAAGACCAGCACCGATCATGTTACCGTAGATTTTTCTAGCGCCTGGAAATGGAGTGGGTGTAAACAAAGAATTCCTTTCTTCATCTTGATACTCCATATTCTTTTCACAAACCTCCAGTTGGTCGCATTGCTTCTGGTTCATCATCGAGCTCAGAGACATCGATTGGTGGAGCATGGTTCGCCGTTTCGGAGCGCATCTTTTCAACCACCTAGATTGATTTTGAAATATTTTAAAAGCTTTTTGAGAAGATTAAGCACAGTTTTGCACAGCACAGCTTTAATTATCAAAGTAAATTGTTATTCAAAACTATGAATGAGTTCAAAGTCACTTCTAGAAAATAAGTACAGCGAGCTAGGGTTGTTTCAAAAGAGACAAAAAGATCAAAATCTTGGCTAATGAAAAAGGCCAGAATTCAGGTCGTTGTCTGGCTTGCAATTCAGGTCGTTGTCTGGCTTCAGCCAGAGATTCAGCCAGAGCCAATATTCAAACCAAAATTCAGCAAATTTCCCGAATCTCACTTGTCTCATATTTGTCTCCGTTTCAGCTTGTCTTTGCCGATCCGCTCTCTCCATTTCGACCATTTGCAATTGTAAATAGGAGAGATTCCGGAATTTTAGTACATAAATTTCATAGAGTTGTTTCAATTTCGCCTCATATTTCTCGTACTCATCCATGTATTGAGGGCGGAAAGACTGAAAAGAGTGGAAATGTTATAGAATACTTGTGGCTCTAACGTTTGTCACTTGCAATGTAAATCTTCCAGCTATTCACACCTAGATGTTACAGTTATTCATTTCACAGTTATTCTTTTTCTTTCTTATTCACAGTTATTCAGTTATTCATTTCACGAGCAGCTAAATGCCGGATTCCTGGTGTCAAAACTCTTTTTTTTCTTTGTCTTAATTTTGACTTTTTTTGTGAGAATTTTCCATCACCACCATGAGATTAGAACCATATTGGAACCATATTAGAACCATATTGGAACCTTATTCTTGGTAGGAACATATTGGAACCATATTGGAACCATATTCTTGGAAAGAACATATTGGAACCATATTGAAACCTTATTCTTGGAGGGAACATATTAGAACCATATTGGAAACATATTGGAAGCATATTGAAACCATATTGGAACCATATTGGAACCATATTGGAACCTTATTCTTGGTAGGAACATATTGAAACCATATTAAAACCATATTCTTGGAAAGAACATATTGAAACCATATTGGAACCATATTCTTGGAAAGAACATATTAGAACCATATTAGAACCATATTGGAACCTTATTCTTGGTAGGAACATATTGGAACCATATTGGAAGCATATTGGAACCATATTGGAACCTTATTCTTGGTAGGAACATATTGGAACCATATTGGAAGCATATTGGAACCATATTGGAACCTTATTCTTGGTAGGAACATATTGGAACCATATTGGAAGCATATTGGAACCATATTGGAACCATATTGGAACCATATTGGAAGCATATTGGAACCATATTGGAACCATATTGGAACCATATTGGAACCATATTGGAACCATATTGGAACCATATTGGAACCATATTGGAACCATATTCTTGGTAGGAACATATTGGAACGATATTGGAACCATATTGGAACGATATTGGAACCATATTGGAACCATATTGAAAAAAAAAATAAAGATAAAATTAAAACTCTACTGACATCGTGGTGTCATATTAGGATATAAACTAAACCAAGGAACTAAGATTTTTAGCCAAACACTTTATTCATCTACATCTCTCGTACATCAGAGATTTTCAACTCGCCTTTTTTAAAGAAGTGCCCCGTTTTTTCTAAGGAAACTGATCAATGTATGATTGAAATTTTTAGTTACCCCAATAGTGTTTATTATGCACTACGATTTCAATAGAAAGTTTTAATTTTATGGCAAAAATCTCATGGTGGTGGTGAAAAATTTTGCGGTCAAGAAAATTCTTACAAAAAGTCAAAAAATTGAGTGACAGAAAAAAACAGTTTTTACACCAGGAATACCACCACTAGATACTTCAACTTTTTCAAAAAATCCGTTTGTAAAGGCCTCTTTTTTTGGACTCTTTTGGTCTCCAAAAGAGAGACCAAATCTCTACCGAAAAGGATCCAAATCTGTACCGAAAAGGAGCCAAATCTCTACCGAAAAGGAGCCAAATCTCTACCGAAAAGGAGCCAAATCTCTACCGAAAAAGAACCAAATCTCTTTCTAGTGTGTCAAAAAGTGTTAAAAATGACATATCGCCGGAGAGAGGTCGACTGGAGCTCATTCGAGAGCTTGTAAAATGAATTGTAGAACTCCAATCGGAGAGTTCTTTGTAGAACTAAAAGAAAAGGGCCGGGATTTTTTTTTTATCCTGGTTTTCCGGTCCTGGACGTCTTGGTGTATCGTTTGATCCAGCTATGTCGAGATTTGGTCTAAACCAAAGCTCACCCTAGTAGAGTGTGTTCCTCGCGAGTAATACATTTTTTTTAGAACGTACACTTGAGAAAAATTACCGTACTTCTGGCGAAAATTATTTAAAGAACCAAATCTGTAAGGAAACACTAGCCACTTCAAATTTTTTCAAAAAATCCGTTTGTAAGGGCCTCTTTTTGGACACCCTATAGCTGCATTTAGCTGCTCGTGAATAACTGTAACATCTCGCTGTGAAGGGGACAATTTGGACAGCATGTATGATCTAGATCTAGTCTAGATTTAGATCCGATACTAGATCTAGTCTAGATTTAGATCCGATACTAGATCTAGTCTAGATTTAGATCCGATACTAGATCTAGTCTAGATTTAGATCCGATACTAGATCTAGACCTGTATCGGAGTAAGATGACGAATTTCACCTGTAACTTGGCAAGTCGTTTCTGTAATTGCTCATATTCTCTTCTTTTTCGATCGATTTTCTCATCGAGCGATCTCTCGTCAGAATTTACGTTGTTCAGTCGCTCCTAAAGAATGTTAATGAGCTTTTTTTAGTTTCTTTTGGTTATTCGAGCATATTTACACACTTAAAAACGCTGTGTCTCACCTCAATCTGTCCAGCTAATCCAGCTAAAGCTGTGGTCGCATTTCGGAGTGCTCCCTCAGCAGCCGATGGAGGAAGCGATCGGGAAACGGCTCTTGATCTCTCCGCCTGCAATTCATTTTTATCTACCAGGTAAAGTTTCATGCATCTATTTTGAGAAATTTGCATTTCTCGTCATTTACCCGAAAGAAGAGCTCTCGATCGAGCAAATTGCTGAGAGCAGCGCCGGTTTGCGGAAGTTGTGAGGCCAAGACGGCACACTGGCGAACTTCTTGCATCTAAAAATTGTAAATTTTTAAAGAATTTGATAATATCGAGCTGTGAAATGCATAACAAGCTGGGTTTTATTAAAAAAATTAAAACTTTAAAACTAGGTTCTTGAAAACTGGCTCGATTATCCGGGAAGAAGGTTTAAATTAACAAAAAAGTTCAAAGCCTCAGCTAAGCTCAGCTCTTTTCGTTTAGTAGTTCAAAATTTGAATAGTCAAGAGTACTTTTAAAGGTTCTAGAGTACTTTTAAAGGTTCTAGAGTACTTTTAAAGGTTCTAGAGTACTTTTAAAGGTTCTAGAGTACTTTTAAAGGTTCTAGAGTACTTTTAAAAGTTAAAAAGTAATAAAAAGCTTCAACTTTTCACTTTAACACAAACTTTTGTGGCTAATTTTGTCCGAATCACTGGAATTGAAACAGAGTGAGCGTCGGCTGTCGTTCCCCGATCGGCTAACGAAAGGACTTTCAACGGGGCGATCAGTTCTTGCACAGCCAAGCCGTTTGCCTGAAAAGTTTATCTTGGGTTTAAACATTGAAATCTCGGGCATTCTGGAGTCAGAATTATGTGGAAATCTCTTCAAAAATCACTATGAAATATCGAAGAATATGTTAGATCTTTTTCAAAAGATTTTCAGCTAAAGAAGTCGCTGAAAAAGGGAATCGTGATGAAATCGATTATTTCTCTTTCTAGTAGATAAAACATCGATTATTTCTCTTTCTAGTAGATAAAACATCGATTATTTCTCTTTCTAGTAGATAAAACATCGATTATTTCTCTTTCTAGTAGATAAAACAAAAGAATGTCACCTCTTATCTCATTCAGATCCAAAGTGTTCCCAATGGGAATTACAAATTTGAGAATTACAAAAGAAATGGTTACGCAATTTGGCAATTGCATTTTGAAATCAAATCTGCTTTTAGACCTCGTCGCTCCAGCCTATTTAAGTCTGTATGCGTCATGAGCGCCAAGACGTTAGCCTTGCAAAAGAAATGGTTACGCAATTTGAATATACAGGTACTTAGTGTTCAGAATTGGAAACACATCCTTTCTCGCATCGAGTTTAGGTTTTCCTCTTCATTTTGGTGATTATGGTGCCGGTGTTATGGTGGATATCTGTCTATCAGCTCTCTCTGATCAGTTTGACGGGTGAGTGCTAGAAAAGTCTAATCATCTCACTTGGGTAATTAAATCGGCTTCAAAATTGAATCGGCTTGGTTCCCCTATCGCCCCTCATAAGCCACTCCTTCCCTCTCCGGTCATCATGTCATTCTGGCCGAGTGGTCTAAGGCGCTGCGTTCAGGTCGCAGTCCTCTTCGGAGGGCGCAGGTTCGAATCCTGCGGATGACAATTTTGACGGATTTTTGCTATCAACATCAGTTGATAGACTATCAATGATTATCAAGATCCGATCGATTATTTCTATTTCTAGCAAATAAAACAAAAGAATGCCACCTCTTATCTTATTTAGATGCAAAGTATTAAATGGAAATTACAAATTCATCTTTGTTTATTGGGCAATAGCTTTTTAAGCTCATAGTTAGTTATAGGATGCGTGAAAAGTTCTGTCACCTCTTAAAAGAGCACTTTTACAATCTTTTCTGAAATTTCCCTGACTCAAAAAGCTATAAAATTGGATTTTTCAAGTATTTTTATGCTAGAAAATTGTTTCATCTTTTCGCTTTTATCTAGAAACTTTTATAGAACTTTTTATGAAAAAAATTTGAGGTACCGCAAGCTAAAAAATAGCTTTTCTAAACACTTTTTTAAATGACTATTTAAATAAAACATTATTCTGAGAACTTTTTAGCATTATTCATAACTTTTTAGCCATATTTCGTGAACAAATTTTGCTTCTACAATGCGGTTTTTTTGAAAAGAAGTGATGAAAATTACATGTGACCTCTATAACTCAAGTCGATCTTAACGTATTTTGTATTGTCGCGTAGGCGTAATAGAAAAACGGATGGACGTTTTATTGCTTGAAATGCTGCCAAAGTTTCTCGAAAAACTACTTGATTTATACCGTATTCTCTCTAATAGTAATGCACCCCGTCGAGCCAAGTTGATGCCTATTTTACGGCTTGTAAGTTTTCACAGAAGCCCATCACTCTAATCACCCACAAGATCTCATCGTCAGCTACATTTTCCGACCCCCACATCGATAGATTCTGATAAGCGGTTCTCGATATTTCGAGGAATTTAGGCGACGCTCAGGGTGAACTCTATTAGAGTTCTATTAGAGTTCTATTAGAGTTCTATTAGAGACTCTATTAGAGTTCTATTAGAGACTCTATTAGAGTTCTATTAGAGTTCTATTAGAGTTCTATTAGAGTTCTATTAGAGTTCTATTAGAGTTCTATTAGAGACTCTATTAGAGTTCTATTAGAGTTCTATTAGAGTTCTATTAGAGACTCTATTAGAGACTCTATTAGAGTTCTATTAGAGACTCTATTAGAGACTCTATTAGAGTTCTATTAGAGACTCTATTAGAGTTCTATTAGAGTTGTATTAGAGACTCTATTAGAGTTCTATTAGAGACTCTATTAGAGACTCTATTAGAGTTCTATTAGAGACTCTATTAGAGTTCTATTAGAGACTCTATTAGAGTTCTATTAGAGTTCTATTAGAGACTCTATTAGAGACTCTATTAGAGTTCTATTAGAGACTCTATTAGAGTTCTATTAGAGTTCTATTAGAGTTCTATTAGAGTTCTATTAGAGACTCTATTAGAGTTCTATTAGAGACTCTATTAGAGTTCTATTAGAGTTCTATTAGAGACTCTATTAGAGTTCTATTAGAGACTCTATTAGAGTTCTATTAGAGTTCTATTAGAGACTCTATTAGAGACTCTATTAGAGACTCTATTAGAGAAAATACGGTATTATAAATATTTTCGTTATAGGTTATAGATTATAAATATTTAGGTTATAGATATTTAGATTAAGTGATAGATATTTAGCTTAGGTTATAGATCTTTAAATAACCATATCTTTCTGTTTAAACTCACCATGTACAACTTTTTCGGATTCAGTTTGATCCTCGCGTTTTGCAGGAGTAAAAGCACGGCACTTTTGATGAAAATCACCTAGATAAGTTCGAAAATAAGAAAATATTTGAAATTTTAGATTTCATTTTATTTTATTCGATTTTATATCAAAATTGACTCACTCTTTCCTGTTCAGTTCCACATTTCGCTGAGATGAGCGCGTTTGGCTCAAAGCTAAACGTTAAATGATAGAAAAAAATAATAATTTAACTCATTAAAATGTCTAAACACTTAAATTTACTAATTTCTTAAAATCTCCCCATTTACCGTAGCACAATCCACTCTAAAAGCTCGGCGACAAGCGCGAAATTCGGTTCTCGGAAAGAATCGATAGAAATTGGACGGGGAAAACCAACGATCCGGCACATTTCGCATAAATCTAAAAGGAAATCATCAAAATCTTTTTAAATTTCAAAACTTACTTCTTAATTCACGAAATGACATTGTAAATTGTTAAATAAAAAGGGATTTGATGTGAGAAAATTTGTCAAAAATTCGATTCTTTCGCTTGTTTTCGGTCGTTTCCATGGAAACGCGTCGACTTTTTCCCTTTTTGGGAAAATTGCGCTTAAAACTGTTCCATTGTGTGTAAAAGGGATTTAGAATATTGCCCTGAGTATTTGAATAATTAAACAAACCAGGAAAACTTAAATTTTCATAATACATTCGACTCTCTCTATTACGAAACTCTATATAGTGGAAAACTCTATATAACGGAATGGAATTTTGGTTCTGGTCGACGCTAAGTTATATATAACGGCACTCTATATAAAGGAAAGGTTTATATAACGGAAAGGTTTATATAAAGGAAAGGTTTATATAAAGGAAAGATTTATATAAAGGAAAGATTTATATAACGGAAAGGTTTATATAACGGAAAGGTTTATATGTCGTAGCCGATTATGAATTTCAGCCGATTATGAATGAGTGGGTCTAGGAGCGTCCAACCATCAAGTATTTGGTATCATTCAACGCAGAATCATTAATAATTATGTTAAATTTTTAAAATTAGAAAGATTAGATAAAAAGAAAAAAATTATGGGGCCTCAAAGTTTCCTCTTGAACAAACAGTTTTTTTTGCTCTAATTTTTTTTCTTTTTATTCAATCTTTCTAATTTAAAAAATTTAACATAATTATTAATGATTCTGCGTTGAATGATACCAAATACTTGATGTTTGGACGCTCCTAGACCCACTCATTCAATAATCGGCTACGGGGGTCCCGCCGATTTTGAATGAAACGTTGTAGCACCCGCAATTTTTAACCTAAACTCACAAATTTGGTACCAATCGACGCAGAATTTAATTCGCTACAGGATGATATAATATTGTCCTCATACATTAAAGGGTTGCTCTACTAGAAAGATTTTCCAAAAAATTTCATTCATAATCGGCTACGACATATACAGTAGGGTCCAAAAGTTTGGAACAATCACCTTCCGGCAACTTTAACTCGATGTAACTTGCGTTAAATACATTCAATTTTGTTACTTTAAAAACTATTTTTGTTGGATTTTTTGTGAACTTTCTGAATGTCTATTTGATTTTATTTGATATTTGGTCTTTTTTTTTTGCCTTGCTCTATTTCTTGGAACGCCCATTTTTTAGGGGTCCAAAAATTTGGAACAATTTCAAAAATAACAATTCATTTAACGATTAACCGGCAAAATTCAGTATTTTGTGGCGTATCCCTTTGCTTTAATAACAGCTGCGCAACGATTTGGCATCGAATCAATCAAATTGTCAATGATTTGCCTTGGGATCTTAGTGTATAAAGCAAGCTCTATATAAAGGAAAGCTTTATATAAAGCAAGCTCTATACAAAGAAAAGCTCTATATAAAGGAAAGCTTTATATAAAGCAAACTCTATATAAAGCAAGCTCTATAGCAAGCTCTAACGGAATGCTTTTTGAAAATTCTTTGATTTCTTCCATTCCGTTATAGAGAGAGTCGACTGTAATTACATTTAAGATGAGCAAAAAGACACCTTGTTTTTCATATCTGTTTAAATTAGATTGTATTTTGAATAATTCAATACAATATTTATTACAAAGAGTCCAGTTCATTTCAATTATGCTGCGTTTTTCTAAATTTTACGTTGAAATTGGAAAATCTGATTAGCTTTACCACACAAACGCCATTTTTACACGTTCCTTGATAGCAAACGTCCTCGCCTCGAGTGAAAATAGCACACTAAAGCAAATAAATTAGTTCCCATCTCAAATCTGGCTGTTCATTTTGTCATTGATTAATAGATCAATCATATTTTTGAATTTTTTGCACTTACAGGTCCTCCGGGTATTATCTTGGCCATACATTTTGGACCTGGTGACCAAAAGGCTGCTGGACTCAACGAGCAGAAGAGGTATCTAGAAATGGATTGGGTTAGATTTACTTAGATTTGCTTAGTTAGATCGATCAGGTTAGTGTCTGGTTTAGACTTAAACAAATTAGAAATAAAGAAACTAACTAAAGAAAGGCATGAACTCAATGTGAGCTTTTTTCTGGACTTTATAGAATCAGGAATCAGGAATCAGGAATCAGGAATCAGGAACTTTAAATCTGTTAGCTCATGTGGTATTTTTGAGTCATTTTCCAGCTCTATAGCACTTGATTGAAAGCTTTTATGCAGAAAAGAAATTTTAAAAAGGGTTGCTACGCAGGAGTACGCGATGATACTCTTTACCCGGTCTTCTATTCGAAGAAATACGGTAATTACTAAAAGCGATTCAATGTCCAAAGTTCACTCACGGACTTCCGCATTGTTTTCGATTTTTAGCGGAGCAAATCGGCGACACCGCGTACTGGAAGAGCTCCTGGGTGTAGAGATTCGATAAAGCGTCCATTACACTCAAATTTATGTCAACAATTGAATCAATTGATAGATTTACTTCAAATTTGTGAACGGTTCGAGGATCGAGTCGGCAGTGTGCGTGGAAGAGGCGCATCCCTCGATGACGTCATCAGTTGGGTATTGTGTTTCACGTTCTTCAGGGCTCTAGAGAAGCTTTTGTTGATCAAAAATTTAGAGCGTTTAAAGATTAAAGTAGAGAAAATCTCTCAATTCCCCTTTTCACCTGCCACTTTTGCCGCCATGCTTCCCAGATTTGATCATAGAGACAATGGTGCATGAAGAAAAGCGGATCAGCGCTTGCAGTCGGTGTATCACTCATATCACCTAGTTTTAACAATTTTGTGAGTAAATTTTTGGCTTCAAAGAGTGGAGTTTACGTTTTCTAAAAGGAAAAACGAGAAAAAAAGATTGTGAGACGTTTTATACGCGCTTTGCCCCTTTTCCCATTCTCAATCAAACTTTGAGCTCAAATTTCTTGATGTTGGGCTATCCAATTTCAATATTCTCGGCATTATTAGATGCGCCAAGTCTTTCTCTATCGATTGGTACGAAAACTACTTAAATTGAACGCACCAACATCAAGAAATTTGAGCTCAAAGTCATGGCAATGGAGAAAGGGGCGGGGCGCGTATATAAGCCCGTATGCCATTAGCAATCAAACTTTGAGCTCAAATTTCTTGGTGTTGGTGCATCCAATTTAAATCATTTTTCTACTAATCGATAGAGAAAGACTTGGCGCATCTAATGCTACAAAAACTATTTAAATTGAACAGTCCAACACCAAGAAATTTGAGCTTAAAGTGAGATTTCCAATGGGAAAAAGGTCAGAAGCTAAGAGTAAGGCATAAGGCTTTAGCCTGCAATGGGATACGTGTGCATTTAGCTCATTGGTAGAGCGCTAGCGCGTCAAGCGAGAGATCCTGGTGCCGACCAGGTTTGTATCCTATACCCATCAAAGAACCGGTGTGTCCAACTCCGGTTCTTTGATGAACCGGAGTGGATCTCAGGATCAATCCAATAATTTATAAATTGAACAGCTCAACATCAAGATATTTAAGCTCAAATTTAGATTGCTAATGGGAAAAGCGGCGAGGGCCAAATGTCCCAAAATTTAATGAAAATTTCAATTGTCTAACTTTAATCGATTAATTAATTCGTGGGAAACAGTCTAGTCCAGTTTCTATGTTTTTAAACTCACCTCCAACACCAAGATGTCCGTATCCGTGATAGATCTCAAGACTTGGCTCCCACGATTGAAACCACGCAACTTTGCAACCCTAAAAGAAATCTGATATTGATATATAAAGGAATTTTCTTTTCGATTGAATCGATTGAATTGAGAAACAAGTTAGAGTAAATTCGAAAATCAAAGAATAGAGCCGTTTCTAGATAGAGCGTTAGATAGAGCAATTGCTCGACGAATTCCATCTTTCCTACGACACGATCACTTTGATTTTATGTGACAAGGAATGAATATTGAAAGAAATAGATGACAAAGGAGATGACAAAGGGAGAAATTGAAGAAAAATCAGAGCTTATTGAGCTCTATGTTTCTAAAGTTTCCAAAAGCTATCGTGATCCTGTCTGAGCTACCGTATTCTATCTACTTTCTGCTTCTGTTTTACTTTCTACTTTTTCACAAAGCTCAAAGTTATGGCAATGGCAAATGGATGGGGCGCGTATATAAACCCCTAAGCCCCGCCCCTTTGCCATTGGCAATCTAACTTTGAGTCCAAGTTTCTTGGTGTTGGGTTGGTCAATTTAAATAGTTTTTCTACCAATCGACAGAGAAAGACTTGGAGCATTTAATGGTACAAAAACTATTTAAATTGAACAGCTCAACATCAAGATTAGAGTTAATCTAACTCTAACATCAAGTTAGAGTTAATTCGAAAATCAAAGGATAGAGCCGTTTCTCAATTGCTCGACGAATTCCATCTTTCCTCGGACACGATCACTTTGATTTTATGTAACAAGGAATGAATATTGAAAGAAAGAAATGGTGAAATAGATGACAAAGGGAGAAATTGAAGAAAAATCGGAGCTGATTGAGCTCGATGTTTTCTAAAAGATTTGATTCAAGCTCTAAAAGATGTGAAAGCTCAAATTTCTTGGTGTTAGTGCGTCGAATTTAAATAGTTTTTGTATCATTAGATGCGGCAAATCTTTCTCTATTGATCGGTAGAAAAATTATTTAAATTGGACGCACCAACGCCAAGAAATTTGAGCTCAAAGTTATGGCAAAGGGGGCGGGGCTTAGGCTTATATACGCGCACCGCTCCTTTGCTATAGAAAGCTCAAATTTCTTGGTGTTAGTGCGTCCAATTTAAATAGATGCGGCAATTCTTTCTCTATCGATTAATCAAACTTGAGAAATCTCTACATTTTTCAGCTTTTTCAGCTTTTGTCTAAATAAGCGCCACTTTTCGGAAACGATATTTATAAATTTAAATTCCGATTCCTTATGGTTTAATCATTATCCTGTGAACTACCGAATAAGCGGCAGGCACTCTGAAAATGTAGGTGTAATCAGTGGCATAGGTCATGATCAATTGAATGGTTGTGTCGACGATGAAACCGAAACGAGTGCCCACATTGCGCACCAGTGAACTCGACTGGAAACTTGGGTTATTGTAACTTGATCGCAATCACTCTAGAAACCTGATTCACATTCAACCATCCAGCTGCGGGACCTGTGCGCACTTTTCCGCTTGGATTACCCATAAAGTCTGGACTGAAACCGGGATTGTTAGCTTGTTTTTGAGAAAACTAGACTTTCAGAGAGTCCGAAAGTTTGCAAAAGCTACCGTAATCCTGTCTCTATTTTTGGGTTTGAGAGTTTTTGAATTTTGCAAAAGCTACCGTATCCCTTTCTCTATTTTTATCCACTTTTTCTGCTTCTAATCACGAAGGATATCAAAAGATACAGAAAGTGAATGGATTAGATAAAAACTAGACAGATTACAGTAATCGAGAAATGGGAAACTTTTTAGAAACTGAATCGGTTGATACATTAAGGCAAATTCTTTAAAAATAGTTAATTTTCAAAAAAAATCTATCTAATCTATTCACTTTTAGGTCTTTTTTGAATCATATAATCAATCAAAAAGTAGATTGAATAAAAGCTAGAAGATTACCGTATTCAACTAGAAGGTTACGGTATTCAAGCTAGAGGATTACGGGATTCAAGCTAGAGGATTACAGGATTCAACTAGAAGGTTACGGTATTCAAGCTAGAGGATTACGGTATTCAAGCTAGAGGATTACGGTATTCAAGCTAGAGGATTACGGGATTCAACTAGAAGGTTACGGTATTCAACTAGAAGGTTACGGTATTCAACTAGAAGGTGACGGGATTCAAGCTAGAGGATTACGGGATTCAAGCTAGAGGATTACAGGATTCAACTAGAAGGTTACGGTATTCAAGCTAGAGGATTACGGTATTCAAGCTAGAGGATTACGGTATTCAAGCTAGAGGATTACGGTATTCAAGCTAGAGGATTACGGTATTCAAGCTAGAGGATTACGGGATTCAACTAGAAGGTTACGGTATTCAACTAGAAGGTTACGGTATTCAAGCTAGAGGATTACGGGATTCAAGCTAGAGGATTACGGTACTCAAGCTAGAGGGTTACGGTATTCAAGCTAGAAGATTACGGGATTCAAGCTAGAGGATTACGGTACTCAAGCTAGAGGGTTACGGTATTCAAGCTAGAAGATTACGGGATTCAAGCTAGAGGATTACGGTATTCAAGCTAGAGGATTACGGTATTCAAGCTAGAGGATTACGGGATTCAACTAGAAGGTTACGGTATTCAACTAGAAGGTTACGGTATTCAACTAGAAGGTGACGGGATTCAAGCTAGAGGATTACGGTACTCAAGCTAGAGGATTACGGGATTCAAGCTAGAGGATTACGGGATTCAACTAGAAGGTTACGGTATTCAACTAGAAGGTTACGGTATTCAAGCTAGAGGATTACGGGATTCAAGCTAGAGGATTACGGTACTCAAGCTAGAGGATTACGGGATTCAAGCTAGAGGATTACGGGATTCAAGCTAGAGGATTACGGGATTCAAGCTAGAGGATTACAGGATTCAACTAGAAGGTGACGGGATTCAAGCTAGAGGATTACGGTATTCAACTAGAAGGTTACGGTATACAACTAGAAGGTTACGGTATTCAACTAGAAGGTGACGGGATTCAAGCTAGAGGATTACGGTACTCAAGCTAGAGGATTACGGGATTCAAGCTAGAGGATTACGGGATTCAACTAGAAGGTTACGGTATTCAACTAGAAGGTTACGGTATTCAAGCTAGAGGATTACGGGATTCAAGCTAGAGGATTACGGTACTCAAGCTAGAGGGTTACGGTATTCAAGCTAGAAGATTACGGGATTCAAGCTAGAGGATTACGGTACTCAAGCTAGAGGATTACGGTACTCAAGCTAGAGGGTTACGGTATTCAAGCTAGAAGATTACGGGATTCAAGCTAGAGGATTACGGTACTCAAGCTAGAGGGTTACGGTATTAACGTTTTTGGGAAACGATTTAGTAGAGAACTTAAACTATTAAAGCCATTGGCTACAAAAAAAAAAGACAAACGTGAACGTGATTTGCCATTTCGATGCCCACGCCGATCCATTGCTCAGCGGATTGTAGTTATTAACGTTTGAGTTCCAGAAAGGTAAGGCAACGAGCGGGTCCACTTTGCGTAACTCTAGCTCATATCTAATAAAAATTACAAAATTACCAGTGGATAGTATTATTTCGTACATTAGATGTCTATAGATAGCTAGAAAACTAGACTTTAGACTTTAGACTTTATACACCTTTTCAGCAGCTCTCTGTGCCACAGCAAGAAAGCTGGTCCGTTGTGCGCGTTCACCGCGAAAGCCGCCTTGTAGTGGAACTGGGCTAAAGAGCTTCAGATCACAAATACAAGTGCAGTTTACAAGTACAGTTCTTAAATGAATATCTATTCACCGAACGTATCGTAGACACCATTTGCTTTCAATGCTTTCAATGCTGCGTGATAGCGATTTCGTTCAACGTTTGTCAAAGTGTGGTACTCTTTTCGAATTGCCTAAAAAGATTGAAAAGAGATTATGATAGTTGGATTATAATAACTGGATAACTGAATGACTGGATAGCTGGATAGCTGGATAACTGGATAACTGGATAACTGGATAATTGGATAACTGGATAACTGGATAACTGGATAATTGGATAACTAGATAACTGGATAACTGGATAACTAGATAACTGGATAACTGGATAATTGGATAACTGAATGACTGGATAACTGGATAACTGGATAACTGGATAACTGGATAACTGGATAACTGGATAACTAGATAACTGGATAACTGGATAATTGGATAACTGAATGACTGGATAACTGGATAACTGGATAACTGGATAACTGGATAACTGGATAACTAGATAACTGGATAACTGGATAATTGGATAACTGAATGACTGGATAACTGGATAACTGGATAACTGGATAACTGGATAACTGGATAACTAGATAACTGGATAACTGGATAACTGGATAACTGGATAACTAGATAACTGGATAACTGGATAATTGGATAACTGGATAACTGGATAACTAGATAACTGGATAACTGGATAATTGGATAACTGAATGACTGGATAACTGGATAACTGGATAACTGGATAACTGGATAACTGGATAACTGGATAACTAGATAACTAGATAACTAGATAACTAGATAACTAGATGACTGGATAACTGGATAACTGGATAACTGGATAGCTGGATAACTTTAATCGGCTGAAATCGGCTGAATCGGCATAATCGGCTGAAATTCATAATCGGCTACGACATATAAACCTTTCCGTTATATAGAGCTTTCCGCTATATAGAGTTCCGTTATAGAGTGAATCGGCTGTAAACCATCTGGAGTTTGTTGGCTTAAATTTAAGGCCAAATTCGAATTCTAGAGTCTTTTAAGCCCCGATTTGCAAATTTCTGGGATTTAATTATTCATTTTGGTCCAAATCAGTCGTTTCGCAAAAGATGCGGGGCTATCAATGCATTAAAAAGCAACTGACCTTTGTCAAAAGGACTCCTTTGTACATGCAGGGGACCGTTGCCGTTCCTATGCATTTTTGATATTTGTTTTGAAAGCTCCCGTAATCCTCTGAGCCTTATTACATGAAGAAAAGTATTTAGCTAGCAGTCGTTTTGTTCAATTGAAAGAAAGAAAAAGGAAAAGTCAACTGAATCTATATTTTTAATTCTGGTAAATTTTGCGACAATGTCTGCCTGGGAAATTTCGCCTTTAATAAAGTTTTCTTCAAAACTAAACCATTCCAAAATTTGCACAAGCATTTCATCGTGAAACACTCTTGATAACTCGTCGCATTCGCGTCGATTGCCAACGCGTTCACTTTCGGTAAAGCGATTATTGCCCGTTTTGTTCTTCGATTCGTTTTTGGATTTGCGCGATTTGCTAAAAAGTCTATATTTCTTTATATTTCAATTGACTCAAGTAAAATATGCAAATTAGTTAAATAATATTCTTAATCAGTTAAATCAGTTAAATCAGTTAAATCAGTTAAATCAGTTAAATCAGTTAAATCATTTAAATCAGTTAAATCAGTTAAATAATATTCTTAATAAAAATAATAATTAAATAATAAACAATACAAAATATTCGATCTATAATATAGAATCCCCGATTCTATATTATATTAGGGTGGTGCAAAAGAAACTGTCGATGGGTATCAGCTCTCATTTATCAGAAACGAGCGTTGCTAACGGCATTATTTTTTTTATGTTTTGTTCGCATATTTGTTTGCTATTTATTTCGACATTTGAATTTTTTGGTTGTTGTTTATTTTATTTAAAAGTGCTTATATTTTTTATTTAGATCATGGTCGAGCAAAAGTTTGTGCTACGAGCAGCACTACTGTTTAACTTCAAAATTGGAATCTTCTGCTGCCGAACCGCATTGTTCTCTCTGTGCTGCTTTCGGAGATGACCGTTTGTCTCTCAGGAAGTGTCTCTCTTCGAGTACGGTTCGAGGCCAGAAGTTGTGAACGAAGCCAAGATGAGGGACGCATTCAGGCCGAGCCATGCCAATCTGCTCGAGATTTTGGGAAAATATTCCATTTGTCCTACGAGCAGCATTACTGTTTAACTTCAAAATTGGAAAGTCTGCTGCCGAATCGCATCGTTGTCTCGCAAGGAACCAAAAGAGAAAAGAGGACCAAATTTGTAGAGAAAAGGAACCAAATTTGTAGAGAAAAGGAACCAAGTCTGCTGCCGAATCGCATCGTTCTCTCTGTGCTGCTTTCGGAGATGGCAGTTTGTCTCTCAGGCAGTGTCAGACTTGGTTTCAACGATTCCGAGAGGGAGACGAGACTTTGGAAGATTACGAGCACGGTTCGAGGCCAGAAGTTGTGAATGAAGCCAAGCTGAGGGACGCATTCAGGCCGATCCATGCCAATCTGCTCGAGATCTTGCGAAAATATTCCATTGTGATCATGTCACCATCGAACGCCATCTTTTTTTGAATTTACCGTCAAATCGGCAGTTTCTTTTGCACCACCCTAATAGAATTCTCTATTCTATATTATAGATAGAATATTTGCGAATTTTACTTAAGTCAATTGAAGAAATATTCACTCTTTAATATTCATAATATAGAATTCCCGTTTCTATATTATTCTATATTATTCTATATTAATCTATATTATTCTATATTAATCTATATTAATCTGGTTGAGTTTTCAATCTTCTTGATTGTCTAAATCTTTGCTCTTTGCTATCTTTGCTAAAATTAAAATAGCAAAATTTCTTCGAAACACATGACTTTTGATTGCCTAATCGTTTAGGAGATTTCGTAATGAATTTGTGTAGTTTTTTCATCGTTTAAAATTTCCTTCAGTGGTCAGTGGCCCTAGCCAAGTGGTCAGTGGCCCTAGCCAAGTGATCAGTGACCCTAGCCAAGTGGTCAGTGGCCCTAGCCAAGTGATCAGTGACCCTAGCCAAGTGGTCAGTGGCCCTAGCCAAGTGATCAGTGACCCTAGCCAAGTGGTCAGTGGCCCTAGCCAAGTGATCAGTGACCCTAGCCAAGTGGTCAGTGGCCCTACATTCTAGCATTCTTAACGTTTTTACCAGCTTTCGGATGTAATTCAGCGTATCGCACTTTCGCCATATTGTGCTCTTTGACCGTTTCTTGCCACATTTTCACCGTTTCTCGGTGATCTTGCTGGGTTTTTGCGACGACTTTCCGCTGTGCTTCGATCATCGATTGATCAACTGTGTTTAAGCCTGAATAGATCTATGTATTTACGGTATTTAGATCATCATTTAGAGTGGAAAAGCTTAAAAACTGTACAAGATAAATAGCTTAATCCGTTTTCTAAAAGATGCGCTTTTGGGGAAAGCCGGTAAGCTAGGTTTTTGGCACATTTTAAAACCATTTCTACCAATTAGATCTACCGTAATCTGTTGTCTTGAACAAAAGAATTAAAAAGCAATGACAGACATTTTTAAAGACTGAAATATCTACCGTAGTCTGTCTATAAAACTGTCTACTACTATAACTTTAAAACAAAATGCAACTCACCGACTAGCTCTCGTAGCTTTGCCCTTGCCGCTGACAAAACAGCAGCTGTATCTTGCTCGATTTTTCTCGCATTCAACCTTGCATCAGCAAAATATTTCAAATCCTGATCACTTATTAATCCCTTCAACTTTTGCAAGCGTTTCCTTTCGTTTTTCTTTCGTTGAGTGAGCGTTTTTTGGCGCATTTGGCGAAGGCGGCAATGGGCTCTAAAAGTCGAACTTTAGAACTCTAGAAGGCGGCAATGGGCTCTAAAAGTCGAACTTTAGAACTCTAGAAGGCGGCAATGGGCTCTAAAAGTCGAACTTTAGAACTCTAGAAGGCGGCAATGGGCTCTAAAAGTCGAACTTTAGAACTCTAGAAGGCGGCAATGGGCTCTAAAAGTCGAACTTTAGAACTCTAGAAGGCGGCAACGGGCTCTAAAAGTCGAACTTTAGAACTCTAGAAGGCGGCAATGGGCTCTAAAAGTCGAACTCTAGAACTCTAGAACTCTAGAATAAAAACTGAAAAACTAGAATCTCAATCTCAAACTGACGCAAGTGAAACATTCCGATCGAAAGCCATTCCGAATCTGTTTAAAGTTCTCTTTGATCGTCTTTGCGATAAAAGTTGAAGGTCAAGTTGGGCGCATTCCGCTTTTCGTTTTACGACCTCTTTCTGAAGAATTGCATTAAAAAAGAACATTTATTCAGACGAATAATGTGATACAAACATACAAACAAGCACAATTCCTAAGCCCTAAACGTATAGAAGAAAAAAAAACCCCAAATACAATTTCAAATTCTTAAGCACACCCTCCAAAATCAAGATTTTTGCATTAAAATCAAGAATTTTGCATTAAAATCAAGAATTTTGCATTTTGAACAACGCTGCAACTCTAATTCCTTTTCTATTGGAAAGAACGTGTCTTAAAACCTAGAAAACACTAAAAATAAGCTGTAAAAAAGCTTGACGACTTTAAAGCATCGTTTTTCAGTTCCGTTTTGCACTTCATTGATCGTTTTTTCGTGGATGTTGTTCACAAGATGTCTAGCTCGTGGTGTAAGCTTTGGTTTTGGTCCTGGCTTCTTCTTTAGTGCAGAAACGGTCATCGACTTGATATAATTTCAAATGGCACAGTTGGAGCCCAAATTTTGCCCTTTTGCCATTTTTCTTATTGAGTTTGCTTCTCCGTCAATCAAACGTCCTAAAATCTGGCTTTTTTCATAATTCATGAGCAACTTCGGAAAGCTTGTTGCTCACAAATTGTCGACTTCGAAGCGTCAATTTTCCTTCCGTTTTCACTTCACTGATCGTTTTTTCGTAAAGAATAATAAAACATAATCGGCTTTCTAACCATAGATCAATCCTGATTCATATGACTCTTGGCAAACGCCAATCGGGCAAAAGCGTCACAGCCGGTTGCTTGTTCAACAAGTGTCGATTGATATGTGGATTTTCCGTGACGGCTCGCCAAATTGTCGACTTCGAAGCGTCGATTTTCCGTTCCGTTTTCACTTCACTGATCGTTTTTCCGTGGATGTTCTTCACAATATGGCATCTAGCTCGTGGTGTAAGCTTTGGTTTTGGTCATGGCTTCTTCTTTAGTGCAGAAACGGTCATCGACTTGTTATAATTTCACACGGCACAGTTGGCACAGTTGGAGCCCAAATCTTTTGCGATTTTTCTTATTGAGTTTGCTTCTCCGTCAATCAAACACGCATCAATCTGGCTTTTTTTCGTAATTCGTTAGCAACTTTCCGTGTGCCATTTACCTGGAAATTAACAAAAACTATAAATTTAATAATAAAATATACAAAACAAATGGAAAATTTAAAAAAAAATCAAGAATTTGAAACGGTTTATTTATCAAAAAGTTTCTATTTTGAAAAAACTTTTACTATTTCATTTTTACAGTATTCTTAGTGTTTTTTAGGTTTTAAGACACTCTCTAGAAAAGGAAAAGAAATAAAAGAATAATATTTTCAATAGAAAAGACCCAATAGAAAAAGAATAATAGTTGCAGCGTTGTTTAAAATACAAAAATCTTTATCTTTATTTTGGAGGCTGCGCTTAAGAATTTGAAACACACTATATGGGGAAAAGAACTAATAATCTAGCCAACGGAATTGAATCCTTGACTTCCTAAGATATAGGACTCTTAGCCAGTCAGTCATGGTGGCGGCCAGTTGCCTCCAAGTAAAAGCTCACATGCACTCGTGTGCTCCATTTTTGCACCATCATACAAATTTCTTTGTTGTCGGTCTCGTTTACTTTGTTGCAATCCTAAAAAGCGTAAGTAAAATGGTAATTTTTGAAGAATAGTTGGGAGAATTGAGTGCATCAGATACTCACACCCAGGATGGGATTTCATTACCATGCATTTGGCTTTTAGCCCTGAATCTGAACCTAATCGGGACTGGTTTTAGTCTAGCCTAAACCTCTAGCTGTTAGTCTAGCCTAAGTTTGACCTTTAGCCTTGTCTGGTCTGGCTAGCCGTGCCTAGTGATTAGCCTTGCCTGGCCAAGCGGCTTTGAGCTGAACCTGGTTACAACTTTGGCTCAGGTCTGAGCATGGCCGTTAGCCTTGTCTAGCCGATCTGCTTTAAGCTGAGCCTAACTGTTAGCCTTGCCTAGCCAATCTGCTTTGAGCTGGACCTGGTTACAGCCATGGCTCAGGCCTGAGCATGACCGTTAGCCTAACCTTGCTTGCCTAACTGGTTTAGCCTATCCTAATCTGGATCTGGTTGTTCGTCTAGCTTTGGCTCTGTTAGTCTAGCTGAATCTAGCTTTGGCCTAGCTCAATTTAGAATTCTAAGCTAGCTTCCGTTTCTGGCCTAGTTACAGACTCCAGAGTTACACTACATCAATGCTTACCCTCGCAAATTCGATAGTCGATTTCTCATCAGGTAACTCATCATCATTTCCATCCGAATCGAGCTTTTTCAATTCTTTTTTAGCTTCCTCCATATCATCATCGGATTCATCAACTGCATCGAGTAAACTCTCAATCGGAACGTCTATTTGCGTTAAAACTCGATCAAAAGCGATGAATAAACACAGAAACAAGTGAATCAATCTCATCTATGGTTTAAATTTTCAGAAACTTTTTAGAAAATTCACTTCTTATCGAAATTTTTTGAATTTAAATGAATCTCTCAATAAAAGTAACGATTTTTCCACGTAATTTATGAAATTCTAATGTGAAATTTTAAAAAGTTAAGGGAAAGAAAGGAAAGAAAGGAAAGAAAGGAAAGAAAGGAAAGAAAGGAAAGAAAGGAAAAACTACCAAATAGACTTCAGAAAATTTTATGATTCGCAATGATTTGTGGGAAATTTTGAAGAATTTCGACTCTTTCTTGTTTTCAACTTTATAGACATTGATTTTTGGGAATGGAAGGGATCGTTTGACAAGAAAATGACAAGAAAAGGAAAACTATCGAAAGATAAATAAAGATTTGAAGTTTTCGATTTGTACAATGTACAATGTACAATGTAATAAAATGTATTAAGCATAGAACAAAGTGACTTAAGAAACCCCCAATTACACTTCTGAAGATCAAAACATGTAGAAAATTCAGTAAAAGGTATCACAGTAATTCGTTCAACGTTTATAATCTTTTTATATCAAATGAACGAGAAATCTTCAGAATCTTCAGAATCCCTGTAGTCTTGTTTACAAACTTATTCTTATTCTTAAGAAGCTTGTTCTTATTCTTAACAAGCTTATTCTTAACAAGCCTATTCTTAAGAAACTTATTCTTAAGAAACTTATTCTTAAGAAACTTGTTCTTATTCTTAACAAGCTTATTCTTAACAAGCCTATTCTTAAGAAACTTATTCTTAAGAAACTTATTCTTAAGAACCTTATTCTTAAGAACCTTGTTCTTATTCTTAAGAACCTTATTCTTAAGAAACTTGTTCTTATTCTTAACAAGCTTATTCTTAACAAGCCTATTCTTAAGAACCTTATTCTTAAGAACCTTATTCTTAAGAAACTTATTCTTAAGAACCTTATTCTTAAGAAACTTGTTCTTATTCCAAGAACCTTATTCTTATTCCAAATAAACTTATTCTTTATTATTCTCAGTTGAACTTCTCATAGATATCTTTAGAAAAATTCAGCAATCATTTATGAATATATCAAAATTCATTTGCAAACTTTCAACAAGACGGATCAAATTTCACTCCTTGTTAAACTCTTGATATTGTGTTGGTAAGTTGAAAAACTAAAGAAACTGAGCCACATAATTTAGACATACAATAGAAGATATTATAGTAATTTGTTTTAAAATTCACAATCTAATTGTATTTGAAAGAAAAGACTCAAGAATCTCAGGTTTATACAGGTAGAATCTGAGAGATCACCTCCTAGACACTTGTAGAACACTTGTAGAACACTCAGTAGAATATGTAGAAGATATCCATTCAGGATCTTATTGTATTAAGTTCACAAAGATGAGGAGAAACCCTGTGACAGAGAAGATCTCTAATATCCATCTTATCTGACAAGAATTCGAGTTTTTTTTCTTTTTCTCACTGTTTATTCTCGGTGCAACATCAAAGCTCGACAGAATTTTATCAAAAAAACAATAAATTCCTATCTTTCTTTAAAGCTTTCTGAACTTTTTGATCAAAGTGCGTAAATGGAGAAAGAGATGGGAAATCAGTTATCGAAAATGAAAAATGAAATGGATGACTAATCAAAGAGTTCGTTAATAAACATTAAAAACTTGAATTCATCTTAGAAAAGATATTCAGCTATTCAATAAGTCTTTACATTGTATTTGAATGAAAATACAATGTAAAGACAATAGCCTATCGCTAGATCAAATGTCAAATAGAAAACAAGTACTAAAAAATGACTTGAAGAAGTTGGGTAACTTCTTAGCCTTCTTAGCTTAACCAAACCTAGGTAACTAAGCTACAGGATGAGCCAAAATTACCATTCCAATGCTCACTCAATAAATTCCTATCTCATTCAGCGTTGTGAATTTATTTCTTTAAAGCTTTCTGAACTTTTTAATCAAAGTGCGTAAATGGAGAAAGAGATGGGAAATCAGTTATCGAAAATGAAAAATGAAATGGATGACTAGTCAAAGAGAATGTTTAATTTTTAGAATGGTTCGAGCATCATTGGGATTCAGCTCTAAATACTTGCGTCCGACGGTGAAATTTGGTGGTGAAGCGGTCATGGTATGGGGTGAGAGAGTTATGTATATTAATCTTGTTTTTTAGGAGCTATGGCAAGAAGTTCACCGGGTCCATTGGTCCTTCTCAACTCGACTCTTGATGCCCAGCGCTACAAGACGCTACAAGACGATCCTGTAGAACAAATTTCTTCCTTTTGCGACCGCCAAAATGGGACGAGGATGGCTCCTCTGCCAGGACAACGCTCCTTGCCAAACAATAAATTCCTATCTCATTCAGCGTTGTGAATTTATTTCTTTAAAGCTTTCTGAACTTTTTGATTAAAGTGCGTAAATGGAGAAAGAGATGGGAAATCAGTTATCGAAAATGAAAAATGAAATGGATGACTAGTCAAAGAGTTCGTTAATAAACATTAAAAACTTGAATTCATCTTAGAAAAGATATTCAGCTATTCAATAAGTCTTTACATTGTATTTGAATGAAAATACAATGTAAAGACAATAGCCTATCGCTAGATCAAATGTCAAATAGAAAACAAGTACTAGAAAATGACCAAAGAAGTTGGGTAACTTCTTAGCCTTCTTAGCTTAACCAAACCTAGGTAACTAAGCTACAGGATGAGCCAAAATTACCGTTCCAATGCTCACTCACGCGCAAATGCGCATTTCTTAAAACTTTTTGCTATTTTCTGATTTTTCTGTTAATATGATTTGTTCTTCAACATTAATACAATACAAAAATGTCATAAGAATGTTTATTTTTAGAATGGTTCGAGCATCATTGCATCGAAGATCGATCATCGCGATGCGCAAACAGGGAGTGAGTTTGCAAAACGTCTCAAAGTGACTCGAATGCTTGTGCATCGAACAATCGAAAGCTTCAATACCCTTAGGAACGGACCGATTCAATTGACACGACATTCCTGAAAAAAAGCCTTCTAACAACATCAAAAAAAATGATAAAACAAAAAAAAAAACGAGAAAAACGAAGGAAAATCGCGTACAAGTTCACTCAATCTCCCCAGAGTGCAGATTAGCTATTCGGGTCTAAATCGATCATAGATTGGCTATATGATACCAAGTACTAACCGTTGCTTCCTATGTTTCTTCTCCAATCCATTCTGAAGAGCTGCTTTAATTTCCCATTGTTGTTCCGTAACAAAATTCCTCCTACAACTAGAACAATTCAGGAGGATTAAAGTAACGAAAAAATAGTCTGGGTCAAGAGTTTCGATTAAGCTTTGAATAGATGAGAAGGGCTGATCGGCCAGGGCGTGAGAGAAAGCGAACAGTAACAACTTCAACAAATGTCAAAAAAAAAAGTGAGGAATCGCCTTTTGAAAACGCCAAACTAATCGGAAAATGCCAGAAAAAATGGAGATTAAGCGAAAATCCCTTAGAAGAATCATCAAAAACAAGCTCGTTAAAGATCTAAAAGAAAAATAAATCACAAATGCTATCAGCTATCAACCACACAAAACTGTTAAGGATTTGAAAAAAGGGCTCAAAAAGGCTTGGAGCTGGAAGAGGGAAGAGCTGGATCCTGTATACCTCCTTTTCCAAGCTTTTCCAAGCTTTTCCACGACGTTTGGACGCCTGTGTAAAAGCTATTGGAGATCTCTTTGAAAAGAAATCTTTGAAATCGTTTTTATGAATTGTTACGTGACAATAAAAGTTATTTTTAAGAAAACTCTTTAACATTTTGAGTTATACAGAGACTTTTTAAAATGTAACGATAATTTTGGCTCACCCTCTACTTTTCAGTGAGCAATTAGTCTCTGAATCTTTTATTTAATTAATTTACATAGCATTTAAACTCTAGTCCGGAAACAAAACAAGCCAAATCCTTTTTTCAAAAGTCTACTAAGCTTTTCTAAACTTCTAAACAGCTTCTAAACAGTTTCTAAACGGTTCCTAAACTTCTAAACAGTTTCTAAACAGCTTCTAAACAGTTTCTAAACTTCTAAACAGCTTCTAAACAGTTTCTAAACTTCTAAAACAGCTTCTAAACAGTTTCTAAACTTCTAAACTGTTCCTAAACTTCTAAACAGCTTCTAAACAGCTTCTAAACAGTTTCTAAACACTTTCTAAACACTTTCTAAACTTCTAAACAGCTTCTAAACACCTTCTAAACACCTTCTAAACAGTTTCCACTTCAAGGAAAACTCTGTCAATCAATTGTCAGCATTTTTCAGAGCATTTCCCTTTTTCCTAAACGAATCATAAAGCGATTTTGGGTTCATGCACTCACAAAAAAAAATAGACAGTCGAAAATAGAAAATTTTCCGAAAAAACGAGAATTTATGCCTTTTTTGATATTGGGAATTCAAAGGATTTTTCGACGTTCACTTCATAAAATTATGGTCAATTTTGTCGGCAGCTTTTGTGATAAGAATTTTGAGACTTTGATTTCTCACACAGTTTTCATTTTAACCCTGTCTGTGTCTTTAACTTTAAAAAGCTATCGATTTCCTGAATTTAAACAATTGTTACAAAGCTTAACCAATTAATTTAGTTAGCTCGTTAGTCGATTCTTGCAAAGCTTAACGAATCAATTGTTCGATTGTTGCAAAGCTTAGCCAATCAATTGTTCGATTGTTCAAATTGTTTGATCATTCAAAGCTTAACCAACCAATTGTTCGATTGTTCAAAGCTTAACGAATCAATCGTTCAATTGTAAGCTTAGCTAACCAATCGTTCAATTGTAAGCTTATCCAATCAATTGTTCGATTGTTCAAAGCTTAACCAATCAATCGTTCAATTCTTACAAAGCTTAACCAATCAATCGTTCAATTGTTACCTTGCTTCACTACAGAATCAAGTACTAAAGTTGAAATATCTTACCATCTTTGAACACTTTTTATAAGCCACTTCTATAGTTTCCTTTATCTAATCTATTATCAACTTTACGGTTAAATTTTTGGCTCAAATTTCTACCGTACACTTCTATATTAGCTCAAATTTTTACTGTTTCCTTCTATCTAATCTATTACCAACTTTGCGGGTACATTTTTGGCTCAAATCTACTCTTTCTAGCGCACTTGATTTCTCATCTTTCTTACAATTTTCAGGAAAACATTGAGTGAACCAAAAAACGCTTAAATAAGAGCTCAAAAAACATCTTTTAAATTTAAAACCTAGCCTTCCTCGTTTCCTTGAACCAAATGACGGTCAGCTACAATCATCAAGTTGCCACATCAAAGCCATATTTGATCTTGAAATTGTTGGCAAGGTAAGAATGGAAACATGTTTGGATTAAGTTTGAAAGTTGTTTCTGAGATTTTCGAAGTCAAAGAATCCGAAACGATCTTACAAGGGAAGATCAATTGCGGGCTAAATGCGGTCTAATCAACTGAGTGTGCGGGCTAAATGCGGGCTAATCAACTGAGTGTGCGGGCTAAATGCGGTCTAATCAACTGAGTGTGCGGGCTAAATGCGGTCTAAATGCTAAATCAACTGACTGAGTGTGCGGGCATGAGCCATAAACCATTTGACGCAGAATTTCACGCTGATCATCATCCTGCTTTCCTTTTTTCCTACGAAGCGCTTTGTCAAAAGTTATACGCGTTTAAAGTTAGGGTCTTGACTCAGCCGCTCAGCCACTGCTGCAACCGCTGAGATGGCGTAAGACAGGGTTATAATGTAGCGGTTTGATTTTTCAAACTCCTTACAAACTCTAAGCGTGGCTAACTTTTGACAGAGCGCTTTGTAGGAAAAAAGAAAAGCATGACCATGATCAGCGTGAAATTCTGCGTCGAATCGTCTATTTCATTTGGCTGAGAGACGCATTTGATCTTCCCTTGTTACCTTTTTAAATTCATCAAGAACAAATACTTAGGCTTGAGTCAAAATAGTTAAAAAAGGCAGTTCTTTTTCTGAAAACTCAATTGAATCTTCAAATTTCTCAATTCAGATGGAAGGGTTCTGTATGGAAAGCGGTTTCGCTCGAGCTCGGGATCTGGATCATCGCCTATTACACAATATTTTGCATCTATCGTTTTTGGATGGGGGATTATAGTAAAAAGTTTGTTCCAGAGGATCGCATTGTTATTTGTTTATTTATTAGCCGATTTATTTAAAGAAATCCATTTAAAGAAATCCCTTTAAAGAAATCTCTTTAAAGAAATCCGTTTAAAGATATTCCTTTAAAGAAATCTCTTTAAAGAAATCTCTTTAAAGAAATCCTTTTAAAGAAATTCCTTTAAAGAAATCCATTTAAAGAAATCTCTTTAAAGAAATCCCTTTAAAGAAACCTCTTTAAAGAAATCCATTTAAAGAAATCTCTTTAAAGAAATCCATTTAAAGAAATCTCTTTAAAGAAATCCCTTTAAAGAAATCTCTTTAAAGAAATCCATTTAAAGAAATCCCTGTAAAGAAATATTGTTTGCGTGCTTGGTACTCTTCACTCAAGACACGTTATTTCTTGTTTCGAGATATCTGATCTCACTTGAACTAAAAACACTTTATTCAATAGCCGACTGACTCGAAATCTTTGGGCTCTCACTTGAGCAACTTTCACACAAGATCGACAACTGAATTAAAAGTGACGATAAAAACAGAAACAATTTCGTCCTAATTAGGACACAACTTTCACACAATGAGAGGAAAGCAGAAAGAAAATGAAAGGTAACAACGAAAAACAAATGAACAACAGTTGCCTTATATAGGCTTTAACACAAGATGCTCAGCTAACAAGCTACAAAACAATAAATGATTTGGGGCGCGAAATAGAATGAAGGCGCACCGATTTCCTCAATACTTTTCCAATTTTTAGGCTGTCAGAGTTAGATAACTTTTAGTGGCTATTCGCCACAATCTCTTTAAAGAAATCCATTTAAAGAAATCCATCTAAAACAAAGTTTTCTTTATTAAAAAACATTGATTTCAGAAAATTTCAGAAAATTTCAGAAAATTCGAGGATTTCATTCGTTTTTTCCAAGGTTCGATGAGCTATATTCCATTGGATTTTATGTTATCATTCTTTGTTACAATTGTCGTCAATCGATGGTCAACTATATTTCAAAATTTGGGAATGATTGACAAGTTTGGCTTTTCGGCTCAGTAATGAATTCATTTCTTTTCTTCAGTATTGCTCTTTTTGCCTCAAACTATATCAAAGGAAACGATGAAAGAGGGAGAAATTTGAGAAGAAATGTCGTGAGGTAAGAAAAGTAGAAAAGTAAGAAATGTAGAAAAGTAAAGGATTTCAAATAAAATGATTGAAAATATTAGGTTTATGCAAAAGTCTTTTTCATTTTTTTCGTACTTCCGTTAAAAAGTAACAAATGCACCAATTGAACAACGGTTTATTGCATTCGAAAGGCCAATTATTTTTCACATGCAAACGTTATGACATTAAAACGAGTTTAAAATGTCTTATGTCTAGATTTTTTCGAGAGCCTGAAGTCGGGTAGTCAAAAAAGGCGACGGCTCGAAACTTTATTCAAACGAAGGAAGAACATAGAGAATGCACAGGATACTAATCATACATAATTGAATATCCAAAGCTCGATGATGCATTTTAGACGCTTTAGCTAAGGAAACCAATCTTGATGTTAATAAATAAAAGATAGAGCACAAAAAGTTCGATATTTTTTTCAGATTTTCAGAGAAATTGATTCAGCCAATTTCTTTATAGAGGTTTTTTGATAGATTTTTATGAAAAACCCATTTTCACTCTCGAATTTGCTTGAAAGTGAACCCAAATTGACTTAAAAAGATGGGAAATTGAGCAATAAACACTTTTCATTTAGAGCAAACCATAGATTAATTGATGACTTTGTTATTTTTCAAAAGAAGTACGAAAAAAATGAAAAAGACTTTTGCATCATTAGGTACATGCATAAGAAATGCGGATTTCAACATTTTTCATCAATTTCTTAACGATACAAACCAGATATCGATGAATATTATAAACTATTTGAAAGTTGTAAATCTCCTCTACAAAATAGGCTATAAAGTGTTTGAAGTGAGAATAGGCAACGATTGTCACCGCTCTTCCCCCCGGTTCCCTTCTAAGATACATCACACTTCTTGGGCTTTCGGATCGCACTTGATGTGAAAAGAGCAAACCATAGGTTAATTTTCATTTAGAGCAAACCATAGATTAATTGATCACTTTGTTATTTTTCAAAAGAAGTACGAAAAAAATGAAAAAGACTTTTGCATCAACCTAATAAAATGATTGAAAATAAAATAATAAAATGATTGAAAGATTGGAAAGATGATTTCACTAAAGTTTAACATCTCTTGAAATCTATTTAAATCTATTTAAATCTATTTAAATCTATTTAAATCTATTTAAATCTATTTAAATCTATTTAAATCTATTTAAATCTATTTAAATCTATTTAAATCTATTTAAATCTATTTAAAGTTACTTTTTTTAGTAACTTTGCTTAAAAATAGCTAACAATTATCAAATTTTATCTTTTAAAAGTATAAAGTATACTCTCTAATGGTAGTTGATGTGAGTTGATGACTATTTTACGGTTTCCAAGCTTTTGCAGAAGCTCAACACTCAAATCCCCCATTAGATCTCATCGTCAGCTAAATTTTCCGATCCCACATCGATAGGTTCTGATAAGCGCTTTTCGAGATTACGAGCAATTTAGGCGACGCTCTGGGTGCACCTAAAAAGTCTTCTTTAGCACCTACAAAGTTTTCAAATGAAATTGAAAGTTCAAACCAAAAGCATTCAACCTTCAAAGCTTCACTATCCATTTTTGAATTGCTCAATGAGAAAATGCTGTAACAAAAAGACTTTTCGCATTTGTTTTTCCGTTTATTCTTCAGTTTTTTTAAGTAGATCGTTTAGGCTGATTGCTGATACCGTATTCTCTCTAATAGTAGTGCACCCAGCCGAGCCGAGTTGATGACTATTCTACAGTTTCTAAGCTTTCACAGAAGCTCAACACTCCAATCCCCCACTAGATCTCATCGTCAGCTACATTTTCCAACCCCACATCGATAGGTTCTGATAAGCGGATCTCGAGATTTCGAGGAATTTAGGCTCAGGGCCTACTCTATTAGAGAGAATACGGTACATTGATCTGAATTTGATTTGAATTAGATCAAATGATTGATTTCAAATCTAGTTATGTATTTTGTACAGTGAACTTAGATTTTCAAGGGAAAAACTTCTTGTTTAAGCTATTTCTAGTGGTTTTTAATGGGGATTTGTTTACGTAATAACGATTTGCTTGGCATAGTCACCTATTCAAATCTATCTTAAACATTAATAGTTGTCTAATGAAACTAAACTAGATAAACAAGATGATCTGATCAATTAATAGAAAGGAGAAAATGTCCATCCAAAGCTAACCAGCTACGCAGTCTAGCTTTCCGAAGTACGTGCGGATATTCTATCTAGAAGTACTGCGAGCACATAGCACAAATCTGATTGCAAATTCGGATTCCTCACCCTTCCTCACCCTTCCCCACCCTTCCTCACCCTTCCTCACCCTTCCCCACCCTTCCCACCTTCCCACCCTTCCCACCCTCCCACCCTCCCACCCCCACCCTCCCACCCTTCCTACCCTTCCCACCCTTCCTCACCCTTCCTCACCCTTCCCCACCCTTCCTCACCCTTCCTCACCCTTCCTCACCCTTCCTCACCCTTCCTCACCCTTCCTCACCCTTCCTCACCCTTCCTCACCCTTGTCTAACAAATGTCCATGCAAAGCCTTTATCCTTATAAGAACTTTTCAAAAAAGACACAAAGATTAGTGAAGGGAAAGATTGGTTTTGTTTAGGTTTTGTTTAGGTTTTGTTTAGGTTTTGTTTAGGTTTTGTTTAGGTTTTGTTTAGGTTTTGTTTAGGTTTGTTTAGGTTTTGTTTAGGTTTTGTTTAGGTTTTGTTTAGGTTTTGTTTAGGTTTTGTTTAGGTTTTGTTTAGGTTTTGTTTAGGTTTTGTTTAGGTTTTGTTTAGGTTTTGTTTAGGTTTTGTTTAGGTTTTTTTAGCTTTTTTTAGCTTTGTTTAACTTTGTTTAACTTTGTGAGCTTTTTTTTAGCTTAAACTTACTGCATTTTACTGTTTAACAAAAGCCAAAGCTATGAATTCAATTTTGCATGAAAAATTAGCGATAAAATTTAAACCTTTATTCTAGATACTGTTGCCTGTCTCAAGCAATGGTTTTTCGAGATTTAAATATGCAAGTGCGACGCCGATTTCCCACTTTTGAGGCTCTTGTCGCAGCTGGTAATGTGCTTTTGTGCTAAAAATTCAAAACAAACACACAATAAACTAGATTTTCATTTTTCAGCAAAAAAAGGAGCACTAGTTGCTTGAAAATGAAACTCAAAAACATCTTTAGCCACCTTTCTTTACAGGTTTCATGATGGAGCACGAGTTGCAGATGTTTCACGATGTACAAAATCGGTGGGATTGCTTGAAAGCTTGAAAAGCTCGAGAAAAGCTTGAAAAAAGCTTAAATAAAGCTAGATATTTCTTATTTTTTGATATTTATACAATTTTCAACATCTTTATGCTTGTAGATATGCAAAATATTGGGTGCCGTTGAACTGGTCACTCACGTTGATCAACAATGCGACAAAAAAGAGGGCCGCCCTTTTTGACGCAACTTGCGCCATTTGACGCAACTTGCGCCATTTGACACAATCTGACGCAATCTAACGCAATTTGACGCAATTTGGCGCAATCTGACGTCATTTGGCGCAAATTTGACGCAATTTGGCGTATTTTGGCGTCATTTCACGCAATCTGACACAATTTTGCGCAAATTTGACGCAATTTGACGCAAATTTGACGGAATTTGGCGTACTTTGGCGTACTTTGGCGTAATTTTGCCCAAATTTGACGCAATCTAACGCAATTTGACGTAATTTGGCGCAAATTTGATGCAATTTGACGGAATTTGGCGTATTTTCGCGTAATTTGTGTCATTTCACGCAATCGGCCCCTTTTTGACGCAACTTGCGCCATTTGGCGCAAATTTGACGCAATTTGGCGCAATCTGTGCGTCATTTGGCGTATTTTGGCGTCATTTCACGCGATCTGACACAATTTTGGCGACACAATCTGGCGTAATTTTGCGCAAATCTGACGCAATTTGGCCTCATTTCATTGCTCGGTGGGATTGCTCGAAAAAAAGCTTGAAAAAAGCTTAAATAAAGCTAGATATTTCTTATGTTTTTGATATTTATTCAATTTTCAACATCTTTATGCTTGTAGATATGCAAAATATTGGGTGCCGTTGAACTGGTCACTCACGTTGATCAACAATGCGAAAAAAGAGGGCCGCGTCGACTCGGATGTGAACGAATTCGCGATTGCACAGGTTTTTCATTTAAACTTTTTGCTTAAACAAAGTCTTTTTGGTGGATACTTTGTGCCAAAAAATTCGAAACGCTGCTTTTCTGGTGCATTTGATGTTAACAAGGCAAAATAGGTGCGCATCGCCGACGAGAAAAAAACTGAAATCAAAACAAAATATAAATGGTCAATCAGAGTTGTTAGGAAAGTGTGTTGAAAAGCGCAAATTTGGCAAAAATTGGCTTATTTTGCGCAATGCGGCGCCATCTGGCCAAATTTGGCGTAATTTGCGTCATTTCACGCAATCTGACGTAATTTGACGCAATTTGGCGCAATCTGACTTAATTTGGCGCAAATTTGATGTAATTTGACGGAATTTGGCGTATTTTGGCGTAATTTGTGTCATTTCACGCAATCGGCCCCTTTTTGACGCAACTTGCGCCATTTGACGCAATTTGGCGCAATCTGTGCGTCATTTGGCGCAAATTTGACGCAATCTAACGCAATCTGACGTAATTTGGCGTACTTTGCGCCATGTGACTCAATCTAACGGAATTTGGCGTCATTTCACGCAATCTGGCGTAATTTTGCCCAAATTTGACGCAATCTGACGTAATTTGGCGTATTTTGGCGTCATTTCACGCAATCTGACGGAATTTGGCGTACTTTGGCGTAATTTGCGCCAGGTGAGCCAATCTAACGCAATTTGGCGTCATTTGGCGTCATTTCACGCAATCTGGCGTAATTTTGCGCAAATCTGACGTAATTTTGCGTACTTTGGCGTAATTTGCGCCATGTGACCCAATCTGACGTAATCTGGCGTCATTTGGCCGTTTTGGCTAAGTTTAATGTAGTTTGGCGTTTTTGCTAGCACCTCCGTTTCCCTTTGAGGATCAGAAAAAAAGGAAGCTTTTACTTTTACTCTGAACTTGACTCCAAGAGAAGATATTGAGCTAAAAACTTGTATCCAAGGGTTTTTGGGGGTCACGGAATCGATTGAAAAGGCTCATTTTATTGGCTCTATTGACTGACGACTTTGATAGATCTTTTATCGCATCATCATTCGTTGTAGCGAGAAAAATTGGCTTCAGAAAGGCTATGTTTGGCCTTTTTAAGTACAAAGTACACTGAAAAATGTGTTCTTTTCAATGTTCCCAGTAAAGTTTTCTTTTTTGCAGGAGATTCGCCACTTCCGCACGAATCTCTCGACCGTCTGGCAGCACGATTGGATCTCGATCCCGATTTTGTATCCACAAGTGAGAGGATTTCAGAAATTTCAGAAATTTTTGCAGAAAACAAAACCAAAAACTAAAGAAATTGTGTTTTTGAGGTTTTAAAAAAGCGGATTTCCAGCTTGTTTTCACCGCCACTCACATCTATTTCCTATTGGCTCTTTTCGCGCGTCAATTCATCGTCACAGCCGATCAGAAACCCGGAGAGGTTGGCTTCGAAAAATCATCTGAATTTTTATCGAATTGAATTTCGTAAACAAACAAAAATCGATATTTGTCTAATCTTTTCTATTTGGTTTTTTTTTTGCAAAACCAAGTTCAGGTGGACATTCATTTCCCATTGATGACCGTTTTCCAGTTCATTTTCTATGTTGGATGGATGAAGGTTGAGGAGTTTTTTCTGAAAAAAGATATAAAACTTTTGTTTTCTGTAAATTTGCATAATTTCATTGGTCTATATGTTAAATTGGATAGTTTAGCGCTTTTGCTAGCACCTCAGTTTCCCTTTGAGAATTATTAGGTTGTTCGGTGATTAGACAAGCCTTACTAAACTTATTGTTGTTGTGAGAGAAGCTTTTAAAACATGTCTTTCTGTATTTAAAAGTACGTTATCTTGTGCATATTTGAAATCTTTTTAAAGAGATAATTTCTTATTTTTAAGATCTTCTTTCTTGCTTTAGATGATCGACTTCAAATATATCAGGTACGCGTCTGCCTACTTTACGACTTCACTGGGCAAAACTGGGCAAAACAGTAGCGAAATCTCATTGAGATTTGGTGAAAACCTTTGGGAATGATGTATTGTTCGAAAGCCGATGCCGAGCCTGGTTCCAACGCTTTCGGAATGGTGATGAAAGTCTCGAGGATCATGAACACTCTCGTCAAGAATATCGTTGTCGATCTCAAGCGGCAGACAACGATATTTTGAGGGCTGCAATAGAATCGGATCCATGTCAAACGACGCGTGAACTTGCTCAGCAGTTTCTATGTTCAAATTCTACTATTGATGAGCATCTTCACGCCATTGGAAAGACGATCCGATACGGAAAATGGCTTCCTCACGGGAAATGGCAGTGCAAACGCTCGTTTATATCCGAACAACCTAATACAAACCTAACAACCTAACAAAGGAGGCTTTTACTTTTACTCTGAACTTGACTCGAAAAGAAGATATTGAGCTGAAAACTTGTATCCAAGGGTTTTCAAGTATTTGATTGAATTTTGCAAATTTCTATTTCCAGGTAGCGATGGCTTTGCTAAATCCGATGGGCGAAGATGATGACGATTATGATTGCAATTTCTTGTTGGACAGGAATTTGACGGTTTTTTTTCGATTTTAATATGATTCTTTAATGGATTTTCTATAAAGAAAAAGTTTTTAAAGTCTTTAAATTGATTTTCAAATCATTTTTGTATTTTAGCTTTCTTTGGGATGTCAAGATTGTCACCGCGATCCACCAGAGATGAAACCGGACGCTTTCTGGGAAATGAAACAGGTTTGGTTGTTTTTGGTTCCTATTTGGTTCGTACTTCGTTCCTATTTGGTTCCTGTTTGGTTCCTATTTGGTTCATATTTGGTTCCTATTTGGTTCCTATTTGGTTCGTACTTCGTTCCTATTTGGCTCCTGTTTGGTTCCTATTTGGTTCCTATTTGGTTCCTATTTGGTTCCTATTTGGTTCATATTTGGTTCCCAATTGGTTCCCATTTGGTTCCCAATTGGTTCCTATTTGGTTCCCGTTTGGTTCCTATTTGGTTCCCATTTGGTTCCCAATTGGTTCCCATTTGGTTCCTGTTTGGTTCATATTTGGTGCTCATAAAGATGCAACAGGTTGTGTTTTGGCGTAGTTTCTTAGTAGTTTGTGTTCTTTTTACTTTAAAAGGCAAACACACTCCTTCTAGTGCAGTGATTTCCATTCTCCTAGTTGATGCGAGAGAAAGAGGTGAATTGAGATGCACTAGAAGGGATTTGTTTGGAATTTCGAAGTACGTTTAGCAATAAATCATCAAAGCTAAGAGCTATCATGAGCTAAAATGATCAATTAGATAAATAAATAAATAAATTTGCCTATATCTAAGCTAAGATCTCCTTTCCAGGCTCAACCCCTTTACTCACTCGAATCAGCGATCAAGCGCCTCAACTTCTTCATGGGATCGGCTGCATTGCAAGAGTTTGTTGACTGAAATTTGAATCTCTATCACCATAGCTTGTTAAAAGCCTTGTATCTTATTCGAAAGGTCAATGGTTCAATCCCGCCGAGATTATCGCTTCTTTTGGATCTTTACGGTTAACGGCGGGGAGGGGAGGGGCCAGATTTTTGACCAACTTGCAGCTCATTTTTAAGCACTTTAAACTTATCAGTTTTGGAAAGTTCAATAAGATTTAGATAGCTTAAAACGTAAGCTTTCAGAAACTATTTGTTTCATCACAATTCATTAACAAAAACCTATCTAAAATCGGGTTGCAAGTTGGTTAAAAACTTTGTGATCGGCGTTAACGGTAAAGATCTTTTTTTTTCATTTATTTTAAGGCTGTGCTTTTTAGGAAATTATTCGTCTGAAATCTATATCCTTTTGTTTAGTGAAGCTGAAGGTGGGTCAAAGAAAAGCGAAGAAATTCAAATGGTGCCTCATCCGAGCAACGAGCGATATATGAATCGGTAAAGGGATTTCACAAATTTTCCCTTCATAACATAAATACTGCAACAATAATGTAGAGTATCGGCCTAGCTTTGAACGCGTTTTTCTCGACACTGGTTTAAGCTACAATGCGCGCTTAGGTATCAAAAGGTAGCTGAGATTCAGCGCTATTTTTTGATACCAAAGACGAATTTTTTGAAAGTACGGGTGCTTAGAAAAAATGAAATACAAAAAAAGACTTTTGCGACTACGCGACTGGGCGAGTATTTACGACACTCGATTACAGTATTTACGGTAAATTTCAGCCACGAAGAGGACCGATTGAAGAGTCGAGGAGTGACAATCGGGTAGGATTACTGTATTTGTAGTGGATTTTAGACTTGCTTTTCGATTTAGTGCAAAATAGAAATGAAAATTGGTATGGATAAATCTAGAGACAAGTTTGCGATAAGAAAAGATTCCAAAAATCGGGTAAGAAATAAGAAAGAAAAGAAATAAGAAAAGATTCCAGAAATCGGATAGGGGAAGGGTTACCGTATGTGTTAGATGTTTAGTTTTGTCTAGTTCTGATGATCATTAGAACATTAGATTATTAGCTCATTAGATCATTAGATTATTGGAACATTAGATCATTGGACCCTTAGATCATTAGTTCATTAGATCATTAGTTCATTAGATCATTAGATTATTAGATCATTGGATCATCAGATCATTAGATTATTAGATCATTAGATCATTAGATCATTAGATCATTAGATCATTAGATCATTAGATCATTAGATCATTAGCTTATTAGATCATTAAATTATTAGATTATTAAATCATGAAATCATTAGATCATTAGATCATTAAGAAAACATTAGATCTTTCTACTGTAATCATTTTATTAGATTATATCTTTCTACCGTAATCATTCTCTATTTTACACTATTTATCGAGAAAGAGGTCGTTTTAAGCGGTACTTTGTGTTCAATTAAAAACGCATCTTTCTGGTTCACAGAGTTCTTCATTTCTCGAGAAAAACGCTCATTGCATCAGAGAGAAGTGTTTATAAATTCGAGCACAAAGTACTTAATGTTTTGCTTTGCTTAACCAAAAACCCTTTTCCACCCAGAAGACTCGAACCTGGGCAGTTAGATCAAGAGTGGCGTCACTTGAGACGAGATCGAAAGGCAACTCTTCTCGATGATCGAAAGAAAACGCCTCTCGAAGCTTTAGAACTACTCGGGCACTTTTTTGAAAGAAATAACTATCCAAAGCTATTGCAGACTATCCCCCAGCTTTGCATGAATGTTTTTCAAAAGCTTTTGCACATTTTCCCCATTCTCGTTCCCCATTTTACTTCAACATTTAGCCATTCTCGCTCAAACACTCAAACAATGGACATGTTGTCGGCTGGCTTAGAGAATATAAGGAGAATGTCCGGGTTTGTTTAAACCTTTAACATCTATTGAAAAACTGGTTTAATTACCGAAGTTTTACAGCTAATTTAGTTACTCAAGTCAGTCTAAATCCAGTCAAAACAATCGAATGACAGAAAAATCTCTGAATTTTGTATAATTTCCGGGTATTTTGAACGGGTCGTTACACTTTGAAGGTCTATAACTTTCTCCAGAGATAATACTATTGCTAACTTTTTATAACATTGTATAGAGGATATTTCAGGCTTTCAAATGATACCAAATAGAGCTTGATTGGTTAATCCAGTCCAGGAAAATCAACAGGAGAAAATGAGCCAACCGGAGAAAATGAGGCTTATCCGACTCCGGTGCCGCCTGGTTTGCATAAGAATAAAAAAAGCCAGTCAAGCTCTATTTGGTATCATTTGAAAGCCTGAAATATCCTCTGTACAATGATATAAAAAGTTAGCAATAATATTATCTCTGGAAAGTTATAGGCCTTCAAAGTGTGACGAGCCGTTCAAAATACCCGGAAATTACGCAAGAGTCACATTGCCATTCTTAAACTTTCAAAACGAAAGAGATCATGGATTAGTTGTAAAATACCTTTTTCTTGTTTCAGTGCTTCATTCGGATCTCGATCTCGAGTCAATTCGACAACTTCGATGGAACAAGGATTGAGTGTGAATGGGGGAATACAAAGGAAAGACAATGAACAAAATGAGGTAATAGTTGGCAGAAATATGTTTTGATCTAATAAAAACTATGCCAGAACGAGTTCTTTTAGAAGAATGAGTACCTTAAGTTGTTAAGAAGATAGCTGTTAAGCTTCATCAGCTTTTTCCTTTCCAAATTCTTGGGCCGGAGCGATTTTGTTTGTCTCGTAGTTGATGCCGGGTTTAAACAAAACCTATTGAACTCTAAATCTAAAAATGTAGCAAATTTTTTGTAGTTTTTGAAAATTAGAATTATTTTACAAGTGATCTCCTAGCTTTTGAGTTATGCCCTTTTCCGTAACGCTCAAAAAAAACGTCTCTGCGCCGCTGCTCTTTTTTGCTCTTAAAGTGTTTTCTTTTGTTTAGTGAGCTCAGTGTCTTCTTTTGCTTTATTTTAAGCAATTTTTTAAGTTTTAAGTCATTGTTGACTTTAAACAATTAAAGAAGTCAATAAAGAAGCAAGGCCAGCTCAAGTCAAGGCCAGCTCAAGTCAAGGCCAGCTCAAGTCAAGGCCAGCTCAAGTCAAGGCCAGCTCAAGTCCAGGCCAGCTCAAGTCCAGGCCAGCTCAAGTCCAGGCCAGCTCAAGTCAAGGCCAGCTCAAGTCCAGGCCAGCTCAAGTCAAGGCCAGCTCAAGTCAAGGCCAGCTCAAGTCAAGGCCAGCTCAAGTCAAGGCCAGCTTGACTCGGTGTCTTTCCCATGTCAGCCTCACCCGTGGCTGCTTTGCCAAATGAATCATTTTAGCGACAAATTTTCGCATACATTCTTTAGCTTTACTTTCACTGATTCTTTATTGTGAATGAATTGTGTTGAAAGGTTGCCGATGAAAACAAAAATAAAGGAAATAATAAAGGAAAGAGAGGTCATCTCAATCCAAATCTCCGATCAAAATTTCGGTGATTTAGCTCTAATTTAGCAATCCCGTGCCCGAGCCATGTCTGATCGTCCACCGAAAATCAATATCGCGCGAGCTTCGATCGATTTTGGGGGCATGAATAAAGAAGATCAATTCTAATTTAGAAATTTGAAATCTTTTTCGATTTTTTAAATAAATATTGAGCTTTTGATGAATTTCGGTGCACTTAAAAGGAGTGTTTTTACAAATTTGAACACAAGCAACAGCAAAATGATACTAAATTTGAAATCGAGTCTATCAGAATGATTGTGTTTACATTTTTTAACGTAAAGTATCTCAAGAAAACAAAAAAACTCTTCAAATTTTAACCTATTCTCTTTCTCTTCAACACCGTATTTATTCTAATATTTACATCGAATTCTAATAGAATCTAGTAGAATCTAGTAGAATCTAGTAGAATCTAGTAGAATCTAATAGAAGAATAGTAGAATCTAGTAGAATCTAATAGAATCTAATAGAATCTAGTAGAATCTAGTAGAATCTAGTAGAATCTAGTAGAATCTAGTAGAATCTAGTAGAATCTAGTAGAATCTAGTAGAATCTAGTAGAATCTAGTAGAATCTAGTAGAATCTAGTAGAATCTAGTAGAATCTAGTAGAATCTAGTAGAATCTAGTAGAATCTAGTAGAATCTAGTAGAATCTAGTAGAATCTAATGGAATCTAATAGAAGAATAATAGAATCTAATAGAATCTAATAGAATCTAATAGAATCTAATAGAATCTAATAGAATCTAATAGAATCTAATAGAATCTAATAGAATCTAATAAAAGAATAATAGAATGCTTCTAATATTCTAATAGAAGCGCTTCTATTTTTCAATCATTTCAATCAAAAAACTCGAAATTTTATCTTTCAAATCCAGTTTTTTTTTCTTATTCTAAATTTTCATGCCAATGAGAATTGAATTGAAAAAGAGCAAGATTGAAAAAGAGATCTTTGCATAGATAAATGATCTTTTCCCCCCATTTCTCTTTCTCTAACTGAAGAAATCTGAATATTCGGAAAACGGGAAAGATCTAGATCTTCGCGTAGACAATGGCAAACGTCTCTTTGATTTTCTGAATGTTTTCTTGAATCAAATTAGTTTTACGAAGAATTTTGAATTCAAAAGCCAAGCCGCTCTCGATCCTGCTTTGCCCAAACTCTTGGGATCATATTTTGTTGCTTTAAATATTTTGACCATATTTTTGTTAGAAATTCTAGTCAACTCAAGCCTGATCTGAGTTTTTTTTTTTTAGAATTCCCCATTTTCTCCCTAAACCTTTCCTTTTTTAGAGTAATTTTCTCTTGTTTTCTCGTGTTTTTTCTTGCTTTTCTTTCTCTTTCTTTTATCTTTTATCTATTTTTCTTTCTCTTTCTTTCTCTTTCTTTATTTTTTATCTATTAGGTTGATGCAAAAGTCTTTTTCATTTTTTTCGTACTTCCGTTAAAAAGTAACAAATGCACCAATTGAACAACGGTTTATTGCATTCGAAAGGCCAATTATTTTTCTGCAAAATGACATTAAAACGAGTTTAAAATGTCTTATGTCTAGATTTTTTCGAGAGCCTGAAGTCGGGTAGTCAAAAAAGGCGACGGCTCGATAATAATACTTTATTCAAACGATAAAGTGAAAGAAATCATAAAGAAATCTCCAACCCCCCTAGATCTCACGTCAGCACATTTTCCAACCCCACATCGAAGGTTCTGATAAGCGGATACTTAATCAGTGATACTTAATCATACAATACATACTGAAATCAATAAGCCAAAGCTCGATGATGCATTTTAGACGCTTTAGCTAAGGAAACCAATCTTGATGTTAATAAATAAAAGATAGAGCACAAAAAGTTCGATATCTTTTTCAGATTTTCAGAGAAATTGATTCAGCCAATTTCTTTATAGAGGTTTTGATAGATTTTTATGAAAAACCCGTTTTCACTCTCGAATTTGCTTGAAAGTGAACCCAAATTGACTTAAAAAGATGGGAAATTCAACAATAAACACTTTTCATTTAGAGCAAACCATAGGTTAATTGATCACTTTGTTATTTTTCAAAAGAAGTACGAAAAAAATGAAAAAGACTTTTGCATCAACCTAATATCTTTTATATAAAATCTTTTCTTCAAGCTTTCTTGTTAAGGCAAACAAAGCTATTAAACAAAGCTATTAAGGTAAACAACGTTATTAAACAAAGCTATTAAACAAAGCTAGTAAATAAAACTATTAAACAAAGCTGGTAAGGCAAACAAAGCTACTAAACAAAGCTATTAACAAAGCGGTAAACAAAGCTACTAAACAAAACTATTAAACAAAGCTATTAAGGTTAACAAAGCTACTAAACAAAGCTAGTAAACAAAGCTATTAAACAAAGCTAAATCAGTTCTCATCTTAAATTTGGCTCTTCATTTTGTCGATAAACAATAGATTACCGGTTTCTTGTTCAAATTTAGCCAAATTCTCGCTGAGATTCAGAGGTTGAGGGTTCAATTCCGTCAAAAAAACACAAAAAATTCTATAATATCCTCGAAAATCCCTTGATTCAAGCTCAAGAATCTCTTATTTTCTCGTTTTTCATTTCTTTCTAAATCATAAAGTATCATTTTACAGAAATTTTCTCTATTTCTCCACTTCTCAAATGTTTTCTTACTTTAACCGATGAAAAAACTTTGGGAATCATTCGGAAATCTTCATAAACAAGCCAAAGAAATAGGTAAGCTATTCAATTATCAAAAAGATACTCAATTATAGCTATTCAATTATATTTAAATTCAAATTTTTCTAATCTTCTGGAGGTAAGCTAATTTCCGAAATTTTTTTTTGCGCAACACGCCATAACTTTTTTCTAAATTGGCCAATCTTTATGATTTTAATTTCATTTTGTTGCATTTATTGAGATCTACAAAATGACATCAAAATTATAAAGATTGGTCCACTACAAACAAAGATCTCAACATTTGTAAATGGGGGTAGGCTAATTTCCGTCATTTCATTTACGCAATTCACCATAACTTTCTTCTAAGTGGGCTAATCTTTATGATTTTGATTTCATTTTGTAGATCTCAATAAGAGCAACAAAATGACACCAAAATCATAAAGATTGGTCCACTACAAACAAAGCTCTCAATAAGTGCATCAAAATGGAACCTAAATTATACCAAAACAACTGGGTCGTTTGCGCAACTCGTCATAACTTTCTTCTAAATGGGTCAATCTTTATGATTTTGGTTTCATTTTGTAGATCTCAATAAGAGCAACAAAATGACACCAAAATCATAAAGATTGGCCCACTTAGAAAGCTGTGGCGAGTTGCGCAAACGATCCAGTTGCCGAAATTAGCCAACCCGATCTTATGCCATTCGGGTAGCTTTTCATAGTTTCATTAATTGTCGATTGTTTAATTTTGACTTGAAAAAGATGGATTAAAGGATCTATTATCATAAAAAGATATTCAATTATCAAAAAAGATATTCAATTATCATCAAAATTTAGGTTTTTTTTCATGTATTCGATCATTTTTGAGTCACTTCTTCAATCGTATTTTCCCCTATCTTTTACTCATCAATCTCATCTTTTTACTCTACAATATGCTCTTCTGGCCGAGAAATGAGCATCCGTTTCAGAGAAGTTTGAGATTTGAATTAAATGCAACCAGAAAGGGTTTGTTTCGAGCCACTTCGAGCCACGCCTCGAGTACACAATAAGACAAAAGCAAAAAAAAAAAAAAAATTTTAAAAATGCTTTTAATAAAAATCCGATTCCTAAAAATCCTTCTGTGATATCCAGATAAAAGAAAAAAACGCAATTAAAATGAAATTGCTTTTATAAATTTCTCGAAATTATCGCAAACTCGGAATTGTTAGGATTCGGATTTTCGATTTTCACCAAAACATATTTCTACTCGATGTGCGCCATTTTGGTGGCATTTTGGTGAACTTTGTACTCAAAAAAAAGGGTACTTGTCGGTTATACATCGATAAAGACTCATCTCGGTGAAGCATCCCCATCCGAGTCTTCTCGGTTATCGATTTTCGTGTGGCTGATCGACCGATCACTTCAGACGAGCTATCTTTATCGATCTATCTTCTAGATCGAGCTATCTTCACGGAACATCATCACCCCTCACAAGTTGTCAGCTTCTTGCTTAGCCGAGTTGAGTCTCTGTGGATTCTTTGTGGATGTAGAACCGACAAGTGCCGAAGAAGTGAATGCTTTAGTTAAATAAGAATGGTTCTCGTTTCGGACGAGCACTCGACTTCACGGAACATAGTCATTCCTCAAAAGTTATCAGCTTCTTGCTTAACCGAGATGACTCTGTGTGGATGCATAACTGACAAGTACTCAAAAAAAGGCCAGCACACCCTTTCTGGTGGACTGAAAATTGGAATCATTTCAAAGAATCACTCATTTTCTCATTTCCAGTTGATGACATTCACCAAATCGATCTCGCTTTCCGCTTTCGTCAATCAAAAAATCATGAGCTTTGCGAAGCGAACACGACTTTGTTTATTGGTTTGTTTGAGAATTCTAGCCTTGATAAGCGTTTTCATCGATTTGAAAGCTTAAGAAAATGTTAGTAATTATCAATTTGACTTTTTGTTTACGAGAATGATTAGGGGAAACATTGGAGTGACTTCGATGAATTTCTAGTGCCGTTAGGCCAAAAAGGAGATCTTGAACAGTTATTTTTCTATTGAAACTGGATAAATAAAGAATCGTTTTCCGTTCCTAACGCGCCCAGCTCTCCGATCGTTAATAACATACCGTATTTATTGTAATAAAAGGAATTTTGTGAAATGATTGAAATGATTGAAATTATCAAAATAATTGAAAAATAGAAGCGCTTCTATTAGAATACACATTCAAGACAATTTATCAACCACGCTCGAGGTTAAATAGAAGTTAAATAGAGGTTAAATAGAAGTTAAATAGAGGTTAAATAGAAGTTAAATAGAGGTTAAATAGAAGCTAAATAGAAGCACAAATTGCCGGGAAACCTCTTCAGTTTCTAAGCTAATATTTTATTCAGGAATAATCTCTCGACCATCGGAATTCGATTTGCGTTCGATGGTGCGCGAAAGTTGGGCAAAACGAGGTCAAACCTACGATCGAAATTTTACCCGAGTCGAATTTTTCGTCGGCGAACCGGTATGGAAAATAAGTTATTAAAAAATGGAAATCTTATTCAATACTATAAAAAAATTATATTAGATATATATGTCGTAACCGATTATGAATGGATTATGAATGAGCGGGTCTAGGAGCGTCCAACCATCATGTATTTGGTGTCATTCAACGCAGAATCATTGATCTTATTGATAAAAACACAAAAAATCTGCTGATTTTGATACTAGAGAGTTTCTATTCAAATAAATATTAGCCTAAGCGCTTTTAAAATTATTTTCTTACGTTTTTAGCATAAAGATAAAGATTAAACGTTTATATGTCGTAGTCGATTATTGAATGAGTGGGTCTAGGAGCGTCCAACCATCAAGTATTTGGTGTCATTCAACGCAGAATCATTAATAATTATGTTAAATTTTTAAAATTAGAAAGATTAGAAAAAAAGAAAAAAAATTAGAGCAAAAAAACTGTTTGTTCAAAGAGAAAACTTTGAAGCCCCATAATTTGTGTTCTTTTCATCAAATTTTTCTAATTTTAAAAATTTAACATAATTATTAATGATTCTGCGTTGAATGATACTAAATACTTGATGGTTGGACGCTCCTAGATCCAGTTATTCATAATCGGTTACAGGGGTTGAATGAAACGTTGTAGAGCTGGCAATTTTGAACCTAAACTCACAAATTTGGTATCAATCGACGCAGAATTGAATTCGCTACAAGATGATATAAGATTTTCCGCATACAAACATAATTATCAATGATTCTGCGTTGAATGATACCAAGTTGATGTTGATGTTGAGGGTTGGACGCGCCTAGATCCACTCATTTCATAATCGGCTGAAATTCATAAACGGCTACGACATCTAGACAAATTACCCTTGTTTTGCACGAGTTTATTGACCTGAAAATGGAAAATGCATTTGGTTTACCCGCTGAACGAATTAATGTATTAACTAAAGTAGCAAAGATTTGATGGTTGACCCAAGCATTCAAAATCGGCTGAAATTCATAATCGGCTACGGGGGTGCCGCCGATTTTGAATCAAACGTTGTAGCGCCGGTAATTTTTAATCTAAACTCACCAATTTGGTATCAATCGACGCAGAATTTAATTCGCTACAAGATGATATAATATTGTCCGATACATTACTCTACTAGAAAGATCTAGAAAGATGGTTGCTCTACTAGAAAGTTATTAACCAAAGATTTGCCAAAAAATTTCATTTATAATCGGTTACGACATATAAAATATCAAAACTTGGATAAGTTTTCAGTTTTATTTTCTTGATTATTTTCCAGAAAGACTTCGAAGAGCGACGTTTAGAGGAGGAGATGTTCACGCATCGAGATATTTCGATTGTAAGCAAGAATCGATTGTATTTAGATCTTGCAATCTATTCTATCTATCTATCTATCTAACATTCATTATCTTTAATCTATAGAATTTAGTCAAATATTGATGTAATGACTTTGATTTTGCAGCTTAACATGAATGAAGACTACTATGCGTTGCCGCAAAAGACGCTCGCTCTCTTGTTGTACAAGGAACAACGGTAATAATGTAAATTGAAAAATGGGAAAGAAAGATTGATAAAGAGGGGATTGGAAGCTTGAGCTTTTAACAAGCTTTTAACAAGCTTTTAACAAGCTTTTTTAATGTTCCGAGTAGATGCTCTAACCACTGAGCTATTCGGTATCTGCTCGCTAGATGGGAAGAAAAGAAAGAAGGAAGAAAAGGAGAAAGGAAGATTCATTTACTTTGATCTCACTTATAAACGCATCTTTTCTAGCACACTTTAGCTTTCTAGCTCTTTAGTTTTCTAGCTCTTGCTGTTGCCAAGAAAATGAAATATTGAGAGCGCTAGAAGGTGTACGTTTGGGCATAAAGTCCACCCAGAAGTTAGATTTGCTTTGTGCTAAATGAAAACCTATTCTATCTAGCAAACTAATCATAACAACTAGATTGGATTAGATTTAGATTTAGATTAGATTAGTCCAAGATTTTTCTAGATGCCCAAAGGTCAAGTGTCTCATCAAATCGGACAGTGACAACGTGTTGAATGTGCGACTTTTCGAGAAGCTTTGTAATGAGACAGGTGATTAGAAAAGTCTTGAGAAGCATACCAATAAAAAAGCCTATAAAAAGTCTATAAAAAAGTCTATAAAAAAGTCTATAAAATCATGAGAAAAAAAAGACATTTTATACAGGCTAATTGTCTAGCTATAGAACCCAAATTTTACCCAAACTTTATAGCTGGTGGAGAACGAAAAATCTTCGGGAATTGCTCGGTGAAGAGGAAAGTGCAAAGACATGGGAAATGGCGGATACCGAGATGGTTGATTCCGCAAAGGGAATACCCACAGTGAGATTAATAGACGAGATTATGGTAGTCCTTCAAAAAAGGTCTACAAAATAAATAGTACTTTTGTATAATCAAATTTAATGAGGACCATTTTAATGGTAGTTTTTAAAAAAAGAAAACCCTTTTATTAGGTAAGTAGTTCAACTTTGACACAAATTTTCTCGATGTTCTTACACATAAGTGTACAAAATAAATAGTACTTTTCTATAACCAAATTTAATGAGGATCATTTTAAAACCAACCTCAAGTCGATTCGATCACTGGAAGTCGAGTTATAGAGTAAAATCGAAAAGCTCATAAATTCCGAGACTAACGGAATTTGAAAGTTCAACTTTGACACAACTTTTCTCGATGTTTTTATCAATAACTATACAAAACAAATGCCACGTTTCTTTAGTCAAATTTAATGAAGCTTCTAATAAAACCAACCATAAGTTGATTCAATCTATTTGAATGGAGAGATTACACTTGATTTTTGTAACCAAATGTAACTGCTTCTGACCAAATGTAACCAAATTCCTTCCAACTTCTTCCTATATTCATTCAGATACTGCTCAACGGGGATCTACATGTTCACCGGGAATCGAACTGTCAATCATTTACTTCACGAGGTGATACTATAGTATTTAGAGATCTTGGATTTTTTTTAAATAGACGCGCTGTCAAAAAAGTAGCCGTTGAAGTGGTCAAATCTCGTTTTTCTGTTGTTGACAAATTGATGTGTGAATTGAGAATCCGATCGAGAAATGAACAGATCTATTGTGCTAATGAACAGAGAGAAATGAACAGATCTACTGTGCTCTAGAGATAGAGACAAAAGTATGATTTTCCTTGTCCGTCAACGCCTTGATCTTCTCAGCAATTTCAAAAGCCTTTGGATCATCATCGGCCGCCACCAACACTGTTTCGCTCCTTAAGTACCCGCATCGCTTTCTTGACTTCTTCTTCTCCGCCTTTGAGCAGATGTAGCACCTTGGTGTTGAGCTCGACTTGGGTGGTGAACGACTTCGCTTTGGCTTTGAGACCGGCACCGTCTTTGCGAGTAGTCGGGCTACCAACTTCTGTTCCAAACGCTTTTCCAGCCAGACCAGCTGATTGTCGCTTCCATCGCCCTCTGTTCCACTCATATCTAAAATAAAAATAGAGTCGCATCGCTGCCTTCATTTCTTCTTATCCTCCTTTGAGCAGATGTAGCACCTTGGTGTTGAGCTTGACTTGGGTGGTGAACGACGTCGATTTTAGTGAGGCTGGCACGTCTTTGCGAGTAGTCGGGCCGCCAACTTCTGTTCCAGATGCTTTTCCAGCCAGACCAGCAGATTGTCGCCTCTGTCTTTCTCTTCCTCATATCTAAAATAATATTTCCAAATGGCGGGCAATTAGATTGATCAGATTGGAGATGTTTGTCAAGCTCGTGTCAAGCTCTCGTGTTGTTTGCATTGGATCGGCTTCAATAAGTTCTTCCAATTCATTATTATCGATTGCTGCCGCTCGATGTCCATATGATTCGTCTTGAAGAGATTTAATACCTTCTCAGAATCGGGGAAACCAGAGCTAGCAGACTTGTTCTTGCTTGTTTAACTTGTTCTCTAAAAGCGGAACAGAGATCAGTGATTTGGCAGGATTTTTGCCGGGCTTGAAGTAGAGAAGACACACGAGCACAAAATACTATAGATCGACGATGAACTAAAAGGAAATATTCACTTAAAAAAGCGTAAAAATCAAGTAAATATTCAAGAGTACAAATAAACAAAAGAAAATAATAAGAATAAGATAATAAGGCAAAACAAGAGCTGGCAGGATCGGTCATAACTTGTTCTCTAAAAGCGGAACGGGGGTCAAGGGGGGTATAGTGAAGGTAATTTTTTCAGTATCAAACGAATGCAAAATCTTTTCTAGGTGAGCATTTCTGAGTACGCTCGATCAGCGAATTTCCGGAAGTTACCCGAAGACGTTTTATTCAGCGGGATTTTCCCGGAAAAAGCCAATATTTCAAGGGTAACTTTTGCTTAAAGAAAACCGTGTAAACACAACTTTTTAGCGCACTGAAAACCCTCATTTTCCAGATTACCCTCAGCGGCTTTTCATTCAATTCCTCTGTTGTATCCGACTGTTCAAATTGTTCCCCAGCAATCTACAGCCTTCATATGACCGATCAACGAAAAGATCCGATTGAGCATTTCCAACGAATTCTTGAATTTTCAAATCGTAACTGTTCTGCGGTGCAAAATTTCACTCTTAATCTTGCAGATTTTTGAGTTTATTTCTTTCAAATCTTTTCAATTCTAATTCAATTTTAATTTCTAATTCTAATTCTAATTCAATTTCAACTTCTAATTCTAGTTCTAATTCTAGTTCTATTTCAATTTCAAATTCTATTGGGTTGGTGAGTTGAAAACTGCCTGACTTTGAACTAAAATTTATTCAACACAAAACCATGAATTTATTGCAAATAATTTCCATTATTATTGACGACTTCTGCCCATTTTAAAGGCAATTTGCGGATTCCTCTTTCGTGGTAGGATTTTGGTTTGTGTGTGAGACAAGTGTGGGACTCAGAAATGGAGGACTGGAGAAAATGGAGGACTTGTCCCAGTTTGAGCACTTTCTTCAAAAGAAACCCATTTTGGTGTCAATAGAAAAGTTGTAGAGAATCAGAAATTAGGCTTATAGTCAAATTTCCAAAAAGATACACTTAGTAGTTTCGCTTAAAATGCAAGTTTTGGGAAAATTCGTAAATTTGGCATCTCTTGAAAGACAGTTTTTGAATCGTTCTGAAAATCTGGATATAAGCTTGCTTTTTGATTCTCTACAACTTTCCCATTGACAACAAAATGGATTTCCTTTGAAGAAAGTGCTCAAACTGGGACAATAGCCCGGAGTTTTCAATTCACCAAGCCAATAGATTGAGATTCGCCTTGATTTGTGGAGAAGTCAATGTCCAATTTGAGAATTCGGAGCTGGTCAGATTATTTTGGCGAAGGCAGAGGGAAGGGGGTTATGTAAAAGCCCTGCGCCAGACGACGATTAGCGATTACGCGTCCGCACAAAGAACACACAGAACACACAAATTTTAAGCGAAACTACTAAGCGTATCTTTTTGGAAATTTGGATATAAGCTTTATTTTTGATTCTCTACAACTTTCCCATTGACACCAAAAGGGGTTTCTTTTGAAGAAAGTGCTCAAACTGTCACATATGAAAATCGCCCGCAGTTTTCAATTCACAAACCCAATAATTCTCATTCAACTTCAACTTCAAATCATATTCAATTTTTTAAATCTCGATTTTGATTTTCAAATCTCAATTCACAGGTTATGTTGTTTTTTTCCTTTAACAATTGAATAAAGTGATACAGAATTGTTGTCTTATATTGTTGTATCAAATCAAAAAAAATGAATTCCCCCCCTATCTCTGAACGATTTTCTATTGCTGCTCTTTTTTCTTTGTCCTTGAGATTTTTACGGAACTTTTTCTTTCTAGAAACAAAAAGGTCAGAAATTTTGTGATCCTAACTTAAAAAGAGTCATTTTCAAAAAGCATTTCTTCTCTATTTCTCTATTTTTTGAGCTCATTTTTGATAATGTCAAAAAAGTTGAGTCGACAAGGTAAATGCTTTTAAAAAAATGATTAATTGAGCTAATTAATTGAGCTAATTAAGCTTTTAATTAAGCTTTTAATTTAGCTTTTAATTTAGCTTATTAGCTTATTAACTTAGAACAATTACCGTTTTTCAACTTTTCAGAGACAATCGATAGCGCGCTTGGAGTGGCTTTTAAAGTAAGTTGAAGCTTTGAACATTTTTCAAGTAAAAGTTATCATTTCGATGGGTTCTGTTAAGCGGTTCTTAGTTTCGGTTATATAGTTTTTTTTCTATTTTCCACCCAAAACAGCAAACTGATCGTCAAAAAAAGCTTACTACAGGCGCTACAACGGGGGCCACCGGTTCAGGCTCGGGCTCAGGCTAGAGCTCAGGCTCGGGCTCAGGCTAGAGCTCAGGCTCGGGCTCAGGCTAGAGCTCAGGCTCGGGCTCAGGCTAGAGCTCAGGCTCGGGCTCAGGCTAGAGCTCAGGCTCGGGCTCAGGCTAGAGCTCAGGCTCGGGCTCAGGCTAGAGCTCAGGCTCGGGCTCAGGCTAGAGCTCAGGCTCGGGCTCAGGCTAGAGCTCAGGCTCGGGCTCAGGCTCCGGGCAAATTTTTCTCCACACAAATTATTATACATACCGTATTTTCTCTAATAGTAGTGCACCCCGGCGAGCCGAGTTGATGACTATTTTACGGTTTCTAAATTTTCACAGAAGCTCAACACTCAAATCCCCTACAAGATCTCATCGTCAGCTACATTTCCCGACCCCACATCGATAGGTTCTGATAAGCGGTTCTCGAGATTATGAGGAATTTAGGCAACGCTCAGGGTGGGCTACTCTATTAGAGAGAATACGGTATCTAAAACCAGCTACGCGTGCATTCTAGCTTTCCGTAGTACGCGCGGATATTCTATCTAGAGGTACTGAGAGCACATAGCACAAATCTGATTGCAGATTCGGATTCCTCACCCTCGAAAACCCCAGAGTACAAATTTTCAGCTTTCTAGCTCACTTTGTTGTAATTTTACATTAACGTATTTTGTATTGTCGCGTAGGCATGACAGACAAACGGATTGACGTTTTGTTGCTTGAAATGCTTGAAATACTGCCAAAGTTTCTCGAAAAACTACTTGATTTATTTTTTAGTATCTAGTAGCCTCTATTGTACAATTTTATCTATGTAAAGAGTAAATTTACATTTCTTTGCGTAGAAGAACGTCACAAAAATCAAAATATCGCTTATCAAGACAGAAAGCTGAATATCATTCGTCTTTAGTTCTAAATGCAGAATAGACATTCAATTGCTTGGATTACGGAAGACTTTAACAAGACACGATACTAGTTTACAGTCTTGTTAAGCTAAAAAAAGTAGAAGCAATTTAAATTGCAATTTAGAAGCAATTTAAAACAAAAACCGTGAATTTAAAAGCATAATTTCTTCACAAAAATTATCTGAAAAAGTAAGCCAGATTAGGCTTAAAGTGTAGATAAATTCTATCGAGAAGTATTGTAACTCTTTAAGAGCCGAACATGCTAACAGACTCTAAGCGTACTCTACATAAATATTGGTACAGTGTACTCTATTTAGATATTGGTACAGTGTACTCTACCTAGATCTTGGTACAGTGTACTCTACATAGATCTTGGTACAGTGTACTCTACATAGATCTTGGTACAGTGTACTCTACATAGATCTTGGTACAGTGTACTCTACATAGATCTTGGTACAGTGTACTCTACATAGATCTTGGTACAGTGTACTCTACATAGATCTTGGTACAGTGTACTCTACCTAGATCTTGGTACAGTGTACTCTATTTAGGCGTACTCTACATAGATCTCCTTAATTTCAGATTTCCGATGTAGTGGGTATTGATTCAAAAAGAATTCACGATTCGATGCGAAAGAAAAGCGTGAAAAACGATGTCGAAATGGGGAATAAACAAGCACAGAAAGAAGCCGAAGAAATCTTGAAAAATGCAGTGGAAAAGAAAGGAGAAGATCGAGAAGATCGAGAAGAAATGACATTAAATAATGATCATGTTCTTGAGATACTTAATTATATCAACAAAGTGAAAAACGATGAAGAAGAGAAGAAAAAGAAAGTGGTCAGTGTTCGGTTAAGTATTGGTTAAGCGGTTAAGCATTGGTTAAGCATCGTTTAAGCATCGGTTAAGCATCGATTAAGCATCGTTTAAGCATCGGTTAAGCATCGGTTAAGCATCGGCTAAGCATCGGTTAAGCATCGGTTAAGCGGTTAAGCATCGGTTAAGCGGTTAAGCATCGGTTAAGCATCGGTTAAGCATCGGTTAAGCATCGTTTAAGCATCGGTTAAGCATCGTTTAAGCCTCAATCAAGCGGCTAAGCATCGGTTAAGCCTCGATTAAGCAGCTAAGCAATTTTTAACCTTTATAAAGTCATTTCAATGCTTTCAAGTAAGACTTTTAGTTGCCCTTTATGCTCATAAGTTGCAAACAAACCCTTTCTAATGCACTGGATTCTTTATTATCATTTCCAGACTCACGGTTGTTCTGTTTTCCTTCAACTTTTCCTCGGTCTTCCCTTCTCAATTCTTTTCATTTACATTGGATACAATCATCAAAATGAGTTGTTTTTTAATTTCCATTTAATTAAACTCCATTTTTTATCTATTCTAGTTGTACGTTGATCTCAAAGTTGCCTATTTGGTTAATCGTTTTGGGTGTGATCAGTGCGATTCGCTGTGCATTGACGGTGTTCAGCTGGATCGCTTGGAAAGCGGTAAATGGAATGGAAAATGGAAAAATTATACAAGATTTTCTCTCTAGCAATCTCCAGAGACAGCGGGAGCCGTTGAAGCGCTCGACAAATGTTGTGCGTCAGCTAATTTCATCTGGTAAGTTAGTGAGGTAACTTTCGAAAGTCAAAAGCCAAAAGTCAAAAGTCAAATCTAGATTTTAAAAGACATTTTTTGGGGCAAACCAAGTCAGAATAGAACAGAACAGATCCAGGCAAAGCCAGAGCAAATCCTAGCAGAATTAGAGCTAGAACAGTGCCAGAGTCAGACTGGGAACAACGATAGAATAGAGTCAGAGTCAGCTTGACTTTCTTGGTCTTGAAACAACGATAGAATAGAGTCAGAGTCAGCCTAAATTTCCTGATCTTGGTCCAGATCACAAAAATCCAAGAATCCGATGATCTGGACCAGATTAGACGACTAAAATCTTTAGGTTTAGTCTCTAGTTTAGCCTCTAGTTCAGCCTCTAGTTTAGCCAGATTCAGCTTATTTCCAAGATTCGCTAGATCTAGTAAACTTGACTAGTTTCACCGAAAAATTGCAATCTTAAGCGAATAACTTCTTTAAAATTTGAAATTTTCGTTAGCTATTTCGTTTTTTTTTTTAGAAACTAGATGTAATTCAGCGTTTTTACATGTAAAATGTAAAATAACAGAGAAATTAGTGACGAGTAACGAATTAGAAACCAAAAAATAATCTTAAACATTGATCACTCAGCTTTTCTCGTTGATCTATTATTTCTTTTTAAAAAAAAAACAAGATACGAGTAAAATATGTAGATTTGCAAAGGAAAATGAATGGAAAAAAAAAGCTGATCAATCTTTTAGGACAATTTACGGTTGCTATCTTCTTTGGGATCATTGGAACGATTACACCTACGAGGACAAGCTGAGTCCACTTTTCTGTGACCATTCAGTGATGATTGTGAGGTAAGGAAAGCCGATAAAGCTATCAATAAATGGAAAAAAAAACTTTAGCAAAATGGTGATTGCTTTATTTTACGTGGGTTTATTGATTGTTGGTGTGGCGCTTGGGTGTTGCTGCTGTTTTGCGTGTTGCGGCGCTGCGAAACTCATCAATGAATAGCTAGAGGTTAGATTATCGAAAATCTATGCTAATTTGTATTAAATCTATGGATTAAAAGCTAAATAAAGGTTTTTAAGTGGTTGTTTTTCATCAGAAATACACTTGGATTGAAGAAATGAAATGGAATGGAAGGGAAGGGAAAGACTAACTGTAAACTATTTTTCGATTAGCCTAGGTCAGCACCAGATCATCAACTAGTCCTGAAATGAAAGGGGAAAGACTAACTGCAAACTATTAGCCGAGTCCAGTACCAGATCATCAACTATTCCTGCATCTGCCCTTGTCTAGCTAAACAGTGAAACACAATATTTTCAACAAATCAATCATCATTCTGTCTTTCATCTTTTTATTTCTCACTTGCATTCCCACCATTTCCTCTTTCCTTAGCAAAGATGGAAAAGATAAGAGTGTTGAAAAAGAACATTGTTTGCTGTGAAATTGGAATAAAATGGAATCGGTTTAAGGCTTCGAAAGTGATCTCTAATTGTAAAACGATTGTGAATATCTAAAGATTATCGTAAAAAATGTCAGACTACGTTTTCTCTATAATCATCTCCAACAGATCAGTAACTCTATAAAGCAAAGAAATTAATGACAAAGTTTGAAACCAAAAAGAACCTTTGATCTTCTGCTTATCGGGTAGATGTTCTACCACTGAGCTATCGCCTTCTTTACCCAAAAAATAGGAAAGACAAGGAAGAAGAGAGGAAGAAGAGAGGAAGAAGAGAGGAAGAAGTAAGGAAGAAGAAAGGAAGAAGAAAGGAAGAAGAAAGGAAGAAGAAAGAGATTCACTATTTAGCTATTCACAACTAGAAATGTGTCCAGAAAACTAATAGAACTGAATTGCATTACATTACATTACATTGCATTGCATTGCTTTAGCGCTGTATTCTCGATTATAAAATGCTTTTTGTTTATTTGTTTATGTTCATTTTCAAATCTCAAACATTGTAGCTTTTTATGAATTTAGATTCAATTCAATCTATTTAAGTTCACTTAAAGAAATCCCAGTGCTACGATGAGAATAGCATTGTGAAATTTGGGAAAAACAAACAAAAACAGTGAAAAGATGAATGGGGAAAAGAGAGAAAGATGAGAGAAAAAAAAGGCATAAAAACGCTTGGATCTTTGTGAAAAACTGACAACAAAAAAAGGCGGAAAGCCGAAAAAGCACAAAAAGACCTTCATCAGATCGATTTGGGGGCCTTTTTTTTTGAAGATTTCTATCCTTCGTCAACCAAAAACTGTTTTCATTTGAATTTTAACTTTTCACCTATTCAGTTGGATCATTTCTTTTCCCTTAAACCTTTTTTCCTTAAACTAAAACTTTCTGATTTAAAAACTCTAATATTTTCTTTGCAAAAGTGTGTTTTTCAGAGATTTCTATCGCTTTTAGCTTAATTAAAAGGTAATTTTTGAGAAAACTTTTGAATTTTTGAAGAAATTTAGGTATGGAAATGGGAGTGGGACAAATGCTACCTTTTTTTTGCGCACCCGGACATTTGCGCACCTTTTTTTCCGCACCTTGCCCATTAGCGCACCTTTTTTCGCGTTGAAAATTTGAATTCGACACCCTCAAATTACCTAGAAAAAGAACTTTTGAAATAGAAATTGGCTAATATTAGCTTTTTAGAGCTTTTTTAAAACGCGAAAAAAGGTGCGCTAATGGGCAAAGTGCGGAAAAAAAGGTGCGCAAATGTCCGGGTGCGCAAAAAAAAGGCCGCATTTGTCCCACTCCCTCCAAAAGTTGTTTTTCTAGGTAATTTTCGGGCGTAGAATCGAAATTTTGACATAACAGAGCGTGTGGAACCAATTTGAAAGATAAAACGGCTAGATCAAACTACAGAAAATTGCCGATGTCCGTATAACTCCGCCCGTTTGTTTCCACAAGCTCTGTTATGTCAAAATTTCGATTCTACGCCCTAAAATTACCTAGAAAAACAACTTTTGGTATAGAAATTGGTTAATATTAGCTTTTTAGAGCTTTTTTAAAACGCGAAAAAAGGTGCGCTAATGGGCAAGGTGCGGAAAAAAGGTGCGCAAAAAAAAGGTAGCATTTGTCCCACTCCCTATGGAAAATGAAAAATTTGATTTAACGAATATTTCGAATCTAAAAACTGAACTCTACTATTAAATTTTACATTGTTTTTAGAAAATTAATGTTTGTCAGCATCAAGTCAAGCTTATATTTTAGTTACTATTGTTATTATTGAATGATTTGTCTATTCCCATGTACAGGCGCACAATTACCCGCACTCAGTTCAAATTCACATTTTAACCTTCGATTCCTAATCGAAATTCATTGTTTTCTAGTAAAAATTAACTAGATTTTGGAAATAAGAAGTAAAAAAAGAGTAAATGAAGCTGGTTTTTCTTTGATTTTAAAACATTGAAACATTGAAAAACTAGAAAATCGCGATTCCGTCGCAGGAAACGCGTGTCGCAACTTTGCAGCGCTCTAGCAAAAGTTTAGAAACTTTTCTGATCAAATCCAGAAAACACATTGTACGAGAAGTATTCTATTTAATAATAAAAAAAGAATTAGGTCAATTGATTGACTCTTCGTTAAGCTGGAGAATCTGAACTGAGTGCGGGTCATTGTGCGTCACCCTGTAAATGTGATCTCCTGTGAAAAGAGCTGGAATACGGAATATAGTAGTTTTTCCTAAGCTATGTCCTCTTTCTCTTTCTACCGTAATCTTTTTCCATTTTTTATTCCGTGCTTATCCCTTTCATCGCCAAGAAGGAGAGTTCCTTTGGATCGCTTAGGAGGACAAGGTTCACTCTTTTTAACTTAATCTCAAAATTAATCTCTAAATTCTAGTTCTAGTCCATATCCGTTTACTCCTAGGGAAAATGTTTGAAGCGATAATAATATTGAAATGAATTGAAGAGTTGAACGCATTCTAATAAAAGCTAGGCAATTTCTTCAAATTTCTTCCCTATTTACGTTTCTTTTTCCAAATCTACCCGGAAATTTCTCAAAGAATGTTTTTGTTTTTCCCACTCTGCTATGCCATTTAGAACTCTGCAAAAAAAGAAAATAGAAAAAAGAAAACGAAATTCTCCCTTTTCTTTTCTCCTTTCAGCCTTCATCAACATTTTTTGACTTACTTCACGAAATTTTCGTCTCAAAGTTGACAAATTTCGATTTATTCAATGCCTATACCAAAGAAATTCACAAAACAAGGCAAGTTTTTGAACATCTAGCTATTAAAATTATTTATCTTATCAGAAAAACTTTAGAAAGTATTGATGGAGCACTTGGAGCTGTTTATAAGGTGGGTAGCAAAAAAAACTATTTATCCCGTTGAATTTAAAGCTCTTAAACGATTCAAATAGGAATCTATTTACTTTAAATGTTGCTAAAATCAACCTAACTACAGTAAAGCTATCAATTAGCCCAGTAACCTATCAACTAACCTATCAACTAACCTATCAACTAACCTATCAACTAGCCTATTAACTAACCTATCAACTAACCTATCAACTAACCTATCAACGAACCTATCAACGAATCTATCAACTAGCCTATCAACTAGCCTATCAACTAGCCTATTAACTAACCTATTAACTAACCTATTAACTAGCCTATCAACTAACCTATCAACTAACCTATCAAACTAATCTATCAACGAATCTATCAACGAATCTATCAACTAGCCTATCAACTAGCCTATCAACTAACCTACCAACTAACCTATCAACCTAGTAAATCTACCAATTAGTAAAGTTTTCAAGAGCAAACCAAGCAAAAGCAAGTAAATCGTCGCCAAGGCTCTATCAGTGAACACCGTGTTGATGGGAATCCGCATTTTCTTTACTTCAAATCCGATAATTGACATCTTGTTTGTAGCCGCTAATCTAAATTTGAAAAATTATAAAAAAAAAAGAAAAGTAAAAAAAATTGTAAGTTTTAACTAAGTTTAGATTAGAAAAGCACAAAAAATGAAGCTTTTTGCGACAAACTACAAAGGCTTTTGTCCTACGGTATTTTGAGGCGCAAAATAGAATGCCAAGTTTAATGAAATCGCTAACTCTTGCAAGATTGAAAGATGCAAGATTGAAAGATGCAAGATTGAAAGATGCAAGATTGAAAGATCCAAGATAGCAAGATCCAAGATTGCAAGATCCAAGATAGCAAGATCCAAGATTGCAAGATCCAAGATTGCAAGATCCAAGATTGAAAGATGCAAGATTGAAAGTTCCAAGATTGCAAGATTTGTTGATGAAATCGAGCCCTGGTTTATAGATTTTCAAGCCTATTAAAATACTTTTCGTTCTATATAACTTAATAAACTTTCAAATCAACATTTCATTTATTCTAGATCACTGAAATGACAGGCTTTGAAACGAAAAGTTTTCACGATTCGGTGAGGAAAAAAGTTGATGAGAGAAAGGAATCAAAAATGGTGAATGATGTGGAAATGGGGAGGTCAAAGCTGAGAGAAGAAACGAAACAATTGCTGAAAGGTGGGAGAAGACAAAAAGAAACATTTCTATTAGTAGAACTAATAGAAGTGGATTTGTTTTCGTATTCTAGACTAAAATCGGGAACTCTCTTTGCCCTTGTATTTCCTTTTTCTTTGGCAAAAAGAAATTGAATAACTGAACGATGAATAACTGAAAGATCGAGGGTTCAATCCCCTCTCCAAAAATCTTTCTTTCCTATTTGTTATGACTTTACAATGTATTTTTTCTAGAAGCTGTCGAAAAGCGAGATTTGATTGAGGGTGAAACGAGTGCGATACCAATTCTAAACAACGAGCAATTACAAGAAGTATTTAAAGTATTAGAGGAAGCGGATGAGAAAAAGAAAACGCAAGAACCGGAGGGAAATGTGAATAAAGTGAAGAAAGGGGTGAGTGGATTGAAATGATAAAATGGAAAAGACATACCGTAAATACTGTAATAGTAGCCCCATCCCCATAATGACGGTGCGGAGTGTTGCGTAGTCTAGCTTTGAACGCGTTTTTCTCGACACTGGTTTAAGCTACAATGCTACAAGATATATCAAAAAAATAGCTGAAATTCAGGGCTATTTTTTGATACCTAAACGAGCATTGTAGCATAAAGCAGCACGGAGAACGGGATGTTTAAAGTTAGACTACGCAACAATCCCGAAAAAAACGCGTTTTTCTCGACACTGGTTTAAGCTACAATGCTCGCTTAGATATCAAAAAATAGCTGAAATTCAGGGCTATTTTTTCATACCAAAGACGCATTTTTTGAAAGTACGAGTGCTTTGAAAAAATGAAATACAAAAAAAACTTTTGCGACTACGCGACTGTACGAGGGGGCTGGGGTACTATTAAAGTATTCACGGTAAATGTCAATTGGATTAGAGTTGATCTTTTATCTTTATCATGCCATTCTAGATGACAATCGGTGCTGCTTTAGTGACATTGTTGATCTTTGGACCGATGGCTGTCACAATTTTCCTTGTCGGATACTTTCATGAGGATGAGTGAGTCAGAAATTTTTCTTTTAACTCTTCGAACTTGTTAAGGAATAGCAGTGCTATGTATATCTATAGACTACAGTACTCCGGTGTACTGTAGTTTGGTACTTTGAGCTTCAAAAAAGGGACTCGAAATCGAGAACAGAACAATTGATTACTTTAGAAATGAAAGAAACTTTATTTTTACGGTAATCGGAACGGAACGTAACGGGACGGAACGGGACGGAACGTAACGGGACGGAACGTAACGGGACGGAACGTAACGGGACGGAACGTAACGGGACGGAACGTAACGGGACGGAACGTAACGGGACGGAACGTAACGGGACGGAACGTAACGGGACGGAACGTAACGGGACGGAACGTAACGGGACGGAACGTAACGGGACGGAACGTAACGGGACGGAACGTAACGGGACGGAACGTAACGGGACGGAACGTAACGGGACGGAACGTAACGGACGGAACCACGGACGGAACGTAACGGGACGGAACGTAACGGGACGGAACGTAACGGGACGGAACGTAACGGGACGGAACGTAACGGGACGGAACGTAACGGGACGGAACGTAACGGGACGGAACGTAACGGGACGGAACGTAACGGGACGGAACGTAACGGGACGGAACGTAACGGGACGGAACGTAACGGGACGGAACGTAACGGGACGGAACGTAACGGGACGGAACGTAACGGGACGGAACGTAACGGGACGGAACGTAACGGGACGGAACGTAACGGGACGGAACGTAACGGGACGGAACGTAACGGGACGGAACGTTAACATTTCATGGTTTACGCTTCAAAAGTTTAAGCTTCTTTTCTCTAGATGTCCGATTGAGCGAATGCCGAATTGGTTGCGAATCTCTGGGCTTATTTGGATCGCTAGTCTAATCACAACACTTATTGATCTTTTTGCTATATATAAGGTATTCAGAATTTTACAAATTTCCCGGAGAAAAGAAGAGAAGACAAAAATGGATATCTTTTAGAAATCGAAATCTCTACAAACGTCTACCGAACGAGTCAACTCGATCATTCGCTTTATGAGCTTTATTTGGTACGTCTTTTACTCTAGATCATTGAATATTATAAAAACATCGATATTCAAAGTGATTCTAAAACAATCTTTCCAAGTCGAGTAAACGAGGAAGAGGATTTCAACCTAAAAAATGCAGTACTCATCAGAATCCAGACCTAACTTCTGGCCTAGATCTGGCTAGAGCCTAGATCTGTTGATAGCTTGGTCTGGTAAAATCTATCGGCTATTCCCTAGATCAGAATATTCTTGCTTTACCAATTACAGGTGCTGTTACGGAATCTATCTAATCTGGGACATTTGGGATGCGTATGTGACGGACGATTCTCAAGTGGACACTTATTGTCATCCAACTGTCATGTTGTTCAGGTATTATTCAAGAAATGGTTTACATTGTTAAGTTCAGAATATCCTTTAAATTATCTGGCTTAGTTTACATTGCTTTTTGAGTTAAGATTCTCTTTTCTTAGGCTCTAGTTTTGCGCAGGAGTTTGTCAAAGTCTTCAAGAAACAGCTGATTGAGAGAAGGCTGTCTTTAGACTTAGTTTTAGTCGATGTGTCTTGACGCTAAACTCTAAGCTAAGCTAGATTCGATTCTATTCAATTTAAAACAAAAGCAGCAATAAGTTAGCTTTTCATGACGAAATTTCAGCAAGATTATCATCGGTCTTTTCATTACCGGATGGGCGATTGCGGGTGTAATATTGACATGTCTTTGCATATGTTTGTTTCTTGGTTGTTAATTTTTGTTAGTTAGTGTTTTATAAGGTTCATTTGTTCTACATTTGTCATTCATTTGTTATTCATTTGTTTATATTTGTCATTTCTTCATTTGTTTTAATCTTAGATCGATTCATTGAAACGCGTTTGTTCAAAGCGCTTTATTTCTCTATATCTTCGTGTTCTTAATATATCCTCGTGTTCTCTATACCCTCGTGTTCTTGCAAACGCCGAAAAAACAAATGCTTTATTGCGGAAAATGTTTCTCGATTGCGTCTTTGAGTTTCTGAAATTGAATTTCTATTTAAAAGATTAATTTTTTTTTGCGTTGAACCTTGACTTCTCCTTCAATGACTAAAGCTGGTCCAAATTTGAGTCCTTTTTCCATAATAATATCAATGGAAAGATTGAGAAATGTTGAGCCATCAAGTTCCTTAAAAAGAAATAATGAAATTCTTTTAGATATGTTTATTTCTAGCTTATTATAGAACTATAGAACTATAGCTTTATAGAACTTTGATCATTAGTTCAAAATTTCTCACCTGTTCAATCAAAAATCGAATCACATCCGCGTTCACGCCTTGTCCCTCTAGATAAGCCTGAAGATCGGCGCAATCCCAAGTGCTCGGATTTGTTTGTAAGTGCTGAAAAAAAACTAGTTATTAAGTGCAAAAGTAGGTAGACTTACAATAGAGTTATTAGTGATTGAAGAAGTTGATGGAGATGGAGAAATAACCTGAAAATTTTCGAGTACATTGAGCAAGTTACAAAAGTTTCACCGATGCGATTTGGGTTTTCATCTTTTCTGACTCTTTTCGCGAGTCACTTGGGCAGATAATCGGCTCATAAATGCTCATTTTTACTGAAGATTGATCGTCTTCTGACTTTGGGAACTGAAATTTCAAATGATTGAAATGAGAAGACAATGAAAACAAATCACTTACTCTATTAGTTTTACGTTTTCAATTTGATTTAAATTTGATTCAAAATTTGATGAATTCGCTTTTAATTCAAAAAAACTATCATCATTTAGCTTGAACATTTTCGAATTAAGAAATGATAGAATTTAGTGTTTAAATCAATAGATCCAATAAAATGGATGTTTCCAATCGATTCCCCGATCTCGAAAACGAAAAGTTTACAGCTCAATCTCTTCTTTAAGAGCACTGTAATAGCCTTAAAAAGGTATTCGTCTTTTTTTTCAAAAGTGTCGATGACGGGACTCGAACCCACCGCGAACTAGCGGAATCGGTTTTGTAGTCCAGAGCGTTATCCTCTAGACCACCGCTGCTCTTTTTCCACGTCGCGTGTGGCACGCTCTTATTGGCTAGGGGGCAATTTTCCTCGCCAGGATTTTAATTTGGGCAAAGCTGAAGTCGAGCTTCGATAAAGCGAATTTGAAATTCTAAAATGTGCCTAAAATTTCTGCGTAGCTGCCCCAGTCAAACGAAATCAGTGGCCGTCGAGGGTAGCTACGCAGAAAATTTGAGGCACGTTTTAGTTTCGTTATATTGTAGTTCGACTGTATTTTGAATGCCCTAAATTTGTCTCCATTTCTCTACAAATTAGAGAATGGTGCAATATGATTTGAGCATTGAAAATCTAATGATTTAACCTTTGCAAGCGCTGCCAAATTCTCTTGTTGATCGTTTCTCGTGATCGTTGCCGGCTTTTGCAGGGTCACCTCGCGCACTGGACGAGCTTTTTTCGGCAATGGTGGTTGAGAAAGCTGAATAGCTTTTAATATGAAATTATTAGCTGCACTATTAGCTAAATCTAAAACCTATTTCACAAATAATCTTTTAAAATAACATTTGAATCTACCGTAATCCGTTGAGCATAGGGCCGAGCTGGCAGCGATCGTTTCAGCTCCTTTTTCGGCTCTCTTTTCTCGGTTGTCTGAAAAGCAAATATAAAGCAAATAGATACTAATATAGCTAATACTTTAGTATTATAGTCAAATGATTACGTCAAATGAGTACCTGAGATCTCGTGAGAACGTCTCTTGGTGGTAGTGGAGCCACAGGGCCAAGCGCTGGGATTGAGAGCTGAAAAGGTTCAAATTTTCTAATACTTTTATGAATCTTATCTAATTTTTCAAGTTTATTACTTACTTTGTTTTTTTGTTCCTCAAAAGCACACTTTTCCGGGCAACATTCCTTTGCGATCTTCTCTAATGAGATCAAATTTGGACAAGCTTGAAGCACACGGAGAATTGACTGAAATTATAAAAATAGATTTTTCAGCTCTTAGGATGGCCTTAAATCTTTTAATCTAAATCATATTTAAATTTTTCAAGTTTTCGATTAGATTAGATTAGATTAGATTAGCTCTTCACCCGCATCCATCCAGCAAATGTTCTCGCTGATTCACATCGGGGAATGTGCAACACTTTGCCCAGCTCACTTTGACGATTCTTTCGGCGCTCTTTCTAGAGAAGAAAATGTTAATCACTTTATCAAGGCTTTTATAGTTTTAAATTCATCTAAAACTATCGTAATCTTATCTAACAATACACCTAAGAAAATGAGTTTTAAACTTTGAAAGTAAACCTTTGCATAAAGTGTCGGCAATGAAGTTCTCTCTCCCCATTCAAAGAGTTTAAAGAAGTCATTCACATAGTAAAAACAGCCAAAGAGATCCTGAAAAGAGATTTATTGCTTAAAAGCTTCTATAGATCACATAGAATTATTGTATTATTTAACTGGTACTCAACTGGTATTTAACTGGTAACTGGTATTTAACTGGTACTCACTCTAAAAATCAACTTGATAATCTTGATCATCGTGCCTGGACCATATTGTTTTTGAAGGAGAGCCACTCGATCAGCGCGGAGAAAAGGACCAACATAACAATGATGATTGAAATAGACTGTAGGCAGGAAATAGTCATCTGAATTTTTTAAAAAATACCTGATTCAAAATGAATAATATGGGATAAACAATGGAAACAATACGCACCCGTAGCCTTAAATGTTATTGAGAAAAAAACCTCTTATCGATGGGAAAAAAGAAGCAATTATCTAGTCGGCAGGCTTGAACCCTTGACCTTTCGGATAGAAGCCAAGACTCCTAGTCAATCGGCCATACTGGTGTTAATTTGATTGCTAAAATATGAAAATAAAGTTTAAGCTTACATTTAATGTAGCACTCCGGAAGATATGGTTGTTTTGGTGGTTGAAAAACTGTGGTGAGCACATGGGTGAACAATTTGTCCTTTCCGAAACGGATCTAGAAATTAGGATTATTATTAAAATAATAATAAAAAAAAAACTATAACCTAGGGATTAATGCTAAGCAATGCTTTACTTGTTAGGATTAGGGTTTAAAAAAAAAACTCCGCTAAAATGTACAAAAACTAGATCTAAGAATTTTCGGTGTCAACATCAATAAGTGTCAAACGAAAAATAGGCATATCTTTTCGAATTTTAATTTAATCTTTTTGATTTTGATTTTAATCGATAGAAAATTCAATTCTGCATTAATTGATATCAAAAACAAAAAGATCAGAGTGAAATTAGTCGAGATATGTCATTTTTTCCGTTGGCTACCTATTAGCATTCAAAGAGCTACCACAAATTCTGTCTTAACTCGTACAAGGATTACGGTACTGATTGTATTGCAAAGGATTACTGTAATGCCTTTAATTTCAAGCTATATAGATTACGATAAAAGCTACCTCTCCATCTTTCAAAGCGGGTAATGAGCGGAAGCTTGGTGGGTTTAAGAAGGGTAAATTGTGATCACGAGCGAAATTGCAGGGGAAAATTTGCTCGGAGCTGAAAGTGGATAATATTTGATTTATTGTATAGTAAACCACTTGACGGCAAAAATCGAAGGTGGTTGTTGGACGGGTGAATGATCGAACGTGAGCCATAAGAGGTGACGAATTGCTCTACAAAAATCATTTCTGAACACATTACAGAATCATAAAAGAATTACTATAAAATTTGGATACTCGAAGTCGTTACAGTAACCCTAGACAGTCATTACAGAATTAGACAATTAGCATATACAGCTTTGGGAAGTATACATTTACTGTACAAGACTTTAGATTTAGATAAACTTAGACTTAGATAAAGATACCGGACTATTGTAGCTGTTCCCAGGATACCATTTTGCTGGTTCAACACCTCTAAATGTCGCATAGCTTCGGGGAGCTCTTTAACAATCGGATGGCTTATCGCATCCTCGTCGATTGGTTCCTAAAAAATGAATTTTTCATAGAAAATCGATATCATTTACCAATAGTTGATACATTTTCTGAAAAGAGATCCAATTGAACTCTTTCGGCAAACCGGAACCAATTGGGGCAAAGCCTTCTGGAGTGGAAAGGCTAAAGGATTTTTGCTTTGCTGAAAGACAATTCGGTTACCGTAATCCGTTGACTTTACTCCATCCAGCTTGAAAAATGAATGGATGAGCTGAATGAGCGGTGAGCTGGAAATAAATGTTCATTAGCTATTGGACAAGCGTGGAAATCTCTAACAAGGGAAGATCAACTGGATCTAACAAGGGGCAACTGGACCAAATGACATGAGGCATAGACCTATCGACGTAGAATTTCACGCTGAAACTGAATCTGCTTTCCGTTTTTGCTAAACGGCACTAAATCCCCTACAAAACTTTACATGCTTTTGACAGAGTGCCATTTAGCCAAAACGGAAAACGGATTCGGATTCAGCGTGAAAGGTCGAAAGTTCTACGTCGAAAGGTCATTTGGCCAGCCTATTCAGTTGACCATCCCTTGTAAATAAATAAAAGGTAAAAAATTTAACTGCAAAAGGAATTGAACCCAAGGAAAAAGGTGATGGCTTGCTCTTGATACAAGTCTGTTATCCACTACACCACCAGGGAACCTGTCGGGCGAGTGTGTGGACGCCTCAAATAGACATGCCAAAAGCGTTTTTGTCGTTTTTGCCAATAGGGTTACCGTTGGCAATTACAAGTACGCCTCCATTATCATACAGTACTGTAGTCTAGAGTACTATAGTCTAGACTACTGTAGCTATAGTATTATAGACCAATTACAGTACATTAGGATGCTGTAACTACCTCATAATCGCTATCAATGTCTTCCGTGCATACAGCCACTCGAAAGTAGTAATCGTTTAAAATAGCCGATATGTAGCCTGGGTAAATAAGCCCATTCCCAAATGAATCCACCACTTCGACCATTTGTCCAAGCTGAATTTACTCTAGATTTCCTTTTTTTTTTAAATCACTTACCTTAACTGTATGCCTTAGCACGGGATTGTGCTCGAAAATCAACTGGTTCACTGGTTTTTCATGGGCTTTTTCGAGCAAAATTTGATCGTTTTGATGATAGGCGATACCCTGAAAGGTGACGGTTTGTGCGTTTCTTTTTTTGGTGCACTTAAAATTGCCACATACCGGCATACTACTCTGAAAACGGGCTTCGAACTACTGGCTGGTTTATTTACCCGGTTTTAGACTTGCTGACAGTCAGCCTGATTACCAAATCCGTTCAAATGCTCAGATTTAATCATTTTGATTCAGTTATCTAGCTTTTGAAATAGCCGATTGAATTACCTAGCTCTAGACTTGCCCAAACTTATCCAAGTCGAATTTATTCAAGTTATCTAGACTGGTTTAATTGCTCAAACAGGTTCAATAACTAGATTTCATCCAGATATCGATTCAATTACCCGGCTCAAAGCTCTCAATTGATCAGAACTTTTCTCAAGTATGAAACTCACCGCTTGTTCTCTTTGTTGACCCCATCCAACCGCATGACATCGTTCATTTGCCATATGAATACACCCAATTGGTTCTTCTTTTTCTTCGATGCCATAAAAGATCAATCCCGAATGATTTTGAAGAACCTAGTTGAAGTTTTTGATGATTAGACTCTTTGAAATTACTTTTACGATGGAGACGACTCTCGGATCTTGCTCGTCTTGCAACTCAAAGTATTCACCGATCTGGAAATTGAATTAAGAATTGGGTCATATCATAGCATTGGTTTTACAGTTAGTACTGTCACTACAAAGCCTGTCTTGAGGTGTACTTTGTGCTTAAATTTTAAAACACCTGTCTGGTGCACCAAATCCATCGATGTTGAAAGGAAAATTAAGAATTTAGTGCACCAGAAAGCGTTTCTACTTTGCACACAAGCAAATCTGCAGTATCCAATCACAAACCTCGATCAAATCCTTCATCTTTTCGCCCATCAAGTGTAAGTGTTCATGTGAGAAACGAGCCAAATTTAGATCCCTTTTTCTTCTAAAAACTGAATGTTTGTGATTTTTGATAGAACATACAATAAACATCTCGCCACACTCTCTTCGAGAATCTCATTCAATTCGACGAACTCGCGCTCATTGTTGTCAGTGTAGCGCACGAAAACTTTGTTGATCACCGTTGTCTGCAAGATTTTTAGGGGTTTAAGACTTGCTGTGCTTTCTAAAAAGTGAACTAAGAATAGCTACCGTACTTCGGCTACGTTTTAGGTGAACCTGTATTACAGTACCTCTACAGTGGTCCACAAAAGTAATGCCCCATTGCCATTCAAAAGTATGTTTAGAAAAACTTTTGTTGAAAATATATGTTTGACGATATATTTTTTTCTTTGAAAATACTTTAAGTATTCTAGTTTTTGAATATCTAGATTTTTTGATTGAGATCTTCCCAATCAAAAGATCGATGTGAAAGAGTGCATTTATTATTTTATTATTTAAATGGCATTTACCCTTAAAATTAGCTCCACAAAAGTAATGTCCCATTGATGTTTTCCTTGATTATTCTTTTTATTTTCGCGTTCTATGAACATTAAATGTATTTTATTTTATTATTTAAATGGCTGGCAAGAAAAACCTTGACACTCCGAAGAAGCTCAAAACGTCAAGACCCGGGAAAATGACGTGGCTAACGTGGAAAACGATTTTTCTTTTCTATATTTTCAACAAGATTTTTTTGAAACATACTTTTGGATGGCAATGGGGCATTACTTTTGTGGACCACTGTATTTGAGGCAATTTAGGTAATTGACCCTAGGTAAGTTAATTTTAGCCAAATCAAAAAGGATCGGGATTACAGAATTGGCTTTTCTGACAGGCATATTTTCGAAAAATATTTTAACAGTAAGAAAAATGTCTGTTACTGTAAAATGGCTATTTTACTGTAAAGCCAGCTTATTCTATTAAATTTTATTTACTCATAAATGCCTGTTACCTCAATGATCGCTTGTTTCGGATTCAGTTGCCCAACTTTTTGAATAAAAACTGTGGTCCCCGTCTTGAGCAGCACTTCGCAAAGAGTCGAATTCGCAAACTAAACATTTTATTGCTAGTTTTGAAATTTTTTTACCTTATGGTGAAGGAATAAACTATCTCCAAGTGCTGGCTGTGTTCCGCAAGCGTCCAGATATGTTTCCCAAGTGAATTCATCGACACACGGAACGAGTTGAGCTTTAAACGACTGTGTTGACGTTGTCGGCTTGTTAAAACCCGCACTTGGGGATTTCATTCTAAAGAAAAATTAATAAATTTCTAAATAAAAACAACGGGAAAGTAGAAAAATGAGTTAAAAATGCGTAAAAATCGTAAAAGTAAAAATAACAAATCAATTGAAATTGAAACTTCAGTGAGTTAACTGAATATCTTCTTATTGATGGCTTGTAAATAACAATTTTCTTGGAAAAACATTTTGATTTTTTTTTCCTTGTCCTCAAAGTGCTTCCTTGCCTCTGGAATACGTAAATCTGCTTCAAAATGCGAAAAGTTCAATTGCAATTCAATTTCTTGCCAAGTTTTACTTGAGTAAGCAATAGCCAAGCCAAATTTTCCCCTGTCCAGTTGTAGTTTGTCTCGTTTTCCATTAAACACTGCCCTTTCCACCGTACAACAGCGTTGCCCGGGCCTCTATTGAAAAGCGCGAGCCTCCCTCCTCTCTCTTTGCTCTTTCCGCTCTTTTGATGTTGTATTTTATTTGAATTTCAAGCGTTAATGCATCAGTTTTAGAATTGTCCGGAAGTTGATGTCCTGAGCGTCACGAGGTGATTCAACATGGGTATGCTTCACACTTTGGAGCTGGATAATTTCAAATCCTACAAAGGACATCAGGCATGTTTTTGTCAAGCTAAATTTTAAATTAGCTAAAGCAATATTTGATTTTCATTCAAATAAAAGTATTGTCTTTTCTCTAGTTTTCACATTTGTTTGTTAACAAAAGTTTTGGCTAAATTATACTTTACGGTAATCGCTCCAAATGGATTTTTTCGATCTTAAAACACTCGTAGGGTCGAATTATGTAAGAATCAAGTCTCATGAATCGTCGATTTTTGTCGATAAGATTCAAATTACATAGAGTACTTGCCGTGTTTTAAATTTCATTTTCAGGTTATTGGTCCGTTCTACCAGTTCACTGCGATTATTGGGCCAAATGGATCAGGTAATTGTTGCGATTTGTGACTCCAATTTGTTTTCTTCTAGGTAAATCAAACTTGATGGATGCGATTTGCTTCGTGCTGGGCGAAAGGTCCAACAATTTGCGGGTTCGAAAGCTTATGGTGAGTTTTAAATTCAGTTTAAATCATAGTCAGTGATTTGATTCAGGATCTCATTCATGGTGCTCCTATCAACAAACCTGTAGCCACCAAATGTTCCGTAACAATGAACTACAGGTTTACTTATCTTTTGGGAACAACAATATATCTGATTTAGAGATGACAAGGGGGAAATAAGAAAGTACTGCCGAGCGGTTCATGGTTCAACAAGTGAATTTCGAATTGATGGCAAAGTTGTTTCTGACTAAAATCAATTGCAACGTAATAAATTTAGGTTGTGACTCCTCAAGTCTACAATGCGGAGATGGAGGAAATCAAGATTTTCATCAAGGCGAAGAATTTTTTGGTTTACCAAGGTAAACTCTGCTTTTAAACAATGTTATTGCCTTTCTAGGACAAATTGAACAAATTGCCATGAAGAATCCAAAGGAGCGCACGGCTCTTTTTGAAGAGATTTCCCGATCTTGCGAGTTCCAAGCCGAATACGACAAGTTGAAGACGGATTTGACGAAAGCTGAAGAGGACACACAGCAAAACATGAACAAGAGAAGAGGAATCGCCCAGGAAAAGAAAGAAGCAAAGATGGAAAAGGATGAAGCCGAAAAATATCAGCACATGAAAGATGAATTGGAAGAAAAACAAAAGCGAATGTTCTTATTTGAATTGTTCCATATTGAGCGACAAGCTGAGGAGGCTAAAGAGGAACTGCGTGCTAAAAAGGTGAGTGAATTCAATAAACTACTAGCTTGGTTAGTAACTTTATATGGTTGTTACCGCTTATATTATGATTTTTTAGGTTGATGTCAATGCTCTGAAAGAGAAGCAAGAGAATTTGGAAGACGTGTCGACTACCAAGCAAAAGTCACTGAAGAAAGCTACTCGGGATTATCATCGTCTTGACAAAGAATCTGCTGACAAGGTAAATATATGACGGATATTTGGTAGAAGGCAAATGATGAATCCAAATGCTCTTAATCAACTTGTTTTAGGAGAAAGAAGTCACAGATCAGCGCACTCGTTTCGTTCAAGCCAAACAAGAGCAACTCCATTGTCAGAAGAAGCACGAGACTGCCAAGAAAACGCTCAATGCTGCTCAGGTATTGCTTAAATGGTAACGGCTTGCAGATTTAATTTAGAAAATGGCTGACAATTTTAATGAACAAGAATCGACGCTCAAGAAGAAATTCAAGTAAGAGTTTAAATTTTTGCTGTATATGAAGTATCTTTAAGGCAACTTCAAAAGGACAGGGCCAGTGCTGAGGAAGAGCTTCGAAGTCAATCACAAGAAATGGACTTGCAGCTTAGTGATACACAGGTGGGTTTTTCAAACAAATGCTTGCTAACTAAAAAATTTTTCAGACTAATGAATATAATCGACTTCGTGCTGAGACTGTCAAGCGTTCGGCTCAATTTGATCAAAAGCTTACAGAAAAACGGTAGTTGCGATTGTACAATTCAATCATTTGTTATCTTTAGAATGATCTTGGATACGGAACGATCTACTCTTCAGTATGAAAAAGGCCGCTTGAAAGAATGGGAGGAGAAAGTGAAGAGAAAGGAAACTGAAATTGAGCGACAGAAGAAACAAGTGCGTAAATGCAGTGACTACCAATTACCGTTTGGATTTAGGTGGACATACTTGAGGAGACAAAACATAATCAAGCTTCCTTGTTGCAAGATGAAAAGACCTCATTGGTACTCATTGAGAAGCAAGTCCGCGACAGTCGTGATAAATTGGAAACGGTTGGTTGTTGAAAACATGATTCTGACGCAGCTAAATCAAAAATGATACTATTTCTAGTTGGGCATCGAGCTTCATGAAGTCTCCAAACAACTTTCGGATGCTCACGGGGAAACTCAAGAAAATGAACGATCTCGTCGTCGACAAGAAGCCATCGACAATCTGAAACGAGTCTTTCCAGACAAGGTTGCAGCTATTTTGCAAATCAAAACGTCATCCATTTTAGGTATTTGGCCGTTTAATCGAACTCTGCCATCCGTCTCATAAACGTTTCAATCTTGCCGTCACAAAAGTGCTCGCCAAGCATATGAACTCGATCGTTTGCGACACGGACACGACGGCGATGGACGCGATTCAATATCTCAAGGTACTCTTGTTTTAAGAATGTAACATTTTGTTCTGTTTTAGGAGCAACGATATCCGCAAGAAACGTTTTTGCCATCAAATTACATTGAAGTCCAACCGATCAATGAGAAACTGCGTGAATTGAAGGATCCAGCCGGTGTCAAGCTTGTTTTTGATGTCATTACGGTTTGTTTAGTATTTGTAATCATTTTAAAAGATGAAGTTTTGTGCAGTGCACCAATCCAGCAGCAAGAAAAGCCCTCCAACACGCTTGTGGAAATGCGCTCATTTGTGAAAATTCTGATGATGCAAAATATCTTGCTTACGGACATGCTGGTGGTGGAGAACGATACAAGGCTGTGGCACTTGATGGAACTCTCTTTCAACAGAGTGGAATCATTTCTGGTGGTGGAGCTGATCTTAAGCAGAAAGCCAAGAAATGGGATGAGAATGCGATGAGGTAACGCTTAGCGATGCATTAGCACAACTTAACGACGAGATTAACGTTATTAGTTGCAGCGAGTAGCGTGAAGACGATGTTGCTAGCTATAGAGCCAGTAATTTTTAACGTAGCGATATCAAGTATTCGTTTTCAGGAAGTTGAAGGATCGCCGTGGACAACTTAACGATGAGATTAACGTTATCAATCGCAGCAAGAAGCGTGAGAACGATGTCGATCAGAAGAGGTTTCTACATTTCGGATTAATTAATTAAGATAAATTTAGGACACAAATTGCCAACTTAGTTCACCGCATGGAGTACACTGAGAAAGAACTGGCAAGGACTCGAAGGGAGGGCACTGAGCAGCTGGAACAACAACTAGAAGTTCTTCGTTCAGAGCTTGACTCTATTCCAGTAAGTGTTTGAGTTTTTAGAATCTGCTTAACTTCAAATTTAGCCAAAGATTGAAGAACTTGAAGAAAAGATTGAGCACACAAGAAAGGAATTGGAGGCTTTGGAGAAAAAGGCCAATGCTGTTGCTGATGAGGTTGCGTATAGTTTCGTATGATAATTATTCATTTTTAGGTGTTTGCTGGCTTTTGCAAACAACTTGGAATTCCAAATATTCGCGTGTACGAAGAGCGTGAGATGCGGTTAGTATTTTCTTTTATTTAATCTTAAAATAATTATTTCTAGTTTCCAACAAGAACGTGAAGCTACCTTAAAGAAGTTCGATACTGAAATGGATCGTGTGCAAAATGAACTCGAATTCTTGAAGAGTGAGGATAAATCTCAGCGATTGAAGTCTGAACAAGATAAGGTAACTTAGCCGCATAATGTCTATTATTACTTGTCAATTTAGGTGAAAAAGTTGAGCACCGAATTGGAGGCACTACAAAAACGTGAAGACAAAGAGGAAAAGTCGCTGCAACGACTTGAGAAAGAATTAGAGGATCTCAAGATGAAGGTAGCTTGAGAATATCGATAAAATGTATCAAATCTTTTATTTTCAGGTGCTTGCGAAGAAAAATGAGTTGGATGAAGCTGAAGCGGAGCTAGGTGCGGCGAAGAAAGAAGCTCAAGGTGCTCACCGTGAAGTTACACAAGCTGAAAAGGTTTGGATAAGGTTAAATCTGATTACCAATTACGTTTTAGACGGTACTTGGCCTGGAGAATGAAGTTTCGCGAAAACAACATGAACGACATCGTCTTCTGCATGACGCGAAAATTCAACAGATCCGACTTCCCCTTAGCGCTGGATCTCTGGCTGACATTGATGCCGAAGATGACGAGGATGATGGTAATATTTATCTATAACTTTTAAATTAAAATCCGTATTTAGATGACTCGCAAAATGGTGCAGGGCCCTCTCAAATTTCTCAAGAACAACTGGACAGAGAGACAAAGATTCGACTCAATTACAAAGAGTTGCCATCAGATTTGCGAAAGGTTTACCATAGAAATTTTGATTCAAAGCTATTTGTTTAGGTAGAAGAAGAGGAAGATGTGCGCCGTGCCAAAGAGAAAATGGAAGTAGAAATGGCTGATTTGCACAAGATGATCGGTAGACTCGCTGCACCAAATCTGAAAGCAAATCAAAGGTTATTAATTTTTTCATGCGTTTTTACAGGATTTGTTTTACAGGATGGACGAAGTGAAGGAAAAGGAGGCAGAAGCTGGTAACGAGTTCGAGAATGCCCGCAAAAAGGCCAAGAAAATTCGGACACAATTCGAGAAGGTCAAAACGGAACGCTATCGCCGCTTCCAAGAGTGTTTTGACCCCGTTTCACAGAAGATCGATGAGATTTACAAGGTACTATAGTTAAACTTTTTTAGCTATCTTTCTTGTTAGGCTCTCTCACGAAATCAATCAGCACAAGCGTTTTTGGGAGCCGACAACATGGAAGAGCCATACTTGGAGGGAATCCAATACAACTGTGTTGCGCCAGGTACGTTCTGAATAAAGGCATATGTTAGTATTAGACATTACAAGTTAAATATGCTAGTTTTATATGTTTAGGGAAACGTTTCCGACCAATGGACAACTTATCTGGAGGAGAGAAGACGGTTGCTGCGTTGGCTTTACTCTTTGCAATGCATGCTCGGTTTGTTTATTTCAATTTGCACTGATTATTTCGTTATCTAGAAATCCTTCACCGTTCTTTGTGTTGGATGAGATTGATGCCGCTCTTGACAATACAAACATTGGAAAGGTTAGAGAATTTGGTCGGTAAAATCATTACTTTGAGTTTTAGGTTGCCCAATTCATCTGTGACACAGCAAAGAATGATGTACAGTTAATTGTGATCTCGCTCAAGGTACTAAACTTTCAATTTGACATGTTCAATCTGTTTTAGGAGGAGTTCTATAACAAGGCCGACGCACTAGTTGGAATCTTTCCAGGTATTCAATTTATGCTATGCAGAATTTATGTGTAAATTTTAGAGCCAGCAAATTGCACCGTATCCGGGGTGGTCACTATGGATCTCACAAAATTCAAGGTTTGTAAATCTTTTCGCGCTGATGTTCTAATTTCCCATTTTCAGATTGGAGGTGGCGGCAACGACACCACGCTTTTGTCGGGAAATTAAACGAGAATTAACCATTTTTTTTCTTGATTTTTATCTGCCCTTGTTCTGAAAATTGCCAGTTCAGGTCAAAAATCTCATCACTTTCTATGTTTGTTTTCTTCCCTTTTTTGATTAGGTACTTATGATCGTTCGTTGAAGCATCTCATTTCTACTTATTTATAGTCATTTACGATTGATTTGCCCTGTTTACCCCTCGTTTTGTACACACATAAATTGTTGGTGCCAATTTAAGAAAGAGTTCCGAAGATTCCTTAAAAATTAACGCCAATCTGAATTTTGTTTTTCTAAGATTTCCCAGCAAATAAAGCATTGCCACTATCAGCTCACACAGCAAATATGCGTTGTAACGGATCATACTTTGGCATTTGTTTTCGAAGATATCCGGAGAGTAGATGGGTTTTCAATAAAATTCGTCCAAACGCGTAACGTAACAAAAGTTCTTCGTAGAGTAGCAAGACCACTTTTACAACTCGACAATAACAAAAGCAAAATTGCTGCTAGTTTGATTTTGTCGAAAAATCTTAAATGATTCGAAACGTTTCCTATCTCTCATCGTTTCAGGAAAATGAAAAGATTATTTATCGCTTTTCACAGTTCCTTTTTTCAAGAGATTGATTACTTTCAACACTTTGCAATTCAGGCATGAGCACCTATTGGTTCAAGAACTTTTGCGGGATCAGGCAGACAGATTTCGAGCTCTTGAAGGCTTGTCACTTTTGGTTTCACAGCTTATTCGCATTCAGGTTCCAAATCCGGGCGCCGAGTTCTGCATTCATGTCACGTTGCGGAGCGTACAAGTAAGTAAATGGTAGAATGATTATCACAAAAATCTAGCTTTACCCATTCATGGCATTTTAACGTTTTTAGACTGGTGCCCTTCTTGGATCGGTGCTCGGTCCCATCTCGTTTGCGCTCTTTTCTGACGGACAAAAGTTCGATGCACGCCAGATGAGGAATCAATTTATTTCGGGAGGAATGCAAGGTTTGATGAAAGTGTTAAGTAATTATAACTTCAATGAGTTGCAGGTGCTTTAATCGGGGCAATTCTTGGACCATGCCTCACTTGGTACTCGATTCGCAATATGAGCACCATCGCCCTGTATGACAAATGCTACAAGCTGAGGTTGATTTTATTGTGTCATCGTAGCATTATCATAAACTTAACGAGACCAAATCGGTTATTGACTTAAAGTCTTTAAAAGTTTAACAATTACCATCAGATAATCAATAGCTATTAAAAGTAGAATTACAATTTGAAACCAAGACTAAAATACCCTAACACATTGCCATTAACAGTAAGCTAAGCCCCTTCAGATTCGACTTTCAGATTCAACTCTCAACAAATGTGGCTGGATCGAACGACGGTGATTTCAGGAGCGGTCGGCGCGTTGTCGAACGGAAGTTTCGGGTTCATCGTCGGACTCGATCTTGCGCTCGTCTTCAGCAGTCTCATGGGCAAAGCTTGGTCTTAATGAGTTTGATTTTCGATTTGATAAACTAGTGGATAGGCGTGTAATTGCTCAATATTTTGTAGAACTAATTCTTTCAGAGATTTGTTCTTTTTTTTTAATTCTTAATGTTTCATAGAGATTAGCTGAAATGCTGAAATTTTCTTGCCCTTTTGTACATAGTATTTCCACGATTTTTACGAATTTGGTACCTTTCGTGGTGCCTTTGAATTCAATGATGAAAGTTAATAAATGCCGATCATAAAAGAATCAATTCTTGAAGCCGAAAACAACAATTTCAATTATATAAAGCTTATATGAAGACAATGAGTTACGGTAGCTTTTTCTAAAGTACAACTTTTAGAAAACACAACAGGAACACAGTCATTTGGTACATGTATTTTTTACCAAAAAAGAAAATGAGTTACAATAGCTTTTCCTAGAGTACAACTTTTTAAAAAATGCAAAATGTATAGAAATCTCGTTACTTATTAAATGAGAATTGATAAAAATACGATTTTCTCTCGGGCTTTCATACTTCGGCATTGCTCCAATGGAAAACTCTTCTTTACGACACTCCGTGGCACTCAGCGGGAACTTTTGCGGTTTCTTCGGAAACATTTCCACCCAAAAGCATACCAACACAGTTAAATCCGTTCCTGAATAATTTCATCTTCAAAATGTCTCTTCAATATTTCGATCATCGATGCTAAATCGAGTAACTCGAAGCGAGTTTCGTCTTTTCGATCGCGAACTGTTGTGATTGGACAGGGTGACGATCAGTTTTCTTTCCACAACACTTTGGTTCTGCGCGAACACATTGAGAATGCGATGGCGAAGTTTTCAATATCGATCGATATTGTTTTGATCAACGAGCAAATTACATCTCAAATATTGACAGTCTTGAAGTTTTTCTTTGATAAAAGTTAATACTGCAAACCTGTGTCTCTAAATAATTTCTGATCTCGTCCAATCAACGAATGATCGCATTTGTGCACGAATATCTCGGCTTTTCCCGAGCATTGAAAAGAAATTGAAAAGAAATCGCGTTGAAAATTGTTGCACATCACACTAGAATGTGAGAAATAAAGCGAAGATTTGCAAAAGATTTCACTAAAAGTGGTTGAGCTGAAGGATGGATCGGCGGCCGAAAAAATTCAGTGGCTAATCTAGACTCAAAAAAGTTGTCGAATCTTGCGCAAGAGTGAGCACTTCGTTTCGATATTCATTTTGTACGCATCTTTGTGTTTCACAATTGTGTACAATCGATAATTGTCTTCTCGCAATGGATTTCGTCTACTCGATCACTGAAAGGGTCATGAGTTATGGTCATGACTAAAATGAAATGCTGAAGGGATCTTGCTATTTTTAAAAGCTTTGGAAATGAATAAATTGTTGAAAATGATAGCGGTTAGCTCAAGAGATCGTGAAGCTTGCGGAAGAATTGGTTACTCGTTTCAAATGTGTGCCAAAAATATTGATGGAGGTTGAATTGATTGAGAAAAAGAAATGATTGTGTTCTTGATTATAGTTATCTCTTTATGCGCAACGGTTTCATCCAAAATGCCTATTTGAGTTTTTTTGCCGAAAACCGTTGGAAAATGCGTTCTTTACAGTTGCTGTTCTTTTTTCCGGGTCCATCCCAAAACGGTGCCGATGCCAAACAGAGTTTTTTCTTTTACAATGTACGATTCATTTTTTATTAGCAGCTTTTAATTTTGATAATTTATTCAAAAACAATATGACTAACAATTAAACGATAAAATAGCTGTATTCTTTGTAGGTGTTAGCATCCTTTCGATTCAAAAATGCATACACGCACGGAAAAAACATATGTTCATGCTAAAATTTTTTAAATTTGGGTTTTTAATAAAATAAAACCAACCTCGATGCCAATAATGAAGACTTGTTTGAATCCTGCAGGTGCGGAAGCGAATGTCCCATCGCTGGACCAAATGGTATTCTAAAGTACAATAAGAAATTCTACAACTGCATAGCTAACCTGCAATAATTGCTGTTTTCCCCAACCGGTTCAGAAGACTTTGATTGCTTTTTCATTTCAAGATGTGTACGCATTGCAAATGTCGAAACGTAGAAACCTTGTACCTTTATTTTAATTATAAATAAATTTATTACCATAAGAATACCGGTTGCTTTGTTTTAATGGGCTCGGTCACAACATTTCGTCTTTGAACACCTAAAAAGAAACAGAACTGGATATTATAAAATAAATTATACTTCCCTGACCTAAGTACACCGCATTTAAGTGCTTTGTCTTTTCGATATTCGAATCCATCTGTGTCGTAAATCAGTGCCCGTCCTTTTTGGCTTGTCATTCTACCTAGACAAATTAATTAACTAACAAACCAGAAAGCTGGTAAAACCATGTTAACAAGCCATAAACCACAAACCACAAACCAACAAACCATATTACCATAAAGCTGATAAAATATACCTTAACCTCGACGTTTGTTCTTTTGATGCACACAGCAACGTCTCGCTGGATTTCTGATTGTGACTGACTGTGATCTGCAAAATGAAAATGCTAAATGGCTAGACGAGCCAAGTATTAAGTAACACATTCATAAATCTGATAAAATATACCTCAAAACTTCATGTTGGTCCGTGATGCTAAACGACGTCTCGAAGATGACGAGCATGCAGCTCAGTTTCAGATTGCTCTGTTACCTGAAAAAATAAAAAGTTAGTAAAGACGTTAAAAAACAGGCCGCAAAAGGAAAAGTTTGGTATTTTTGGTTAAAATCACTTTAATAAATCGCTATCATGAGTTTCTATAAAAAATAAAGCTGTAAAACTTTAAAAAAACCGGATTCTTCGCCTCTTTTTACCCTAAAAACACAGAAAAAGTTAAAAACAGCAAAGAAAAAGCAAAAGTAAATAATCTAGAAAATCTAGAAAATAATTTTTTTTGCTTGTCACTGTTTTGGGCGTTTTTGGTTTATATAGATTCAGGAGATGAAATAAAGTGCGCAAGATTTAAGCTTTGGCATTGGCGCAAGCATTCGAGCTGTTTTGGTCGGCGCTGTTAAGGGATGGACCCTTTTTTCCTGTTTGTGTCACACCATTGCGTCAAATTTTTTTGCGCAACTCACCATAACTTTCTTCTAAGTGAGTCAACCTTTATGACTTTAGTGTCATTTTGTAGATGTGCAACATGCAACAAAATGACATCAAAATCATAAAGATTAGCCCATTTCTAAGTTGTGGCGAGTTGCGCAAAAAATTTGACGCAAAGTAGCCACCCCCACACCATTGAGCTCTTTAGTTGAATGGCTCGTATGGAAACCTTTAAGCTTTTACTCCATTATTGTCTAGGCGATTCTCTTTTAAATTTCTTTGGCTTAGATTTTTGTAAATGTTTGGTTTTAGATGGCGTCTCATCTTTCCCTACTGCGCGCGTGCTTCAAGGACGAAACTCTCATCGGCGGCCCTCCAATCCAGATAAATTTTATCTTTCCATATAGAGGAGTTAGAAGCTAGGGATTAGTTCAGCTGTAAGCTAAAGAGCTGCTAAAGTTTGCGGTTTAAGCCATTAACAGAATATTATGTGTTTAGCTATGTATTATGTGTTTGTGACCGTGTTTAGCTCAAAGATGAAGTCAAATTGTTGAAACTAAGTTGGTGCTACATATTCAACCTTGTAAGCGCTAAGCTCATAAGTATTCAGCTAAAAGTGCAACGCGGTTTTAAAGCATACACGAATTTATTTGAACGTGACATTAAAGTTTCCAACGATATTAAAGCTATTTGTTTAGGCCTATCTCCTCCCGTCGACTGACGCCCACCAAAACGAATACCTCGCACCCTCCGACTTTCGCGTTCGCTTCCTGTCCAACTTCACCGGATCAAACGCATACGTGGTGGTGACTGAAGACAAAGCCCTCCTCTGGACAGACGGCCGCTACTTTACGCAAGCCGAGAAGCAACTCAGCAACGAATGGACGCTAATGAAGCAAGGACTTCCCGAGTCAGTGAAGCCGGAGGATTGGCTGGTAGATAATTTCAATGCCGGTGCGAGGATCGGATTCGACCCGTCTCTTCATCGATTCGAGCAAGCCAAGGTTATGCTGGAGACGTTTCAACAGAATCGAATCACCGCCGTGGCCATCGAAACAAATCTCGTTGATGGGTTTTGGACTGACCGACCAGCAGCTTCGACACGGATGGTGATTGCTTTGAATGAAACCCAACATGGACGGCCAATCGGTGTCAAAGTTCGAGAGATCCGGGAGACGCTCATCAAGAAGAAAGCAGACGCGATCATCTTCTCGGCACTCGATGATATCATGTGGTTGATGAACATTCGAGGATTTGACATCCCCTACAATCCTTTGGCTTTCTCCATCGCCTTTGTGACCAATTCAGAGTTGCATCTCTTCATCGATCCGACCAAAATTGACAAACAAGTCGCTGATCATCTCAACCTGGGTCTTGTAACGGTTCATTCGTATGATTCGGCTAATCAATTCCTGCAAGCTTGGCACGAGAAGAACAAGTCGCTTCAAGGGTACAAAGTCTTCGTACCAAACTCAACAAACTACTCTCTTGCATCGATCTTTGGAAAAGAAAATCTGCTCGTCGCGATGTCGCCAATTCAAATGATGAAGGCGGTGAAGAACTCGGTAGAAATGGCCGGAATGCGAGCTTCGCACATTCGGGACTCGGCTGCCCTCATCGAATTTCTTCATTGGCTTGAAGTTGAAGTCGAGGCTGGACACGATGTTGATGAAATTAGCGCTGCTGAAAAGGTCCGTCACTTCCGCGCTCAGCAACCCGGTTTTGTCGATTTGAGCTTTTCGACGATTTCGGCTTCTGGTGAACACGCCGCTTTGCCCCACTACAAATACGATGCGGAGACTGGAAAGGCGAAAATTGTCAAAGGTGGGGTTTACCTCGTGGATTCGGGCGGCCAATATCATGATGGAACGACCGATGTGACGAGAACTGTTGTGATTGGACAGGGTGACGATCAGTTTTCTTTCCACAACACTTTGGTTCTGCGCGGACACATTGAGAATGCGATGGCGAAGTTTCCAAAAGGAATCCAAGGAGTGCGATTGGATACCTTGTCGAGACAAGCTCTTTGGGAGCAAGGTTTGGACTTCGGACATGGAACTGGTCACGGCGTTGGGCATTTTCTCAGTGTACATGAGGGGCCATGCGGAATCAGCTACAGGTAGAATTTTGAAAAGAGTTAAATAAGATCGTAAACCTAAAGTCTACTCTTATAACTCTAGGAAGTGATTTACTTGTTATCTAAATTAAATTAACCTTTATGCCTATATCATTTGATTTTCAGAGTCTCAGCCGGCGATGAGGGACTCCAAGCTGGTATGGTGTTGACGATCGAACCCGGTTACTATCTGCCGGGAAAGTACGGCATCCGAATCGAAAATTGCTACGAGTTGGTCGAAGACGCGGAACATTCAGCGTTTCTTCGTTTCAAAGAGTTGACGTTAGTTCCAATTCAGGTACTGTTTATTTATTTGATTTTTGGCATAAAGTGTTAATGATTTAAAATTTTTATTTTTAGTTAACGCTCATCAAGAAGAATTTGCTCGAGAAGAAACATGTCGCTTGGCTGAACGAATATCACGCGACGGTGCTGAGAGTTGTCGGCAAGTATCTGCTCAAGACCGGGAAGGAAGCCGTGTATTTATGGTTGGAGAAACAGTGCGTTCAGCTTGATGAGCAGAGCTACGACTTGTGGTTAACGTGTGTATGAATTTCTCTTTCGGATTGTAATTTTTGGCGAAATCATTTTTCCTAAATAAAGACTATGAATAAAGTGGCGCACATAAACAATAAAATTTGGGACAATTTGAGTGAAGAGATGTGGTCGAAACACAACGTTTAACGTTTATTCGAGTCAATCAAAAAGTGGTCCGTAGTTTTTTTCCGTAATAGTAGCATCGTCATTAAGCGAAGAACTCTTCGGGCATTCCGAATTTCGTCTTTCCACGCACGTTTGTGATTGCCTTAGCAAAGTATAAGTGAATTAACAAACTAACTAGTAAACCTTTTCAAAGTCATCCTTGCACACCATTTTGCGTTGTTGTCGAAGTGCTAGCATGCCAGCCTCGGTACAAATTGCCTAAAAATAAATGGTTATGAACTTTCGGTCAAGAAAAACACGAACAAATGATGACTTTATTAACACCAAAGCAATTAACCTTAATGTCGGCCCCGGAGAGCTCCCTTTCTCGCGCGAGAATCTCCTCTAATTTCACGTCCTTGTGCAGATGCATCGCGCCGGCATGAATCTTGAAAATCATCAGTCGGGTCTTCTCGTCCGGCTTCGCGAACTCGATTTTACTAAAAAAAATCCAATGAATACAGTCAAGAGTGAAACTGATACCGATCGATGCGCCCAGGTCGAATTAGCGCCGGATCCAGTGACTCAATTCGATTCGTTGCCATGATGATCTACAAGGAAATATACTGGTGAAAATAATTTAACATTTACCTTAACGTCTCCCCGATTATCAAAGCCATCGAGTTGATTGAGCAGCTCCAATAAAGTTCGTTGCACTTCTTGTTCACCACGAGATGATGTGTCAAAGCTAAACAGAAGTTCTTCAAGACAAAGCTGAAGCGGTGCACCGTTTTGTTCCAACTGCATCAATTTCATCCAGAAAGATGATCGACGGCGCCGATTCTTTGGCCACTTTGAAGAGATCTCTGAATGAAAGCATAGAACAACTCATAACGTTATACTTTACCTGACTAGCTTTGCGCCTTGCCCGGATTCTTTTTGAATGAGTTCGGAGCCGGTTGCACGAATGAAAGTGGCACTCGTGTGATGAGCGACGGCTTTGGCCAAGAGAGTCTTTCCTAAAAAAGTGATTTTAGATTTTAGATTCCAGAATAATTATCCAAACACTAGGCTAAATAAAATCACTGACCAGTGCCCGGTTCTCCATAAAGAATGACACCTTTGGGTGCTTGGATGCCCATCTCCTCGTAGTATTCGGGGTGTGTAAGCGGCAGCTCGACCGACTCCTTGATTTCTTGAATCTGCTCTTCGCAACCACCAATATCCTAAAGCAAAACAATTGTAATAAAATCTTGAAAAAGGTTTAAATCATCATCAAACTCAAAACTTGACACTTACATCATACGTCTCCGGTGGAGCCTTCTCAATCTTGTGCCCCATAATGCTGGTGTTCAATTTTTCATCGATCACCCCAACCACGGCTACAGGCACGTTCTAAATGAATCGTTTATAAAAAGATGAATTGAATAAAACCTTGAACGTTCCTCCAGCTTTTGCAAGCACCAACGCATTTAGACGCAACAAATCCTAAAATAAACAAAACATTAAGAAACTGGGGAAATTGAAACCTTGTCAACGATGGAGAGAATCGGCACGTACCACTCACGCTTGCTGCCCTCTACTTGCACAACAGCGTGCTAAAATAATAAAAAGTCATTTATTAACTAGATTTCAAGGAAATTCAGTACTAAGTATTCAGTACAGACTGAGTACTAATTCTTGCACCGTTCATTTCATTATCTAAATGAACGAGTCTCAAACTACCAAATAACAAACGGTTTCTTTTATTATAAATATTTATCGTTTACTTTTTGTCATTTTTAAACAATTTTTAGTATTTTAGAATAACCTGGGAGAACCAAAACTGATATTTTTAAAAATTATTGAAAGATGAGCACATAAAGAAAATCGCTAAATGGATTATTCCGAAATTTTGGTTGTAGACCTAACTTTTTGTGCGCTATCTCTTTTATTTTACCATCCCAAATAGCATCATCCGACCTTATCGTTTTTAAACACTCGGCTTTTTGCTAATGAAAAACCTTCAAAACAAAGTTTTTCAGAAACTTTCAAGTCATTTGCAAGAGAAATGATTGAGCCATCTAATGAAAAAACCGTATTTTATTTGGTAGCTTGAGACTTATTCAATTAGAAAATGAATTTGAGTAAAAGACTTAGTACTCAATCCAATACAATACCTAGATCTAGATACCCCTAACAAAACCAAACCTTTTCATCAAGAAACATCTCGTGAATCCGCGCGAGTACATTCGGCGCTCCCCGAAGGCTGTTCACTGTTTTGCGTTCCGATTTCTTTACCGCCTTGAGTGGTCGTTGAGCATCCCTTTGTCTAAAAGAAAAGGAATTTCAAATAAAGAAAAACTATCATACTTGATGTACTCTTGTTCGAGGAGAAGCCAATCGTGGATTCGGTACTGTTTGAGGACTCGCAACTTGCATTGGCGCTTTGGGATCACTAAAGAAATAAATTAGAATGGTAAGACAAAACTTGGAAATGGTAAAACCGTAAAGAATTTTTAAAAAAACTCACCAGTTGGCATTTTGTTGATGTGGTCGAGACTTCGGACAGGTTTCTTGTTGGCTACTTTTTGCGGCGCGGGCACCGGCTTCTCACGCATTACTCCTAAATGATAAAATGTTTAAAACAAGGAAATAAAGCTACAGAAAACCCCGCTTTTCAGTAAAACAACTCAAAATTTCACAACTTAATCGCAATCGCAAAAGCTAAACAAACAACAAACAGCAAAATCGAACATCGAACCTGGTTTATTTCCCATTGTCGAGTGTTGATTAGTGTTGAATGAAGAGAGCGAATTCCAGTCGATGAGACGAGTTGAATGTGAAATTCCATAGCATACAGCGTGTTTTATTTGACTGATAAATGGTAATTTCGCGGAAACGCGACACTTTCGCGACAGTTATGCAAATTTTCTTTGATTTCTTTTGTTTCAAGTTCATCATTTTCTTTGGCTCCTAATGTTTGTTTTGTAATTTTATTTGTGCACTTGAATTTTACAACTGAATAGGATTTCTTGCTCATTTGTTTTTCTCTGCTTTCTTGCTAATTTCAGCCTCGTCTTTCTCTTCCTCCAAGAACGTCCTTGAACTCGTTCCCCTTTTCCTCGAGAAGGGTCACTTCATAAAACTACTTTGTTTCCCTCCTAAACAAAAGTCGTTCGTTTCTCAACATTCCGAGTGTAAATTCTGCAACATTACCCATTTTTTTGATGAATTTTGTTTTCTTCGATGTACAAAAGAAAGAAACTCATTCTAATAATATTCTGTGTTTTTGCTACGATTTCCCTAATCGTTTTTCTTCGTAAAGGTGAGTTTTCTGTAGCTTTTAATCTTCTTAAAATCTTTTAGAACAGTAAATGGACACATTTTAGACTGGATTACGGATGGGCAATTAACAGAAGTCAGGCAGAATGAAAAGGTGGGAATCTTTTATGTTATCGGAAACTTTTCAATGGGAAACTATCAATGTGTATCTGTTACGTCTGATCTAGACTGATTCTAGATCGGACGTGCAATCTAGAGTGAAGTGCGGTCAAACGTCCGATCTAGAATCAAGCTGACCACTCTAAATCTAAGTCTGGATCGAACGTCTGATTTAGAGTGATCGGCTTGATTCTAGGTCGGACGTTTGACCTCACTTCACTCTAGATTGGACGTCCGATCTAGAATCAGTCTAGATAGGACGTAACATATCTAACATACCTGTCAAATAGTATTATAAATCTATCGGCCAAATTCACAGGTGATCGGCAGGAGTGATCGGCTCTCCTCGATAGCCATCGTGGTTGTGATCGCCAATCGAGCCCATATCAAACGCAAATACGAGACGGCACAGAAATCTTTGCAATGCTACTGTGAATCGCGAGGATTACCCTACTATTTGATTGTGCGAGATGAGTGGGAAATAGAGAACGCCTCAAGAAACACATCTTGTTTGATGGGTGATGTTAGTCTAAGTTTTTTTCAAATCTTTCAACTATAAGCACTTTTTTCTTTTTAAATAACTGTAAACTATAATAAATATATAGCTAAAACTTTAGTTTATGTATCAAAGACACTGCATCTTAGTGGATCTCATGAAAAAGAGCCGCCACGAATGGTTTCTGATGATCGACGCGGATATGGGTATGTTTTAGTGGATTTATAGTCTATTATTAAGATCAAAGAGATGCTTTACTTTCTGTTTTTAGGTGTCATCAATCCCAATCAATCATTTTACAACTTCCTCCCAAAACTCAACGACAAAGAGCTATTTGCGGTGTTTTCCGATCGTGATTACTCTTCAGAGATCATGGCCGGCACCTACCTTGCCAGGTTTCTTTAAATTTTCTTCTTTAAAAGGATCTTTTTTAGAAATAACGAAAAAGGGAAAGATTTTCTTATGTCATGGGCTCGAAGCTGGAATCGCTATATGGGAGGGGAAAACCTTGACAACGGAGCTTTACCAGTGAGCTTTTCATTTTTAATAAGACTTTATCTCTTTTATACCTACGAATTTAGAACATAAACATGGAAGAATCTTTTGAAAAGGAAAAATTCATGTTTAGGTTCTTGTCTCGTAATCGAACAGCTGTTTAGGTGATGATTCTGAGAAAGTACCTGCCCCATCTCGAGGCTGAAACATCAAAATGCGAACTCTGGTGGAAAGCGAGTCGTAGGTGGGGTTTTTTTATAACAATAACTATTTTCTTCTAAATAAATTCCCAAGTTTTAAGGCACTGGTGTCGTTATCTATTGTATGTGATTTGCACAAGGATTCTCATTGACAATCATCCAATCGCTGGGCTAAAGGTGAGTAAATCTCATAATACCTGAAAACTAGTTATCCGAATCAAACGCCAAAACTAAATGAAGCTTAACAGTAGTTGTTTGAACTATAAAACAAATTACAATTTAAGTTTCTCCCAAAAACTCGCTCCTATTACCGAGATGGATGGCTGACGGGTGGAAAATTCAGTTCAGAGGATTTTCTGCTTCATGGATGGAAGGAACCGTTGAGTTTCTTTTTTTTGCTTTAATACAAACATTTTGTGTTTTAGATGTAAATGATAATAAAAGTCGAACAAAACAACAATGCCTTCCAGAATCAAAGACAAACGGACAATCTTCATGGGTTGGATGAACGCTTTCTCAGAAGAGGCCTTCAACGACATGAAGTTCGCTCTAGCTTTTCTAATTAAATAGTATTTTGTGTTTTACAAGGCTTTGATTAATTATCTAATTTTTATGTCTAATATCTATCTATCAGATTTTTTTTGTGTTTAGCTTATGTAAATCTCGAGAGCAGGCTCATCAACTCTGGCGTTACAAGATGGGATTTCAGTGGAGTGTCGAAGAAAATCGACGGTTAGTGAGCTTACCAATAATGGCTTTGGCTCTAGGAAAGCATTTTTGTTTAATGAGATTTTATTGGTTTTAAAATTTAGAGAGCTAGACGCTTGGATCGAACGATCGACTCGAGAGAGACGTCGGCTAACGGAGATCGCTCTCACTTTCAACGTGACTCAAGAGGACGGCTGCGATCGGAGTCTCTATGAATTTCAATGAAAAATCATCAAAAAAAACGATCTATAATAAGCTATTATAGCAATACTTTTGTTTGTTTTTTGCTACGGGTTTGTCTAATAAAGGCTTGTTTTTCACAAGTCACTAATCGACTCTGTCAAATTTTTTCACGCATACTGTTTTTTTCGCGTTTTTTTCTGCGTTTTTATTGTCATTCCTTACAAAACCTTGATAGTGAACGGTTTTTTTTCAGAATCCCATCCATAGTTTACTAACGAGTTTCGACTGTATTATGTGCACTTGAATGTTACAGTTGATTGGGATTTTTATGAACATCAAAAGTTTAATAATTTCCCGTTTAAATGCCCGCTTGCTTTAAAAAAAGCAATTTGTTTTCGCATTTTCGATCAAAAAATGGAAAACCAATAGTGAGTGGGTAAATAAAAAGCAAAAAAAAAAGTAAAACAAAAATTGAAAAAGAGGCTGTCATGACAACAATTTTTGTGATATCGTTTTCGAGAAATGTTTAAGATTTTGATTTCTTTTGATTTCAGCGTTGTTTCAAGAGATTCAAGCAGGAGTAGTGTATCTTTCACTAGGAATCCTCTCAATGCTTCGTAATCCAATGCTAAAATCGATTGTAAATCGACGAAAATCCATTGTAATTCAAGTAGCTACGGTAGACTTGATAGCTCTACTTTTAGACTTATTTTATAGTTATTTAAACCGAATAAACTCTAGGATTACTGTAGCTATGATATTTATGATTTATTGGGGCCATCTTTTAGAAAAGTAAAACGAGAAAAAGATCATAGTTTAGTCAAAAAAAAAATTGTCAAGATTATTACCGCGCTTTTATCAATTTTCTTAACTCGACCACAAAAGTACACTTGTCATTTTCTAACGATCCCATCAAATTTGTTTGTCCAATTTCATCTTCAATTTTCAAATAGCTCTTCCATTCATCAACCACTTTTTCTGACTCATTTTTATTTGTTCTTCATATTGCTTTTTTTTTTTCTTTCGTTTCTCTGTGTATTTTATTGATATAATCAATCAGGGAATTTTTGAGAGAAATTCAGCAAAAATCAGAGTAAAAAGTGGTGAAAAGAAAAAAAGGCGTGAAATTTCCCCAATTGAAATTTTCACTCTGTTTAAGAGAGAAATCGGAAAGTTGAAACTGAAAAGGCATCAAAAATTTTGTTTTCTTTAAGAGATAATCTTTGAAATCAACTTATTTGATAACTTTTTCAAAATCTTATCTAATAAATAAAGTTGTTTAATGTCTAAAATTGCAGTAATGTTGCTCGTCTTCTTGATATTTTTCGTCACAATCATTGCAGCTGATGACAAGGAAAAGGTGAGTGCTAAATGGTGGTTTTTGAATGGAAAATAGAGAAAATGGAGGGAAAGGCTAATACTAATGTTTTAATAGGGCTATAAAGTCTAGGAAGTAGAGCTGTTCTTTATAGAGTTATATAGAGTTATATAGAGTTCAGAGTTCTCGGGTTTATCGGATTATAGAGCCTAAATCAAAACTAGAGCTAGCTAGGCCAAAAGCCAGGTAGTAAGGGATAAAGCTCTATCCTAATAGCGATAGCAACGTGTCTAGTAGCTCATTGGTAGAGCGCTTAGCCGGTAAGATCGGTAAGAGGCGAGAGATCGCTGGTTCAAATCCCAGCGCCGACTTTGGGATTCCTAAGCACCGGCGTGACAAAACCAGGCTTCTGGCAAGCCAGGTAAGACCTTCTGGCAAGCCAGGTAAGACCTTCTGGCAAGCCAGGTAAGACCTTCTGGCAAGCCAAGTAAGTCCAATCCAGTACAAAATAAAGCCTAAATCGGGAAAATCACTTTCAAGCCAACTCTGATTGATTGTAAGTCAAAAAGTGTTCAAATCACCGACTCTAGGTAACGCCATATTGTGTGACAGCAAGCGATTGCGTGAAATTGATTGGCGCTGAATGTAATGAAGCTGGAGTGACGTGTGGATGCGAGAGTCAATCTTGGTGTTCATTGAAAAGAGTGGGTGATGAAGAAACCATAAAAATCTGTATTTTTTTTTTCTTGTATGTGCTTAAAGATGAATTGAAAGCTGAAGAATTAGTTTGAAACTAATCCCGGCCGAGCCGAAGACACTCCCACACTTGACACCACTTTGCACGAGCTAAAAATCCTTGTAAGGGATAAGTTTGAGATTTTTGAGTAAAGATTTCAGGAATGTGATCCGACGAAGAATGGCGGTGATTGCCCTGAGCATCTTCCATCGTGTATTGTTGAAGCGGTGAGTGGCTGAATTTGTCAGCTTTTAAACGAGTTGTTAAGCTTTAAGAGTTTCTAACTAGTCTAGAGTTGTATTGTCAATTTTAACAAGGACATTTCAAGCTTTCAAATGATGTCAAATAGAGTTTTATTGGACTAATCAATGCTGAGAAAATTGAGAGATAATCCTCTCAAACCAGGTCGAAAATTAGTTACTGTTTAGCTACTGTTAGCTACTTGTTAGCTACTGGTTAGCTACTGTTAGTTACTGTTAGCTACTATTTAGCTACTGTTAGTTACTTTTTAGCTACTGGTTAGCTACTGTTTAGCTACTGTTCGCTACTATTTAGCCACTGTTAGCTACTATTTAGCCACTGTTAGCTGTTAATTCCATAACTGTTTAGCTACTTTTTAGCTAATGTTAGCCACTTTAGCACGGCACCTTCATTCTCACACTATCTGTTTACTACTTGTCTACTTTAGCAACTAGCTACTTTTTAGCTACTGTTAACTGCTGTTAACTACTGTTTAGCTACTGTTAGCAACTGTTAGCTACTGTTTAGCTACTGTTTAGCTACTGTTAACTACTGTTTAGCTACTGTTAACTACTGTTTAGCTACTGTTTAAGTAATGCAGTAGTTTAACAAGTCCAGGATTTGTAGCAGCCAAATTTTGGGTAATAATGCACAAAGTATCTTGTAAATAAAGTTGCAAAATGTTCTGTTTTCAAGCTTTACCAAATTTTCAGGTTAAAAATTTCAGGATAAAAAGCACTATTGTGGTCGTCATTTGTCTCCAATGCCTCTATTCAGTGGTGGTGTCTAAGAAGTTGTTTATCTCAAAAGTTAAAGGCATATTTTCATCTAATGCTTTTCATTTTCGATATTGCATTTCTATAATGTGATTCATCAATGTTTTGTTGCAAATTTTACTTGAAATTTTTCTATTATATTGAAAAATTGAATCACAAAATAAAGCGAATTCAAAAAAAAAATGGGGAAAAAATGAAAAGTGTTGAGTGGTATAAAAGTGATATAAAAACTCATTTGAAAAACAACTGAGTTTAGCTTTTAAACTCAAGCTATTCTTGGCTATTCCTTTGAAATGACCAAGCTATTCCTGATCGCTTTCGTCTTAGCCGTAGCCGCTGATCAGGCAAGAATGATCAAAATGAGTAAAATGATCAAAATGGTTACCTAAAAATAAATCCAGATTTCTTTCATTATTAGCTTTTGATTTGAGCTAAATTCTACAGTGATTTCAGTTTAGTTTCAGTTTTAAAAGCTTAGGCTTTCACTTTCTCTACTTCTTTCTATTGGGTTGGGGCAGACCAGCGGCAAACAAAGACACTTTGCACGCAAAAGCCCTAAAATATGTTCTTCACAAAAGGATCCACTATTTCCTACAAAATGACGAGAGATTCCACAAAGCTTTTCTTTCGGGAGTATGAACTTTCAAACGCAGCTGATCAAAATGGCAAAGAGTCCGACTCATCGTTTGAACAATTTCTTCCACATAAACCTTCTTTGGTGTCTATGTAAAAAAGATAGAGCACATTCAATTACATAAGTTGCCAAATTTGCAGGAAGATCCCTCCAACCGTTTTTCTAGATGACACTTTGTAGTTTTGTGAAAAATGGCCTTTTCTTGGCTGAGGCGCTGTTTGAGTTTTCTTTAAATGTCATTTTGTAGAGAATAGCTAACTTTTCTACTGATACAAAGCGTATTATTTGACGAAGTCTGGAAGTTTTAGAAATTTTTTGGATTTTCGGCGCCGAGTCATAGTCCCCAACCCAATACTTCTTTCTCTCCTTCCTTTCTCTACTTTCCTTCTTTACTTTCCTTCTCTACTTCCTTTCTCAACTTCCTTTCTCTACTTCAAAAACTCAGCTACCAACAATTTCCAATGACTCTTTTTCAAAATATAAATCTTTTGTTGTAAAAATATTTCACCAGGGTTCAGAAAACAAGTTCAGTCTTGTTTTTCTAGGAGTCCGGCAAAAAATGTTACTTAAAAACAAACTATACATAAAAATAAATAAAAATGTGGTAATTCTATCGGTAATCTCCTGACTTATTGTTAAAATAAACGTTCGAAACGTTTAGACGACAGAAAAGCCGAGGAATTACTGTGAAAGGGACGCTGATTGCAGCAAGGATGACGATCGATGCTTAAATCCGGGAGCTGTTTGTGAGTGTGTGCATAAAGCGTGGTGTTCCATTAAATACGTGAGATTTTCGATTGTAATCGAGATATATTCCCAGAGATTATGTACAAATGTTTCCAAGAATTATTAAACCTTTTCAAATGTTTTCTACCCAAAACTGAATTCTTTTTAAGCTTGATACCAGTTTTTACAGTTTAAACCATAGTTTTACAACTGAATTCAGCAAAAATCATTTTGAAAAAGGTTTTCTAGAGATGTGACCCGGTGAACAATGGAGCCGAGTGCCCAAGTTATGCGAAAAATTGTTTTAAACGTGATGGGGTAAGTTTTGAGATAATCTTCAGCTGAATATTCATATTTATTTGCAAAAAATCCAATGTCTTTCTTGTTTTTTTGAAAGTTTATATGCAAATTTTGCAGGAAAATGAGTATTTCTGTGTGCGAAAGGCGGTCGATTCCCCACCAGGCACTCTTCGTGTTTGAATTCGAAAATCCTTTTATTTGGTTGAATAATAAATTGATTGTCAATTAAATTGTCAATTAAATGAACGAACTTTTCATTTCTTTTTGAACAACGGAATCAATGTCAACAGTAAACCGGCGATTGATAGAGAAATGCCTAAACGTTTTGAATTGTCCGTTTTATTGCTGGCTAAACTTTAATTACAGAATCTAACTACTGTAAGACGTAATCCATATTCCATATAGAATTACGTAGTACCTAATTCTATATGGAATATGGATTACGTAATTCTACCGTAGTTACCGTAATCCTATGTGGATTATGGTAACTTTTTGCGTCTTTTAGAAAACTCTGATGGAAATGATTCTACCGTAGTCTGGCGATCTATTACAAGAAGATTACGGTAACTTTTTGCGTCTTTTAGAAAAGGAACGAGTAGTATTGAAAAACCAGCCGAAAAAACCCGCTTAACGGTGTTTTAGTTCAGTCGGGAGTGGGCCTATCAACCAGTCACCGTGGCGCATTCGGGAGTGTCCTCGTCTACAACCCACACGGCCCACAACGAGTACGTAGTTTGAAAAAACCATTTCTCTTCAAATCAAAAATCTAAGCACTAGCAATTCTTAAATGATGTCCAACTAAGAGAAAAATGCAAAAAGAATCGATTTCGATAGGTCGAGAAATTGTCTTTTGACCTAATCAATTCTCCTAAGATATCCCAGTTAGAATTATTCAAATTCCACTTTCCTGGGCCAATTTTTTGCGTAGATTCCAAAAAAAAAAAAACTTTCTCTTTTTGCATTTTTTCTCTTAGTTGGACATCATTCAAGAATTTTTAGTGCTTAGATTTTTGATTTGAAGACAAAAATTTTTGTACTCATTGTGCGGTCCGGGTTCGATTCCCAGATCCGTCACCAAACATCGATTTTTTCAAAATTCTTTTTAAATGCCACAACAATATATATTCTAAGCTTTTCTAAAGAAGTTTCAGCTTTATTTTTTAAAAAAACGGTTGAGAAAATGGCCAAAAAGAGAGACAGTCAGACAGACAGACACTGCTCTTTTTCATCTAATAGATCTTCATTTACAATCAATAGTTTAGCATCTTTTGAATTTCAATTCTAAATATACCTGAGAAAATATAACTTGGATGATAGGACCCAAAATAGTCAGCCAACCAGCCAGCGATTGATGGACCGATCATTGTTCCGATTGCCTAAGAGATGAATTTTAACAAATTTAGCTTTTACAAGAACTCATTGCACTAGAAAGTGTGCGTTTAAAAAAGCGAGCATAACGTTTAATAGGTTATCGGTAGTTCTGGTTCTCACTTTAAACGTTAAAATGATTCCAAAAGAGTTCGTCAATTTCTCGATTCCGACTAAATCCACCAAAACCACCGACAATAAACAGATTGAGGCGGCTGAGCTAAAAATAAAATGATTGTAATTGTATAATATAACTAAATTTCGAATTTTATTGACTCACAAGTATCCAAATAGTCCAGCATAGAGGCAGACACTGAGAAAGTCGCTTAACAGAAACGATAAACAACAAAAGAGACCGCAGAGCTGAAATTTGAAGGTAAATTGTGATTTAGATTTGAAATTTCGAAGTTATTTAGAAGAATTACCAGCCAAAATGCTGAAAAAATCAAAAAAATTCAGTAAAGTCGGTGGGTTTATATCGCTAAATGGTCGCCGTCACCCGAGAGCCATTTAGCGCAGTCAGCAGCACGCTTGGATAGAGCCCACGCGATCCGGGTTTGAAGCCCGTAGTAAAACTCGATCTTTAATTTTTTTAATTGAATTTATCCAACCCTAATAGTGGTGCAAAAGAAAATGCCGATTTGACGGTAAATTCAAAAAAAAGATGGCGTTCGATGGTGACATGATCACAATGGAATATTTTCGCAAGATCTCGAGCAGATTGGCATGCATCGGCCTGAATAACGTCCCTCAGCTTGGCTTCGTTCACGACTTCTGGCCTCGAACCGTGCTTGTAATCTTCCAAAGTCTCGTCTCCCTCTCGGAATCGTTGAAACCAAGTCTGACACTGCCTGAGAGACAAACTGCCATCTCCGAAAGACAGAGAGAACGAGCAGCACAGAGAGAACGATGCGATTCGGCAGCAGACTTTCCAATTTTGAAGTTAAACAGTAATGCTGCTCGTAGCACAAAGTTTTGCTCGACCATGATCTAAATAAAAAATATAAGCATTTTAAAATAAAATAAACAACAACCAAAAAATTCAAATGTCGAAATAAATAGGAAACAAATATGCGAACAAAACATAAAAAATAATGCGGTTAGCATCGCTCGTTTCTGATAAATGAGAGCTGATACCCATCGGCAGTTTCTTTTGCACCACCCTAATAGATTAGATTTTAAGACTTTGAAATAAATTTCAGTGTTTTTGACTTAAAGACGGCTGAGAAAAAGCCCACAGACGGATGGACAGACGGATCGACAGACAGACACGGCTCTTTTATATAGTAGATAAGCTACTGACCAATAGAGATCCACCCAAAATGCAGCGACGATTCCTCGCTTTGTCGTCGCCGGCTTTTTTCGGCAATGGGATTCGGCGATCACTGATGAAACCGCAAACGAGACGGCCCAGAGTGTTGATAAGGCCTGAAGAGTTAGAGATAGGTTTTGAAGCTGAATTATCTTCATCAGGTACAAAATCTGTTTTGTTATACTTAAATTTGGCAATTAAAATACATTACTCTATTACTAGAGCACTTTAGGTACTGTACTATGTCATTTAAAGTCAATTTAAACTACCGTAACACTTTCTAATGCTGAAAGGTTTCAATCACAAAGTCTTTTACCGAAATGAAGCCGCATTTACGCTCATTTAATGCAAATGTAACCTTTCTGGCACATAAAATTCTCTAAATCTTTAAGAGCTTGAAGAAAAGGTTTGTTTGATTCCAAAAGAAACCTTTAAATGTCTTTCATTTACCATAAATTGATATTGGCACTGAAGATTGATCTCTCGTTAATCCCAAAGTATTTGTTGCATAAAAAGGAAGAAAATAGATTGGTCCAGTTGTTCCAACAGATGTCACCATGCATGAAAAACCGAAAACGAGTAGAACCGGGTCTTTCAGCAAAGAGATTGTCTTTCTAAGCCAGTGATTCCTGAATGACAGTGCCATTGTTACAGTGAAAGTAAAGAATTGAACATCTAGCATTATCAGATGAATCTAGCAAGCTGCACAATAGAAACTGTACAATAGAAACTGTACAATAGACTGTACAATAGAAACCGTACAATAGAAACTGTACAATAGAAACTGTACAATAGAAACTGTACAATAGAAACTGTACAATAGAAACTGTACAATAGAAACTGTACAATAGAAACTGTACAATAGAAAATGTACAAATTATTGGATCTTTAGCAGTGCTTTTACTTACAATCCATCCTCTTTTTCTTCTATTTCTTTCATAGTGAAGGCAGCTGATGACTTTTCCGAAAGAAGAGTCCGATCTTCAACTTCTTGAGACATTTGCTTGGGAATCGGCTTGAAAGTGGCAGCAAAAAGGAGACAAAAGACGAAGAGACCTAGATTTTTCTTTAAAGTTCTTTTTAAAATAAACCGGCATTTGAAATAGAGATCAATTAACTTTGCAAAAACCAAAAAAGCAAACGAAAAGGGACTCGAACCGGAGAGCCTCTGCCTTGGATTCTAACTCACTGCCACTCAGCAGTGAATGCCTCGTCCCTGGTTAGCTTTAATAGGACAATTTTTTTTTCACTCACCTGTAAATAAAATAAATACTCCTTTATATCCAAAATGATCGATGACCAATGCATTGATCGGTGAGAAGAGAAAAGCGCCAACACCTGCGCCACAAACGGTGATTCCCGTAGCCAGAGATCGTTTTCTGAAAGGGATAAGAACATTAAGGTCAAAGCCTGGACCTAGTTTGGCTAAAGAAAGAGACCCTAGCCTTCTATCAGGTTGGTGGGAAAATAATCGAAATAAACAAGACTCAAACTTTGTCTTTGATTTTAAAAGTCCTTTTGCGTCATTGATACTAAACTTTTAGCTAATTGTGATTGATATATGTTCTTCTCTTTTATGTTTTTTTTTTACTTTACAATCAGTCTTTATTTTGAAAACAAATTGAGTGTTTTAAGAGCATGGATAAGGAACAATTTCAAACACTTTTTTTCTACGAGTTCAAGCTTGGTCATACAGCAACAGAAGCGACTGGTAATATCAACAGGGCATTTGGCGATGGAAGTGTTTCTTATGGTATGGTCGCTTTTTGGTTTCGGCGATTTCACTCGGGCGATGAGACGTTTCATAACAAAGAACGTGAGGGAAGGCCTCCCAGAGTTGACGATCAAGAATTGGAAAAACTGGTGGAAGGAGATTCGAACCAAAACATCTCGAAAATTCAGGTTGATCATTCAACAATTTTGGCTCATTTGAAACCAATCGGAAAGGTAAAGAAGATGGAGCAATGGATCCCGCACGAATTAAGCGACTCTCAGAAGCTGCAGCGTCTGACAGCCGCCTCGACGCTTCTAACCCGAAATGAAAAAGATCCATTTCTGAATCGGATTGTCACGTGTGACGAAAAATGGGTCCTGTATGACAACAGAAAAAGAAGATCCGAATGGCTAAGCAAAGATGAAAAGCCCAAACGCACTGCAAAGCCAGAGATTCATCAAAAAAAGATGATGATTACTTTTTGGTGGTCCATGAAAGGAACAATACATTTTTCTTTCTTGAAAACAGGAAATTCTATGAATTCGGACCAATATATTTTGGAAATAGAAAAAATGCATAAAAAATTGACAATTTTGGATCCAGGTTTGGTGAATCGCAAAGTTCCGGTTTTGCTTCACGACAATGCTCGCCCGCACATTTCAATCAAAACCATCAAAAAAATCGAGCGAGCTGGGCTACGAAATTCTTAGTCACCCACCTTACTCACCAGATCTTTCTCCTACGGATTTCCACTTTTTCAAGCATCTGTGCCATTTTCTAGAA